TCTTTTCTTTCCTTGTTTTTTCGTTTTTTTTTTTATATCTTTTTCTTCCTCTTCTTCTCTATCGTCTGTCTTGACAGTTCTATCCGTCAGAGCCTCGTGAAATAGACCAGAGAACGAACTTCTTCAATCCAAATAGACAACAGACGTTCACTTCAAGTTCACTATGTACCATCCAGTAACAAAACAAAAGAGGGGGGGAAATTATAATATAGATGATCGAAGTCAAAAGTCAAAGTCAAAGTATAAACCGAATAAATAAATAGAAAATCAAGGATAAATTCCAGGTGGAAGAACCAACTCAGCTTACGCCGAGTAACGAGTTGGACTCTGTTTCGGAGGAGGAATGTAAGCCGATTGATCATCCACTCTGGGATTCGCCGCAACCACCGGTGCCATATGAGGAGGAGGAATGACAACGGGGTTCACGATGAGGAAGATCGGAACGGGATGCGTCAGGATGATGGAGGTGGAGGTGGAGGCGGAGGTGGATATGTATGGATTGGAAAAGAGCAGTGAAGCATCTGGCTGGAGGGGAGGATGATGACTATGTATAAAAGAAGTAGAAAAGGGAAATAAAATGAATAGAATAGAATCAGTAAAATCAGTAAAACCAGTAAAATAAATAAAATAGGCTGGAATAAATAAAAGAAAAGAAGCACCGAGAAAAGAAAAAGGAAGAATTATTATTATGATGATGATTATAATAATGACTATGATGGAAATGATAGTAATAAAATCAAATCATATAAAATAAAATCTGATGGTTTTATTTCTATTTACTTTATTATTTTATTACATGTTATCCACATTATTATTTTTTTACTCTGGTTTATTATTCAAAAAGAAAGATCAAGAATCTCAGCACTGCAGCGCAGGCTTGGAGGTAAGTAAGGTAACGTAATTTACACAAAATCAAGTTTTGGATTGATTCGCCAGAACTACTCATCCATCACAGTCAACCTACAATAACAGAATATCTCTAGTAGATACTAATATAGATTACACATAGAACCATATCCGTCCAGTCTGAACCGGCCTGACAATGATGATAATAATAATAATGAGCAAGTCGGACGGGCGGGTGTGGGCGGGTGTGGGCGGGGCGCGATGGTCACGGTCACTTGGTAAACCACCAACTAGTTCCAGTCCACTAGGAGGGAAAGTTGGTGGTAGGCCCGAGCAGCATTGGCGTCCACCTAGGATCCTTTTTTTTTCTTTACCAACTAAGTCACTATCCAGTATTTAGGAGCCAGTACCCATGATTGAATGAGGTGGGGTCGACTAGTGATCCCGAGGACCAGGCAAGGCCGCAACAATTTGGTCACCGTGGATCCTGTTTATAGATGGATTTATCTTTCTTTCTTTCTTTCTCTCCGCATACATCTTGAGTTGAAGTATTCTGTTGATCAAACTGAATGATATACTAATATACCGGAAGAAGAATCAGCAATAAGGTAGCTACAGGGTCGACAGTACACGATAGGATAGCCGAAACAAGCCATCTAGGAGACAGCCGAAGAAAAAAAAGAAGACAGCCTAATATCGGTGAAAGCTTTCCGCAGACTGAAGAAACCAAAAAAAAAAAGAAATAATAATAAAACCAACCAAACCCAGCGGGGATGGCAGAAGCAGGTACCCCGTTTCACTTTTCACTAGTCGATTGGTAATGACGTCCACAATTCGTGTCCTTGCCCTTGCCATTCATATTTCGATCTCCTCGGAAGAAATCAGATCAGGGACCACGACATCACCCGACTCTATATGTACCGGAATGTCCGATGGTGTCGAAAAAGAAACGGCCATCTGACCATTTATTAGGATAGAGGGGAGGGCAGAAGAGGAAGGGAAGGGACAAGATGACGATGACGATATGATGTCCCGAAAATTCCGCCCGACTAGGATAAATGCCGGAAGGCAAAGCAGGAGAGAACAACGATAGATTGGGTTGATGATTTCCGGAGCAGGGTACGGTAAATGACGGGATGTGCGTGGGAACCGAGAGGGAGAGATGATCTACGGGCGGGGATTGCTGTCTTTGATAGGTAGGTTGATGTTTGATGTTCAACTTTCTAATGTGAAATAGGAGAACATTAACACTTTGTATAGGATAGGCAGTACAGCGGATATGAGAAAAATAGGTGATGGAGGAGAAAAGTAGATGAAATGAATAAACCCAGTGGAGTGTAATGGTGGATTTTGGGGAAGAGAAGGGAAAGGGGCTGTGGACAGTTAGATACTCGGTCAATTAGTTCTATTGAGTTCCTTACATCTGACTATCACTAGATACTTGTATAGAATATATAGTATCGCAGATCTGATCATCATGATTTGAATCCAAGAGTACATTTGGTTTATCATCTCCATAAATTCCGTCTGATATACTTTTATATTTCCCCTTCCATACTCAAATTATACTCATACATGATCTATACAGATACATACAGTACATAATATGGTCCGTGAGCATGTCGACCGAATCGCCGACTGATTGAGGGGTTGTCTGCAGAAGTGGATCCCAATCCCCCAGTCCTCCATCCAACCATGGCTCCGCCCTGAAGACTTGACGATAACCAACTTGAAGGAGCAGCAATAGCTCTCATGTGCACCGGTCATCGAACTTGAGCTGGGAGGAAGTGGAGGTAAGAGCCCAGGCCGTATATTAGATAATATAAATATTATTTAATCTCAGTCATAATGATTTACTAAATATTAATTGTAAAAATATATAATAATAACGATGATTGTAAAACCCTCTCAGATCGACTCCGACTAACTTGAAACTAGTCTTCCCCCTCCCGTCTATCCCTCTGTCTTCAAAATCATTTTCATTTTAAACATGCTGACCATTCCCTCTCCGTAAGGTACTATTTGCTTATACTGATACCTAGTACTCCGTAGTACAAGACCAAGCATATGAAGACTGCAACACATCCTAATCGTCATAGACCATTCATTCATTAGGGCAACTCACCTACAGTACAATCCGTAGGTCACCTGCCTCCCACCCAACTACTGATAGTCGTTGATCCAATTTCACCAATATTGTTTGATCGACATGAACGCTGTCAATTAGTGCTAGTCCATGATGATTATTTTGACATGGATTTTTTTTTTATATTTCTCTCTTCTCATTTTCGCATTTGGAACTAGCCTACTATGACACTAACAAGAAAGAAAAAAGTAATAAGAAGGAATAAGAAAAAAAACACTCTAGTCATCTAATAATATAACTCATAAGATTAAGAGTGGGAACCAACGGTCATTCGTTTTGCGCTCAGATCTCGAAGTGTGCGTTTCTGCGAGTACTTACTACTTACTTACCTTGTCCAGTATGTAACTAATTCCTATCATAGGATAGGAGAGGATCGTAGGAGAAGAGGGGAAGAGCTATTGTATAGCGTCATGCGGCTGTTTGAGATTATTCCTAGATAAAATGATATACGGAGTATGGAGTAGAGGGGGCAGACACAGGGAAGGACAGACAAAAGACACAGACACACAGAGATCCGGAGGACATCGATCCATAGTCCGGTTCGGATAGGCAGGCTTCAATTCCATGGTCCAATGCGCCCTCGGGATTTCGTGGAGCACTGTGGGTGCTCACCACCCAAACAGGCAAAGACGATCCGAGCTCTGGATGGATCCCCATAACCAGCTGGGATCAGAGGAAGATGGAAATGGGAAAGACAAGAAGGCGGGAGGGGTCGGGGGGTGAGAGAAAAGATGGCTGTGTAATTACGTGGCGGTTGACCGAGGAGAAACTAAGAACGCCATCAGGCTTTAGTCCCTTTCAGATTGTCATTGCGGTTCGTGCCCGAAGGAGGGTATCTATCTTGTCTGTGAGGGGGTTAGAGGATGGAAAAGAGGGAGGGGGTGGAAAGAAGTCTGTGACAAGTAGACCGGGGCATCATCCATTACGAGTAGAATAAGCCAACCCAGGTGGTGCCCGACATGGCGGAGAAAGGAGGAGTGAAAGGGAAAAAAAAAATAATGTAAAGAAAAAGAGGAAGAAGAGGAGAAAGGAGAGGACTGTGCGCAACGACCAAAGCCTCTTCCTGCGGTTTTCTGGGTCCAAAAATGATTCCCGCCCTGCTCCGCCGATCTGCCCCCCTTTACAACCATCCAGATTCCAGAGGTAGTAAGTGGAAGACGAGACATCAGTCTTAATAGGACCGTCATATAGCCTCCCTTTTTGGGGGGTCGGGTTTTTCTCGGCCGTGCTTGTAATGTTATTATCAACGGATAGTAATAATAGGACATAATAAAAGGGGGAATTGCCTCTCCACGACTAAAGTGTTGGAATAGGTATTTAATACTAAACGTTGTACCTGAGAATAACCAGTGACCAACAATAAGAAGAACATCAGATTTAAAGATAAAGTTGTTCTTTTGCTTACATTTCTGGTGTAGTACCTTCACCAGGGTCCAGGTTCAGGGGAGAATCCCCGTTCCTTGAGCTTATATTGGATGCTACGATATTTGCCAAAACCTTGTCGGGAGATCCTCAGCAGATCGAGTCCAGTCCCTCACGGACCTGGTGAAACCTGCGATCATCGGAGGAAACCGGTGAAGAGATAGATCTATCGAGTGACCAGACTTCGGGCAAGATAGTGGACGGAGAGGGGTAAGCTGAATCAAGTCCAATGGAAGTCCAATGGGTTAAGGGAGGTGACTCAACTCCAGCTAGGGTTTGGATCGGTCTGTTATACAAGACAGCCCGAGGTGGAGGATCACGCCGATGGCGAGTCGGGGTTGATTGGCAGGTCCCGACAAAGTGGGTGAACAGCAGTCGATCTCAGTTGGCGCGTGCTTGTCAAAACTCAATTTTGTTATAGGATGTTAGAGTCTTAGAGGTATGATTTAAAAAGTAGATGTGTACTCTGTTTTGAATCAAGCTGCATTGCCTGGTTTATTATTCTCGAAGTACCACCGGTTTTCGTACCGCAGCGACGAGTAGTGTTATAGTACTAGGCAGTAGGTAGACACAGTCAGTTAGTCCAAGTGACCGACCGCCATTCAGTATTGACTATGTAATCTTTGGAGATGTTTTGAAACCGCAAAGGCCTGTACGGAGTACTGCGATCGATATTAATATTGCATGCAGCTGCACTTGGAAATTATTATCACAATTGAATATTATCATAATTATTATCCAAATTAATAAACTGAACAAATAATAAGAAACAAGGGGTACTGCTACTCCAGTTATTGGATGTCTAGAGTGCGTGGCACATGCAGGCATAAGACGTTGAGACCGGGAATTGAACCCCCTTTGCGCAAGGTCAAGTAATAATAGATCTCTACGCGTGGATATGATCTACCGAATCTAGACAACGCCGCATGAGGCCTGCTTTAGCGAACATCACCATCGAGATGTGATAGGGGTATTAATTTTTTTTGTGTATGATTATAATCATTACCATTGATCATTCCCCAGATTCATGTATATTATTCGATCATTGCCACGAGAGCCACTGTTATTATTCGTAATAGGTTTCGTAATATAAAATCCTGTCTGGGGTACTCCGTAGTCCGTACTGAGGTACAGTATCGAGCAGGAGATCTACATACAAGCCAAGACCAAAGCGCACAGGCAGCAGGACAACCGGATCAAGATCCCGTCACAGTGAGACAGACTCCTTCTTCTCAGACGGAGGAAAGAGGAGAAACCATCAAATCATGATGAATTGCTCCATATGTGTTGTCTACCTCTCGTTGGTATAAGAGTCCCCACAGGTTTAATTCCAGTATCTATCGCGATCCGCTAGTCGGTCGTAGTGGCTCCCACGCCCGAGCCCACGCTGGAGACTAGAGAGGGGCGTCTCGTATTCCAGGTCGTCCTTCTGCCCGAAGCCATACTTCTTCGATCGTGGTTTGATTTGCTCAGACCAGTTGCGCCACGAACGGTGAACCAGAGGCCTGGGTTAGGATAGGATGACAGGGATCTCTCTTCCTCTCTGTCTGACTTGTCTTCTACTCCGTACAGATTTTTTATAGATTTTTTACTCATTTGTTTATCTTTTTATTTCAATGCTTATTTATTTATTTTCTTTTTCGTCCTGCATGATTACCTTTTCCACGGAGTACTCCCGACAACCTTTTGCCGCATCTTAAGTCATCCTCTCGAAATCCCCATTTCCAATTTCCATTTCACCTCATTTCTCCGTCGTAAACTGGTAGACCATGTGGATCAGATTCAGACCGACAAGCCGATCATCCACCTTCAAAGTCAACTAAAACTCAACCAACGCAGCTTAGCTCGTAGGGAAATTAAAACATATTCCAAAAGACACTACCTCCATCCAGGCTAGACAGACTAGACCATTCCCAAAAAAAAAAGTAAAAATGAAAATAAAAAAAACCTGTGGCGTAGTCGGACTGACCTTGTTCACCCACTCAGAGACGGAAAGTGGTGATAATGCCGCAGGGATATACAGTGTAGTGCCTAGTGCCGGTCGTGACAGGGTCAACCTGCTTTAAGCAGGCGATCATCGCGCCCATACCACAGTCCGGCTGAGCAGTGAGTGGAAGGGAAGGAAGGAACCAAAGGGGAGGGAGAGAGGCCAGAACGACACGAGTTGATGGCTCGGGGCTAGTATTAACTAGTACTAGACCGGGAGTCCTAGTATGGTATGGTAGATCATGGTAATTACCTACCTGAACAAGAGAACCTAGCTACTTACCATATCAGTGGGATATATCTAGTATGGGGGGATGGTATTGTGTTGGGATAATTGGAAATATGGGAAATGCAATAGCCCTCTTTCCTCACAGAGAGAGAGTATCGATGTAGACTTCAAACAGAAAAGAGACAATTAGATGAACGATAACATGTGGATGATAACGTCAGAGTCGATACAGGTCTTCTGCATCTCCAACGCAGGCGGCTTATTGTGGTAAGGACGGAGAAGACCGGACCACACTGGATGGAGCAGGATCCTGGCCAGTATTAGAAATTCTCATCCATCAATCATCAACCATATCCAATCATGTATTCCAATCAATTCTGTGAAATAGTAGACAAATAAATAAATCAAATAAACAAGAAAGAGAAGGGGAAAAAAACAAGAATGAACACAAAGGTAGCACCTCAACAGTGACAGAACTCCAACCTCCTATAATATAACTTCCAGGATTAATTCCATCCATAATGCAAGCTTCCACACCCTCTAATTGGCCAGTGTCACTCAAAAAATCTGCCATTTCTCTTACATTGGCCTCCTCTAAATGGCTTGGGGTGTTAATCCCTTTTTCCTCCAGTCCTTTCCATCCCTTTCCCCCCGGTCCTCCCCCCCCCTCTCTCCCTTCTTTTACCCTGTGGTCTGACAACGTCACTTTCATGTCGCACTGTCCTTCTGACCTTACCTTACTGGAAGCAGAACTCGCGGAAATGCAAGTGGCCACAGTGTGCACCCTGTGCGCCAATCAGGCTGTATGATTCGGAACTCCTCCAGGGGATCTCATAGGTTCTACCTTAGTAGGCACAGGTAGGTAAGCAGGTTAGTCGTCGGTACCTAGTAGGTAAGTAGGTAGATAGACAGGTAGTAAGATAGGATAGCCGTGGTCCAGGGATCGTTTCCCATATTTGCCCGCCTGCATGTGTATCATCTTCCAACTAGTCGAAAAAGGTAATACGAATCATTTCTACAGGAACATGGGCTCGGTTTCACGCGGGTATTCCTTGATCCACGCTCGGGATACTACCGGGGCGTTTACTCTGCCGTTGATTATTGCTTCTTTGGGATCATCAGTTAGACGGCGGTGCTTTTTCTTTTTCTTTTTTTCTTTCTTTCCGTTTTCGGATTGATACGATGGTCAAATGAGGAATTCAGTCAAAATGATTATCATGTCAAGCGCCAAGCTGATTCGGACTGAACTGGACTGGGCTGGATGGATGGGTGGATGGATGGATGCGTAGGCTGGTCCATCCGAAGATCACGGGTGGATTGATGGCTCCGGAGATTGGCAACATCCCAGAAAGGTATTTGGGTGAGAGACCGAGAGCGGAGAGAGAGAGAGAGGGGGAAAGGGGAAATAGGTGTGTGACTGGATAGTGGATAGATGATAATACAGGAAAATAAATAGATGAATAATGATAATATTAATAGTAAGAAAAGGAAGAAAAAGAATAGCAGGGTCCACGGCGAATTAAGGAACGATCATGATAACAATCGGGATGACCGAGCTGCTTGATTTCTGACCAAAAGGCAAGAAAGGTATCCTGTCTACGGAGTAGTGCCCACACTGCCCATATAGCGATCGGTCGAGCGTTCCCAGACCATGCTTAGTCGTGGTATAGTGATCCATGATATAGGTATTAGGTACGGAGTACCTTTGGGACTACTCCGTAATAGATTTCTTCGGTAGGTACTCCGTAGGGTAGTATGGTCTAGTCACCTATATTATAGTTACTATAATATGAGAATTGTTAATGGGGCAGCCCCACCGATGGCAATAGTTCCGAATAGCGCTGGTTGAGGATCAACGGGGTTGGTGAAACACCTAGTCTTACTCTTTAGTAGTTGGTTAGGCTCCGTCGATGCGGTCGAGCTTCTCAATTTTGGAGTAATGGCACCAATCCTAACAAGTACTCCGTACTAGGTAACGAATGGAAGTGACATGAAGTGGCTCTCGTATCCGCTCACGGATCATATCCCTCTCTTGTCATGCTCCGACAATCCTGGACGCAAGGCAACCAGACACTCCGACTTGTTCCCCACACTTTGCACACTTTTGGGGCGACGTGCTGCGGAAGAATAATCATCTGGATTGGAGTGACTTGTCAGAGGATGGACCTGACCTGTCGGATTTTCTTCTCCTTCAGTTCTGGTGGTTCTCCGTATTTCCCCATGGGTGGTGGATCCATACCTACTTGGTTAATTCAACCTTGACAAGGACACTTTCTTCCTGACGTGACATGATAATTACACTTGGAACAGCAATTACTATACTCGGAGCTACCCCAACCTCCAGTCAGATGGATGTACAGAGTAAGGAGTGGGATCCAACTCAGCCTACTAGGTACCTAGTAATACTAATAGCGCGGCTCTACTCCGCGTGATTTGATATCCATGCAGTCACCATGTCGCGCCTATCGAGACTTGCTGATAGTCTGATACCAGGAATTATAGTCCGAGTGAGATACTGTTCATGTTGCAGGGCACTGCAGTACAACGAAGCCAGAACGGACAGGATGCCAATAAGAGCCATGTGGTCCTTGAGATTGCATACTAGGTACCTATTAGGTACGGAGTACATGCCTACCTGAGTATTGACCGCTTCGATGAGATGGCTGAAGGTACAGATACTACTGGTAACTACTCATCTAGTACACATGGTCCATGAGGCTAAGATGCTTGGCAAGTGGCTGGGTTGAAGCCCAACCTTACCATCTTGGTACTATTACGATGACTGGATTCTCGTACGATTACGATCATCATTTTTGACTGCTTTCCCCATGATGATTTTGTTCAGGATGTAATTACCTTCCCCATCATCCAAACTTAATTTGATTAATGTAACCCCTAGTGGATACTAATGATGCACCGTTGATCTCTCTCTCCATCGCCATACTAGATGCTCCCTAGTGTTGACACCAAGTAGTCCATCGCAATTATCCATCACCGTCGTCAGATATTGCTTTTGCTCATGCATGCTAGTAATCGAATTAATGAGACCACTTATGATGCTAAGGTTGACTGGACCATTAGAGCGCTTCTAGATCCTTCCCTATCACCGCCTGGAGTTGAGTCTAATTTCCAGGATACCTAAAATGGCATCATGTTGGGTCCCTTGCGTACCGGTTTGATATTGCTTTTTTCCTCTCTCTGGCTTTTTGTTTTTTTCGGACTTTCTCCTTTTGTCTTTTTATTTCTTTTCTTGAATTCCATTTTCTTCCATTTTCTTCGTCTTTTTGCTTTTGTCTTGACCATCCCTTCCATGTCCCCTTCCTTTAATTCAACCTCATCCTCAACGCTTGCCAACCACTAGCCCAAGGCTAACCCCAATAAAGTATACATGATCATACCTACACCCCCACCAGCAGAGAGTGGTCTCGGGCAACTCCCATAAAACGTGGCTCTGGAGTCTGTGCGTGTCTCATCAACCTCACTTTTGCGGAAATCTCTTCGACGTCTTTGAGACATAATGATCATCATGCCAAGCCCACATCCATCTCTAGACGTTCCCCTTAGTCGCGAGTGGGATATGTCCCGACGGGTGTCTTCCTTTTTTTTTTTAACCTGTCGTTGGGCGTATCCGCTGTGGAGAGTGATTCCCCCATTAAACCTGGCAAAGGCCCTAGACACGCCCCGTTTGGATGATGCTACGGTAGTACTGTAGAGATGATTTTGCGCTACTGTCTCCGTGTCGATCTGCAGCGCGGCTGGGCTGCGATGAAATCGCGCCGCCAACGCCAACGCGCTGGGGTGGGCAGTGGGCAGTGGGTCAAGATAAGTCCTTCCTTTCTGGTCAGTCTTCGCATAGAAGGATGCTATCCTGAGTGAAGAGACTGAAAAGAACCCATTCTATAATCTCATTTCACTAGGGGGACAAAAAATAAGAAAAGGAGGAAAGGAAAAGTAAGGAATGCTCTCCGCCTCGTCAAGATTCCTTCTTACGCAAAGCGCTCGCAAAACCCCCAGCTTGCCAACTCGATCCAACTTGAGCCTTCCATACTTGACAAAAAAACCCCCAAAACAAGATCCATTCCAGGAAATGGACGGAACTGAACCGCCCACATTCCATTCCCATCGACAAGCATCTTGTCAACATCAGACAGTCCCCTGTTTGCGACATGCAAGGGGCAAACTCAAATCGCACGGGCGCTAGATGGATACTTCGATCGGGGTGTCAATCTGGCCCGGCCGGAGTGTCAGGATTCACTTGTCGTTGGGCAGGATCAGTCGGAACACCGCCGACCTCTCCCCGATGCGAATCTCGCTCTTGATTTAGCTGATCTGACCATCTTGGCTCATCCTTTCCGGGCACCTCTTGCAGCCATCAGTCCATCTAGAATCAGGAGTCCGGCGTCTGTCCCAATTGCACAAGCCAGGTCAAGCTGGGATTGACTTGGCTGCGCTCCTCCGTGCGTGTGGACGCAAGGATCGATTGATTGACTTGTGCCCAAGTCGTCGTGGCTCCAATCCTTATGTGGTTGATTAGCTTCCCCTCGCTGCTGCTTTACGTGTGTCGGAGCATTACGTGTGCTCTGTGGCTGGCATGTATGTCTGGTGGCGTTGTCATTCGCATGGCAGTGATGTCTAGCGTTCTAGTTTCGTACCAAATTGGAAGTCAGCCGATTTGGAGACGTTGCGTGGAACACGATCCCGGGATTTGAATGTTGGATCCCTGTTATCCATCCTGTCCAGCCTTGAAGATAAAGTTACTTCGTTTAGTATGTGCTGAGGGTGGATTGCACCGGGTGAGCCCTGTCATTTCCCCCGGGTCTGCTCTGGAGGATACTCGAGCGTGAATGAGCTGTTATGTTGGTGCCGTGGAGCCTTCAGATCAGAAGCTCGATGGGATTTGTTGTAGGTTTAATATTGATGCTATCAAAAAAATCAACTGCCCTGGTGAAGTTGATGTGCAATGAGTTAAGAGCATATATCATTCATGAACTATACATATACTCTCTATCGAGTCCTACAATGGAACTTCGATCATATCAACACTATTCATACTATAGCGAGTGGGTTCCATCCAATTTCTACACTTCCATCATAGCTAGTACTTGAGCAAATTGAACCACAGATTCCAGCATACTCACCACATGAACAACGAATTCCATCGTGCTATACTCCGTACTGCAATGGCAGTATATTATTGTCTCTTTAAAAAGTCTTTACGCTAACTTATCACAAGCTACACCCGGGAAAGAATCATCACTGAGTGTCCAAAACCAATTCCTCCCAATCAACCAGCTGTAAACCCCGAAGACAAGTATGTACCTAGAGAGATGCCGCGCATCTAATCTATCTCATTCTGGATATGACACGACCATAGCACCCGAGGAAACCCCGTGTGTAACTAACTGCTCTTCGAACACAGGTGCCATCCGAATAATTATTCTCTGCACGCCTTCCACGAAGGTGGGACACATTGATAAAAAACAACAAAGAGAGAAATAAAAACAAACAACGAACTCGATGTCTAGCCCCCGGCCACGCCGGCTAATTGTTAAACCAATATGAATCTCTTCAGTCATTTACGTTGAAAGAACGGTTTCAGCCCTGCTATATGGATCATATGTTGTATAACGTGCGCATCTGGAATTGTGTGTCATTGCATAGTATCTGACTTAGGTAGGGTTGGGCTCTACGGGCAGGGAATTTCTCAAGCGCACTATCTACTTGCACGATTGAGTATATTGACCTAAGTGGTTAGTAGCTTTCTGGTCGAGTGTTGGTATAGGCTTGGGGCTGTCATTTTGGCTGGATTGGATTGTCCTTATCATGAGAGAAGTATGTCTATCTGGGCTTTGTATTTGTGTCTAGGGTAAACTTGTGTTGTTGCTATGTAGATTGTGTGTAGTATGCGCTGGTTGTGGTTTATATGATTGTATCATGTTGTGCTGTTGTGCATTCGAAGGTATGCTTTCTCTGTGATATGCCGTGTATAGCTTGCAGAAGCAGGCCAGCTCCTCTATAGTTAATCCTACATCTATCAATATCCGGTTCAAACCACGACTCTAGACCAACCAGAGGAATATATGAACTCACTAGCTATAGATCTATAACGTGAACTGGCATGTTTGCCCTTTTGTAAAAGCTGCACCTGCCTCGTCTTATATTAGGGTCGCCCTTCATGAGCTGACTGTTTGTTTTTTTGTGCTTCGTAGTGGAATGATCCCAGCTTGTGGTAACGAGCGATTAGGACACTGAACATTTGATGTTCTGATGAAGTCGATGCTTTCATCAACATGATGATGACTGATAAGTGTAGATAGTCGAAATCCGCAGATATCAAGCATCGAAAAGCTGTTTGCGCCGCCAACTGATGCGTCTATCGTGGTGTGACTGCTTCCACAGCTATATCAAGGGAGGTGGAAAGCAACGGGATATATGCAGTATGTATACTGTCTTATAAGGTGAGTTTCTGGGTTAGATTAGCTCAATTGACTGTATAGTCCACAATCAATTCCGGCCTTGTACTTGTATATGACCCAAGGTGCAGTGTTCAAGCAGTGAGCTGCAAATCTTAGCACCGTCACTATTAGAACGCGATTGTAGGGACGCCTGATTTTGATTGATTCTGGATTGGGAGGTGTAGAGAACGGGGTTGTCGTGTACCTATATCTGTTTGGCATCAGCTGTTTTGTAGAGTTCTAGATAGTTATCAAAGTTCTAGCTGTATAGTGTTTGGAAACAGCCCACGAGGAGCATATACCGTGTATCTAAAGATACTCATTTGCCATCGGCGAATCCGCCCGGTAGCATGGATTAGGTCATGATAATTCATCCTGTCCACCCACTACCCTAAGATCTCCCTTCGCCGCTATGAGTCAATATCTCGTGAGTGGATAATTGATGACTATCGAAAACAGAACCAAGCCATCCGGACCACAGCGCCTATCATGTAATGCGAGGGACTGGTTGGGTCACCAGAGAAATTGGGATATGAAGAGTATACTGCTACCTCGTACATACTGTCAATATCTAGATCTGGTTGAAGTTTGGTCGGGGGAGGAGGTCGACGGAGACAAACCCATTGCTTTAGCACGAGGATGCTAAAGATAGCAGTGCATCCGATCTGTCGAATGCGGCGTCTGCCAGCTGGCTCGAATGCAGTGTCTGCGTTCTATTGAATTGTCTGCAGAGTTGGGTCCTTCGGGCATAGCAGGGTGTCATTGATTTAGTCACGCCTTCTCACTGCTTTGCTGATTGTGAATATACGATTATGGCGTCATATTCTCCATATGGTGTCTCCATATGACTCCTTGATAAAGTGGGTGAGTTGGACGGGGAGCCCATGACATTTCGGTTGGGCAAGGAAAAAGATCCGTATTTTATACATTCTATCCTATCTTATGCGTGAACTGACAATGATAAGCGCAAGATCATTTTCATGTGGGAGTTGAGATCGAGGTCCATGCGGTCAGCAATCTGTGGGATTCATACAGCGGTTCGACTGCTCGTATTGGGACAAATATAGTAAGCGATCCCGCCGTGAAACCAACCTATCGATTGCAGCATTTGCGGAAAACCGTACCATCAACGAGTTGGGATGACGGTGATGAGATCTGTGGAAAGAACATAGCGAGTGATGTGTCAGGAAGTCTGTCAAGCCTGCAGAGTGCAGTTGAAGAGCAGGCACGACGCTGATTGTAGTCAGGTGCGCGTTGGCATCACCGCCATTCCCTATGGAATCTCGAGGATGTAATGGGTACCGGAGTGATATATATCGTGCATATACATGGGCACACTCCTTTCAGGGTGCAACGAACATATCTATGCCCATTGGCGGGGGTAGTCAATCTGTTGGGCTGCCATGGGATAGATATTCTACCAAGAGATAGACAGATGTGCTTCCTTTCCCAAGATGGGAATAGCGGCCATGGTCGTATTCTGCAGGAATGTTGATATTAAGCTCGGCCAGACTCCGACGAGAGACCATGGTAGGTGGATTGATCAACTCCACTAAATCCGATGCCCAATCTAGAGCTTACAAATTATGACCAAGACATACGCATATAAATATAGAAATAAAACTGAAATTGAAATCAAGCATGGGTAGGAATTCGAACCCTGAGCTTTTAACTTCCATTTGGTATTGACTACTCCGTGGAAGCGCCCGATAATAGATGGGTCTAGTTCTAGGTTCTTCTCTTAGCTTCCGAAATTCATTCTTTGTTCTCCTTTTCCTTCCACTGGAAAGAGGCAACAGATTGGTAAGAGTGGTCAGGAATATTCGAAAGCAGTGGGGCGTACAATAATCAAAAACTTTAAAGCCAATATGATAGATCCGAGTGCTATGGAATCATTCTGATTGCACGGCTAAGATCCGACGGAGCCTCGAGGTCGGAAAGAAACTCGGAGAGATTCCAGGGAGAATCCGATTCGACGAATTGATTTCTAAGCCACGTAGAAACCCGATGAGGGAAACGGAGCTGGACGTAGCTGACATGGTATGGATCAAGCTCTGTTTGAAAGTGGGTCCCATATCCTCTCTGCCTGGTAGAATGAAAAGGAAACAAGAAAAAAAGAAAAATAAGGATGGGTGAATTAATCAGCCCAACATGATTCAAGTTGATTGACCGCCTTTCATCCACTTCCAAAGCTGCAGGAGAATTGTGGATTCGTCGCCAGTCGATCCCCTTGGGACCACTCAGAATCCCTCCAGAATCAGCAAGAGGGGGGGAAAAGTGGACTGGTCCAGCCCATGTGGCTATCCTGGTTGAGTCAAGATGATAGTGAATGAGTATCATTATCATCATCCATCAAGGATGAGAAATGACTCAATGAGTAAGCTCAGCTCTGTCAGCCCCTTAATCCCGAGGCTCTATCTCCGAACAATGCCTGGGTGCCTTGCCTGACTAAGACACTAACCTCAGGCAGTAAAGGGTCCGGAGTGGGAACTGCCAGACTGACCAGACTCCCAATCAGACGCCTTTCTCTCGCACCATCTCCTCCTCTCGACTTCCTCCTCCTTCTCCTCCTTCCCCTCTCCCTCCAGGAAATCCCCCCCCATGTGATGGATTCTGTTCATGATGGTTGGCCATATCTCGTTGCCTGGCATGCATTTTGCCGGCGCTCAAAGGTCGCTTCCAACCGACCTTGGCTGAAACCGTCACGGACAATGTGATTTGTCCCATCATTCCAACAGCCTCATGGCTCATCCTGACTCATGGGGCCTTTTTCCTTTCTTTCTCTTTGGGTCTGCCCCACATCACTTTGCGCCGGATGTTGAGGGGCCGCGTTCTCTCTCCTGATTGCTCCGTTTATTCCGTTATCCGTATGGGTCCCTGGATGCGTGCTTGCGATGCCTGACAAATCCACCCTATTTCTTTTCTTTTTTCTTTTTTTTTTTTTTTTTCTGCTTAGGGTCCCCGGTGTTATCGTCGGTGTTAACGAGCAATCCCTGTTTATAAACCATATTTCAATAACGTCCCCTCTTCCTACATAATGTCGAGGTTCAGCGCCGTGGTGGTTGAGTTTCTGTGTTGAAAAAAACCGCCGTCGAAGAACGTCATTTCTTCCCATTCGCCTAACCATCGGTTGCATAATCCGCGGTTTTGGCTGTATAGCTGACTAGTTATCTGATTGATTGTTATCGCTTCTTGTGTCTGGTCACTTAATTGGCTACACCGCGAAGAAGCTTTTCGGTCCATATACCTTCTGTCGCCTTCATTTCATATCTTCTTGAATCGATTGTCGCAGATAGCACCAACCACACCATTTTCTCTGGCATAAAACAAATCGCAAATTTGTTCCCGCCATGGCGGACGAACATCGCCAGCCCGAGGCGCTGGCCCATGCGCAGGGGGCGCATGATGACAGCTTTAATCATACAGATGCTCCGGACTCCACATTCGATTCCAGTACCACCAGTTTCACCGACCAGTCCGTCGAGGGCCGATGGGGCGAACACGCCCAAGAACCCGTCTCCCGTCGGGGTGCGATGGAGGAATTCGAGGAGATGCGACGAGAATTGACCCGGACCCGTTCCGCGACGGCAGACGCCACGCGACTGCGCTCGTTGCCCTCCCACGGTGCCCGTCACCCCCGGGACGAGGAGGAAGGACGAGACGGGGAGGATGCGGAAGGAGAGTTTCAGGGCGGGTTTGATCTGGACGAGTTTCTGCTGGGCGGCCATCTCGAACGACGGACCACGGCAGGAGAACCCGCCAAACGAGTGGGAGTGGTGTTCAAGAACGTGACCGTCAAGGGTGTCCAGACCGGCGCCTCCTTTGTCCGTACCGTGCCCGATGCCGTGCTGGGGACGTTCGGTCCCGATCTATATCGGATACTCGGCCAGTTCATCCCGCCGCTGCGGTTCGGAAAGGCGCCCCCGGTCCGGGATCTGCTCCACGACTTCAGCGGATTGATCCGAGAGGGCGAGATGATGCTCGTGCTGGGTCGACCCGGCGCCGGCTGCTCGACCTTCTTAAAGACGATTGCGAATGATCGGGGTGCCTTTGCCGCGGTGGAGGGTGATGTGAACTACGGCGGCTTGTCCGCCGACGAGCAGTTCAAGCGGTTCCGTGGCGAAGTCAACTACAATCCCGAGGACGACCAACACTTCCCCAACCTCACCGTGTGGCAGACATTGAAATTCTCCCTGATCAACAAGACCAAGAAACACGACCGAGCTAGCATCCCCGTCATTATCGACGCTCTGCTCAAGATGTTCGGCATCACCCACACCAAGGACACCCCCGTTGGGAACGAGTACGTCCGCGGTGTGTCCGGTGGCGAGAGGAAGCGTGTCAGTATTGCCGAGACCCTGGCGACCAAATCGTCGGTGGTCTGCTGGGATAATTCCACCCGCGGCCTGGACGCCAGCACCGCGCTCGATTACGCCAAGTCCCTCCGCATCATGACCGATATCAGCAAACGGACCACCTTGGTCACGCTGTACCAGGCGGGCGAAAGCATCTACGAACTCATGGACAAGGTGATGGTGATCGACGAGGGCCGCATGCTTTACCAGGGACCGGCCAACGAAGCGAAGCAGTACTTCGTCGACCTTGGCTTCCACTGTCAGACGCAGTCAACCACGGCGGACTTCCTCACCTCGCTGTGCGATCCGAACGCCCGTCAATTCCAACCGGGCAGGGAGGCATCGACACCCAAGACGGCCGAGGAGCTCGAGGAAGTCTTCCGACAGAGCAGCGAGTATAAGCGGATCTGGAACGAGGTCTGCGAGTACGAGCAGCGTCTCCAGGACACGAACCAAGAAGACACCCGTCGCTTCCAGAAGACTGTCGCCCAGTCTAAGAGTAAAACGGTCTCCAAGAATTCGAGTTACACGGTGTCCCTGCCCCGACAGGTCATGGCGTGTGTCCAGCGCGAGTTCTGGCTTCTCTGGGGCGACAAGACGTCTCTCTACACCAAATACTTTATCATCATTTCCAACGGCCTGATTGTCTCATCTCTCTTCTACGGTGAATCTTTGGATACCAGCGGCGCCTTCACGCGTGGCGGTGCCCTATTCTTCTCGATTCTCTTCCTGGGCTGGCTGCAACTGACCGAGTTGATGCCCGCGGTCACCGGGCGTGGCATCGTTGCGCGCCACAAAGATTATGCCTTTTACCGTCCCTCGGCAGTCGCAATTGCCCGCGTGGTGATGGATTTCCCGTCTATATTCTGCATGGTGGTGCCGTTCACCGTCATCGTCTATTTCATGGCCGGCCTGGATGTCACCGTCTCGAAATTCTTCATCTACTTTCTGTTTGTGTACACGACCACTTTCTGCATCACATCTCTCTATCGCATGTTCGCCGCCCTGTCGCCGACGATCGACGACGCGGTTCGGTTCAGCGGTATCGCCTTGAACGTGTTGATCCTGTTCGTCGGCTATGTGATTCCCAAACAAGACCTGATCGACGGCTCTATCTGGTTCGGGTGGCTCTTCTACGTCAACCCGATCGCCTACAGCTACGAGTCGGTTCTTACGAATGAATTCTCCGGCCGTGTCATGCAGTGCAGTCCCTCGATGCTGATCCCTCAGGGCCCGGGTATCGATCCGAAATACCAGGGATGCTCCCTCACAGGATCTCAGCTCGGCCAGGCGGATGTCTCGGGCTCTGCATATCTCCAGACCACCTTCCAGTTCACCCGGAGTCATCTCTGGCGGAATTTTGGTGTTGTCATCGCGTTCACCGTGCTGTATCTTTTGGTCACCGTTCTTGCTGCCGAATACCTGACATTCACTGGCGGTGGCGGTGGCGCCCTCGTCTTCAAGCGGTCGAGCCGTGCGAAGAAGCTGAAGGCGCAGACTGGCAAGGAGAACGATGAAGAAAAGGTCGAACGTCCGGAAGATAACGCGGCGCTAGCACGCGGAGAGGCGAGATCATCCGGAGATGCCCAACCGTTCAACAAGCTGTCGTCCAGCGACAGGGTCTTCACCTGGTCCAATGTCGAATACACGGTCCCATACGGAAACGGAACGAGAAAGCTCCTCAACGGTATTGATGGCTACGCCAAGCCCGGTTTCATGATTGCCCTAATGGGTGCCTCTGGAGCGGGTAAGACCACCTTGCTCAACACCCTGGCCCAGCGTCAGAAGACGGGCGTCGTGTCTGGTGATATGCTGGTCGACGGCCACTCCCTGGGCGCCGATTTCCAGCGCGGCACGGGATTCTGCGAACAAATGGACCTCCACGACAACACCGCTACCATCCGCGAAGCGCTTGAGTTCTCGGCCTTGCTCCGTCAGGACCGGAATGTTCCGCGGGAGGAGAAGCTTGACTATGTCAACAAGATCATCGACCTGCTGGAACTCGAAGACATCCAGGACGCGATCATCGGCTCCCTCAACGTCGAGCAGAAGAAGCGGGTGACTATCGGCGTCGAGCTGGCTGCGAAGCCAAGCCTTCTTCTCTTCTTGGACGAGCCCACCAGTGGTCTCGACAGTCAGGCGGCTTACTCGATCGTGCGGTTCCTGAAGAAGCTCTCCCAGGCGGGACAGGCGATTCTGTGCACGATCCACCAGCCGTCGTCCATGCTTATCCAGCAGTTCGACATGATCCTGGCCTTGAACCCCGGTGGAAATACCTTCTACTTCGGTCCCGTTGGCCCCGAAGGTCGCGACGTGACCAAGTACTTCGCGGACCACGGAGCGGTGTGTCCCCCTTCGAAGAACGTCGCCGAATTCGTGCTTGAAACCGCTGCCAAGGCAACCACCAAGGACGGCAAAAAGGTCGACTGGAATGACATCTGGCAGCGCTCGGAACAGAACCAGAATCTACGGAACGAGATTCAGCGCCTGACCGCAGAGCGCAGCAAGATCCCCATCACCGACCACGGAGTTCAATACGAGTTCGCCGCGCCGACCTGGACCCAGACCAAGCTTCTCACCGAGCGCATCTTCCGCCAGTACTGGCGCGACCCGTCTTACTACTACGGCAAGCTCTTCGTCAGCGTCATCATCGGCATCTTCAACGGGTTCACCTTTTACATGCTCGACAACTCCATCGCCAGCATGCAAAACCGCATGTTCTCCATCTTCCTGATCATTCTCATCCCACCCGTCGTCCTCAACAGCGTCGTCCCCAAGTTCTACATGAACCGCGCCCTCTGGGAAGCGCGCGAATTCCCCAGCCGCATCTACGGCTGGGTCGCCTTTTGCACCGCCAACGTCGTCTGCGAGATCCCCATGGCCATCCTCTCCGGCCTCATCTACTGGCTCCTCTGGTACTACCCCGTCGGCTTCCCCACAGACTCCAGCACCGCAGGCTACGTCTTCCTCATGTCCATGCTCTTCTACCTCTTCCAGGCCAGCTGGGGCCAATGGATCTGCGCCTTCGCCCCCTCCTTCACAGTCATCTCCAACGTCCTCCCCTTCTTCTTCGTCATGGTCAACCTCTTCAACGGCATCGTCCGCCCCTACAGCACCTACCCCGTCTTCTGGAAATACTGGATGTACTACGTCAACCCAGTCACCTGGTGGCTCCGCGGCGTCATCGCCGCCGTCTTCCCCGCCGTCCAAGTCCACTGCTCTCCCAAAGAAGCAACCCACTTCAGCCCGCCCCCCGGATCCACCTGTGCAGACCATGCCGGCGCCTTCGTCGACAAAATCGCTCGCGTCGGCTACCTCGTTAACCCGGATGCCTCCACAGACTGCCAGTACTGTCCCTACAAGGATGGCACCGAGTATATGAGCATGCTGAACGTCCACGACGGCGACAAGTGGCGCTGCTTCGGCATCTTCTTGGCCTTTGTGATCATCAACTGGCTCCTGGTGTATTTCTTTATCTACACTGTTAGAGTCAGGGGCTGGTCGTTCGGGATGGGCTATTTGTTTGGCGGGTTGGGGTTGGTGATTGATGCGGTCAAGAAGCCGTTTTCGAGGAGCGAGAAGAAGGTGGAGGAGTAGATTCTCCTCCTCTTTTTCCTTTCTTTTTCCTTTTTCTACTCTATTTTAATTTTTATTTATTTATTCTGTGAGCGTTGGACATGTGGATGGGAAGGTGAAAAGATAGAAGAGATGATGGTTATGATGAATGAGAGATATAGATTTCACTTTGTGTATTTATTTCATATCCATTATAGATAGTGAATTGGCTATACATTAAATATTATAATCATAAGCTTATATACCATAATTTAGAAACTTAACCATACTATCCAATTCTTATGAGGAGAAAGAAGGAAAATAGTTTCTTACTATCTAGTCAGGTAACTACAATAATTTGAACCATTTCCATTGAGTGAGATGGATAACCCTCATGATAAAAAGGACAATAGATAGGTATGTATCATTGAAACAAGTATGCCATTACTCAATCAATCTCTGTTATCTCATTTCCTTGTAATAACCCACGCCCCCACATCATCCTCTGAAGAAGACCTCGATCGACTGATCATGTTAAATCAGTCTCCATGTAATACCACGGTCTCCGATCCGGTTCATACCGAGCACCAGGGAGACGCATCGGCACGGGGACAACATTTCTAAACATGTCTAGATGGGTTGCTGATTCCTGGGGTGAATATCCGGGCTGTGATTTGCCTTCCTGGGCTGGGCTTCTACTTTCTGCGGGTGCAGATGTAGAGTCGTTGATGACTGGGATCAAGACGCCGCATTCCCAGTTTCGACAGTTGAGTTTGGGTTCTTTTGTCGCGCGGTCTTGAACGAGGCGGCCCCTGTTTTGGTGGCGTCTTGTTAGCGGGGTCGCGGTGTCTCTCTGTGGAAGTGGGCTGGGGTTTGGGAACGCACCAGGCGCTCTCGGATAGATTTGCGCTTCCTACGTATGCCCATGCCTGGCACTGTTTGTTGTTAGGTAGTGGGATTGGCTCGTCCGGTCTCACGTAGAGAATCTTGCACTGTTAGCAGCTGCCATATCACATCAGATGTTTGAGGCGGGTGGACATACCTTGCTGTGCATGAGTACGTTTCCCCTCTCGCTCACACTGTCCCTGAGGATATGGCGCGGGAATTTCGGGTTGCTGTACCATTTGGACTGGAAGCAGATCGTTCCTGCGCAGTTCGGCCCGCCCTTAGATGCGTCGACTGTCATCTGCGAAGGGAAATACGCCCGGAATCTGTTGTCCTTCCATTCTGCGGCGGTGTTTTTCTGGATCAGTCGGTTGGGGTCGGTGCGGCTTCTGGCTGGGAAGGATTTCGCGGTTCGAAGGGTGTATTCGGTTGTTCCGTCGTCGCCTTGGACATTTAGTTTGTGGTTATCTTGCTACTTGTTGCCAACTTACCTTGCGCTGCTAGGTACAGTGATCTCAAGAATTCGTCAGTCAAGGATCCCAGGGATGATGTCTGTGCTTGTTAGTGTGGTTGTAATCTAGATAGTGATCAAGGATAACTGACGACAAAGTCGAGATTGAGCGGCTTCGACACCTGTAAGCCCAGGTTGTTCACTGAGCGTCCTAAACCACAGTACCCCGTCCGTTTCCACGCATCCCCTGTATGCGAGCCGCCACTGAATGGGATAAGCTTTCATTGCGACATGTTGTGTAGAGACTGGCACTTACATGGTGTGAACAAATGCAATGTGAGAGGTACTGCTAAAGTCAAAAAGGTTGAGTTTCGATATGATATTCTCGTTCAAGGCGCTGGCTTTGAGGAAATAGGCCAACTCTTCGAAAAAGGCCGTTGCAACTGTATGGCTTGCGGATTCTTTCTTCTTGGGAAGATCAATAAGAAAAACACTCTGCGCTCCAGTTAGCTCACGAAAAATTTGGAGATCAAATGCGACATACGTTTTCCATGACACCTCCCATCTCGCCCCAGTCGTAAGGCACGAGATTGGCTGTTGGTACAACAATCCGGAGATACTGAGGATGGAAGAGAAGCATCAACTTTGAATGCATGCAATTCACTTGTGCTTCCATTGGTGGGAAACACAGTCTCAGATTAGGCAAGGAAGCGGTCTCGGCCTCATATTGGCGTTTCTTGAAAGGGTTAGCTTTGAAGCATGATAAGTGCTTACTGTAAACAGCGAAGGTCACAGAAGTCGATCAAATAGACAATATGATGTCGCGAGCATCCCAATCCGGATACCGATAGGAAAACTTACAGTAGCATCGTCCTTAGCCTGCATCATCAAGAGAAGACGCGTCTTCCTTGTATCCAGCTTTGAGAAAAGCCATTCCATGTCCCACATGAATGAGCTCAAGACAGCAAGTTCAAGGTCAGACTTTTGAAAGACCTCTTCGATTTTGATATCGTCGCCCATTCTACGGCAGCTAAAGGCCCATGTTTTCTTCACGGTGCCCATTGGAAATTGAACGGACGGACTAAGGGATGGCTGGGGATTCTGCTGCGTCTTCCCAGAGATATCCTGACTAGAGCCATCTGGCTTGCCTGCTGTATCGTACACAGGGACGTCCTTTGAGCTAATCTTCTGGGGCTTCGGTGGAGAATCAATCCGCGGGTGTTTAACATCGCGCTCATCAGTAGACGCACTACGCTCAGCCTTTCGTTTGGCGAAGCGTGCAAGGCGCTCTTGCTCCATTTGTTTCCGATCCAGGCCCAGAATGCCGGTTGGTGTTGAATGTTGTTGATCATTCGATGGATTTTCAGGTTCCTTCGAAGAAGGAGGGATTGAATGCTCGCTTGTACGATCAACGCGGGAAGATTGTGTGATTTGAACGTCACTTTCTTCCTGTACGGATAGCTCAATAGCCCGTCTGAGGTCTTCATCGTCATAATCGCTCTTCTCCTGGCCTGCTTCATCGTCCGTCTCAGAGCCTACCAAAGATTGTGATTTTGGAAAGATCGGGACTACTTCGTCATCTGACTCGGCAGTAAGATCAACAACCTGTTGGGGTCCGTGAGAGACAACATGGTTCGAGTTCCGCCCATCTTCCAGAGACGCGGCAATGGCCTCTCGCAGCTCTTGGTCTTCCTGGTCTCCTGCATCCATGGTGGAGACTTGGCTGTAAGGGTTTTAAGTGGCAAGATAGACAACAAATATCTCTGAGATGACAAGGAGATGGTAGGAAAGAATGAGTTGGTTGTCTCACACAAGCCTTGCCAAATCTGGGGAAATGAAATGGCCTCAGTAGAATGATATTGGGAAAATATTGGTTGAATCAATGAAAAGCAGTACTATGTAAATAGTACTACGCAAATGGCGCGCAATGAGTGCAGGGGTGATCTCATGGAACTCAAATCGGGCCTTGATGCGCAGGGTAGTAATGGGAATACTAGGCACCGCAATATCACGATGAGGAAGTAGAGGAACGCGAATGATGGAGTAGAAGCTGCAGAGGAGAGCTGGAGAAGGTTCAACTACCAGTGATTGTTGTTGTTTCGCTACAATCACGTGACTGAGACGGTCACAGACCAGGACGGTGAACGAATTCTGTATTATAAGCTCTATCCTTGGGAAAAAGGTTGCAATGACTACTGGGAAGACGGCTATGAAGTGGTATTGTAGCTGTATTCAATCATCCAACCAACGTAGGTTAGAAGCTAAGAAAAGGAAAAGTAGATATTTATCCCTCTCGAGGCTATTATTCACTACTTTTATCTCAGAAAGTAGAAAAATCAGTTTCTCACAGGAAAAACACCCGACGGTAAATGCTGCACTGTCTTTCAATAACAGTAGAACTTGTTGGTCTATAACCAAAGCTGGAGTGCCACAAGAATGGAAGACAATATTTTAGTCCTGTCTTGAGCCCCTTGCAACACCTGTATCCTGTCCAAACTATCCACGCACTGCTTTCTCTGGATAAGGCGTGTAGGGAAACGGCCATAAAAAAACTGGTTGGCGGCTGCGGTAGGATGGCAATTTCGAAACCATATCCTCTGCTGCGAGAAGGGGGACTGTACGAGCTTTGCAGCACCGTATGACTTTCTGACTTGCCATCAGCCTGGGAATAAAAGTTTCTGATCGTCTATTCCTTGATCCGAGATGACGAGAAACTGCCGTGAACGACTTATGCAATCAACGGCCGAGCTGTTCTTGGTATCAGATTGTCCAGGGCCATAAGAGATTTGCCGTGCAGACATGGGATTATCTTCGCGGGTTTTGAGATGCGCCGTTTTGCACCCTAAAAGGCGACCAAAGCGACTGCCGGGGCCGTAACATATCGATGTTTTGTAAACCTGTGCCTCGGTTCCTGTTGGCTTCATATTTCTGAGCTCATGCATCGCCCCTTCTCTTCCACGCATCACTTTTTGGCTTCCCCCACGGCCGGATTAGGTCTCTCTAGATGCACTGAAGCGCAAGATCCGTAATTCCAAAAAAGACATCGCGATCAGCCTCGGCGGTCTCAAGCCCGATCCCAACAACGAGCAAACGTTTCTCATTGGGGTTCTTCGTCACAATGATACTAGCCACCTGACGGGCATATAGCTGACCAATCGTCTCATGTCCAGGAAGCCGGCCCCCCAGCAAAGAAGTGGCAGTCAAGCTAGCCATTGGAAGAAGGCTGTCGTCGTCTGCGGATTCTGGGATAGTGTGCGCCCCATCCGTGCCTGGGTTTTGACTGCCCAGAGGGACATGTAGCTGCAGCCAATTAGTTACGCGCTGACAGGATCACTAGAGCGTGAACCACGAACCCAGTGACCGAGCCGGCCTTTTTGAGATATGGTAAAGAGGATCTTATCGCTGAAGCTCAGCGACATCACATCGGTTTGGACTCCATTGATCACACCAGTGGCTTGCTTCGTGGCAGCAGGGAAAGGGAGGTCCAGATGGTCTGGGAGTTGGTTGACGTCAAATGAATTAGCCATGGTGGATTGCCTTTCTTTCTTCGATTTGGATGTCTAGTTGGTTGGTTGGTAAACAGAACGCCATGGTGGGGAATCGTCAGCGGCACATGTTCCAAGGCGGTCAACGCAGTCTCCCCGATCGGCGGGCAGAATCCCACCGCCGCCCGAGTTTTTCTTATTTGGTCTACTCCAATCTTTTTTTTTTCTTGGGGATTGCTGCTCGTCCTACTCCGATTTTGTTGAGGAGAAGTCGCAGACAGAATTGAAGATGCCCAAGTTCGTCCCTCGCCAGCGGAAGCAAAAGCACCGCCAGAAACAGGAGAAGGGCGCCGTGGGTCTAGACTCGAATGCCACCGAGATACAACCGGTCTCCAAAAGTGAGAAGGAAGCCAGACGGCAAGATCTCAGAGAGAATTTAAGAGCGCAGCACTCGAATATTTCCTCCAAGAAGCAGAAGCGTCTGGATAAATACATTGTATGCGAGGATCATGCCGGAGTCATATAGGTGCCCGTGTATACTAACTTAGAGCAGGAAAACAAATTAAAGAAAGAAGAGAATGTCGAGCTGCTGAAAAAGCTCGCTGAATCGAAAGCTGACACTTCAGGCCTATTGCGTACGAGGGAGCTCGGGAAACGCAAAAGAGAGGATGGCGACTATCGTTCGAACCCGTCTCGGGAACACGATGGTCATATGAACCAAGACTTGTCCGGCGATGAGACAGACGATTCTTTCGTCGAGAAGGACCCGAAATCGAATAAAGCCGCGGCATTTGCAGCACCGCCCAAAGAAACACAGGCTGTCGGTAGCGGTCTCAAGCGACCTCTTGAGCTGGGCCCGGATGGATTCCCTGTCCTCAAAAAGCGAAAGCCCGCACCGAAACCGAAACCAACGGTGATTGAAGTACAGGATGTCCCGTGGGAAGGATTCGGCTCGGAAGACGATGCGACAAGCCAAGACGATGGATCAGAGGAGGATAGTGACGACGACGAAGAGGACATGGATAATGAGGATAGCGAAGGAGAGTCCGAAGAGTCGTCAGTGGATGGTACTGAGGATGACAGCGATGAAGACAGTGACGAGGACGAAGAAGATGAAGAAGATGAGGAAGATGGTTCAGTCAAGCCGATGCCCCGTCAATCCGCCTTCAAGTCTTGGGCCAGGCAACAGATCAACGATACCGTGGGATTCACACCCGCCACCACTCCAGTTACCGCCGAAGAGCAACCGTTCGTCCTCGAATCTAAAAAGCCTGTCAGAAATACTGTTGAGATCGAGGAGCCACTTCCTGCAGAGCTTCAGGTGACCAAGGGCAACCCTTATCGGAAGGCTTTCAGTGTCCCAGTTAATCGGACTGAAGAGATCCAGAATGCGCGCTTGGGACTTCCTGTTGTGGGTGAGGAGCAGAAGATCATGGAAGCAATCCATAACAATCCCGCCATCGTGATTTGGGGAGCCACTGGTAGCGGAAAGACTACGCAGCTCCCACAGTTCCTGTTCGAAGCTGGGTACGGCAATCCCGACAGTCCCAATCCAGGGATGATCGCAGTGACCCAACCCCGTCGGGTTGCCGCCGTCAGTATGGCCAAGCGTGTCGGCGATGAATTGGGCCAGTTTTCCGACCAGGTCTCTTACCAGATCCGATTCGAGAGCACAGTTTCCAGCAAGACTGCCATCAAGTTCATGACCGATGGTATCCTTATCCGTGAAATCGCCGAAGACTTCTCTCTGAGCAAGTACTCCATCATTGTAATTGATGAAGCTCACGAGCGAAGTGTCAACACGGACATTCTCATTGGCATGGTGAGCCGGATTGTCGACTTGCGAAAGACGATGGGCGCGGAGGATCCGAAGGTCAAACCCCTGAAACTCGTGGTCATGTCTGCAACGCTTCGTATTTCGGATTTCACCCAGAACACAAGCTTGTTCCGCCAGGGACCTCCGCCATTAGTCCAGGCCGAAGGCCGCCAATACCCCGTCACGGTGCACTTCGCCCGAACCACGCATCGCGACTATGTGGAGGAAGCGTTCCGCAAGGTCTCCAGAGGCCACCGCAAGTTGCCTCCCGGCGGCATGCTCGTGTTTTTGACCGGACAGGGTGAAATCAGAAGCCTTGCCAAGCGTCTCAAGCAGACTTTCAAGCCCACGCAACGAGGGGATCTCACACAGGCCAAGGTCCAAATCACGGCGAACGATGCTCCACTGGAGGCAGAGGACCTCGATATTGGAGGTGCTGACCTATCCAATATTGGCGATGAGGAGGATGACTACAGCGACGTCGAGATCACCGGTCTGGACGACCCCGAAGAAGATGAGGAGTTCGATTTGGGCGAGGAAGCAATGGACTCGTCGACGAGGGTACACGTGCTCCCATTGTATTCGCAGCTGCCTACCAAGGAGCAGCTGAGGGTTTTCGAACAGCCACCGGAAGGCTCACGGCTTATCGTACTAGCGACCAACGTGGCCGAAACAAGTCTGACGATCCCCGGCATCAAATATGTCTTTGACTGCGGACGAGCCAAAGAGAAACAATACGATCTGGAGACGGGGGTACAAAAGTTCCAAGTCGACTGGATCAGCAAGGCCAGCTCAAACCAGAGAGCAGGACGAGCCGGTCGAACAGGACCCGGCCACTGCTACCGATTATACTCATCCGCGGTTTACGAAGGCCATTTCGCCGAATACACAGAGCCAGAGATTTTGCGGACGCCCATTGAAGGAGTCGTGCTACAGATGAAGAGCATGGGTCTTCACAATGTCATCAACTTCCCGTTCCCTACGCCGCCCAGCCGACAGGGCCTATTCAAGGCCGAGAAGCTGCTGAAGAACCTGGGCGCGCTCACGGCCGATGGGCAAATCACCCAGATTGGCAAGCGTTTGTCGACCTACCCCCTGTCGCCTCGCTTCAGCAAGATGCTCTACATCGGCAACCAACACGGCTGCATGCCCTATGTCATCGCGCTCGTTGCTGCCCTCGCAGTCGGGGACCTGTTTGTCCCCGCAAACCAGATCGACCCACCGGCGGCACCCGCGCAAAATTCCGCGCAACATGACGAAGACACCAAGAGAAGTGTCTACACCAACGCCGACCGGCTCGAAGACACCGCCCGGGCACAGCGCGCCAAGGACCACGCGCGAGCCCACCGTCTCTTCAGCAAGCACGACGACACCTCCGACGCGCTCAAGTACCTGTCCGCAATCTGCGCCTACGCCTACGCCCCCGACGGGGAGTCCTTCTGCGAAAGCATGTTCCTCCGCGCCAAGGGCTTGAAAGAAGCCGCCCAGCTCCGAAGCCAGCTCGCAGACATCGTCCGCGCCAACAACCCGGGCATCATGGGCGCATACCAGCCCCGTCTCCCCGAGCCATCAGACAAGCAGACTAAGGCCCTCAAGCAGATCATCACCGCAGGCTTCATCGACAACGTCGCCATCCGCGCCGACCTCGCGCCCGTGCCCCCGGAAATCGACCGAACCCCAAAGCGCGCCATCGATGTCCCGTACCTAACGCTCTTCAAGTCCCGCGAGGGTCCCACAACCGAGCTCCACGAAAAGGCCGTCTACGTACACCCGTCATCGCTGATCGCAGGCCTCACCCCCAAGGAAATGCCCCAGTACATCATCTATACGCACCTCCAGCAGTCCGCGCCGTCGGTCGTCTCCGACCAAGCGCCCAAGATCAGAATGCACCCGCTCGTCGCGCCCAGCGGGCTGCAGCTTTCTGCGCTTGCTCACGGCACCCCGCTTCTTCAGTATGGGAAGCCTATCGGCAAGATTGAGCAGATCGATGGGATCCCCCCGCGCCGCGCGTGCTGGGTCATTCCGTCGCTGGTGGGTGAAGGTGGGGGGACGGGGTGGCCGTTGCCGGCTAAGAAGGTGGTTCAAAGGAAGGACCCGAAGGAGGGCTGGGTGATTGAAAAGTTTGTTTAGTAGTGTATATATTATACCCATGATTTTGAATATTATGATGGTATGACTATTCTAAATACTGTATGGACCGATAGTTCGTAGACGTATTTCTCACTCAGTTCAGTCGTCTTCATTTTGATCAACATAGTAAAAGAACTATTAATGACAATGATAACCCTAACGCCAAAGCCTAAACCAACAAACCCAGATACAAAAGACAAAGAAAAGAAGAAAAGAAGCTAATACCTCTCCCTCTCCCTCCTCCTCTCAGAAAACCCATAATCCCTCGAGCTCGAAATCTCCCCCGTCTCCTTATCCTCCCTGATCCCCAAAGCCCTCCGCAACCGCTCACTCTCCTCGATCTTCGCCTCAGCAAGCTCATGCACCTGATACGCCTTGAACTGCTTCCTCCCTTTGTTTCCACCCTTCCTGTCATCCGCAGGCCCGGAGCGCCCTCCCCTGGAAGAATCATCCCCCTCATCCAACTCCCTCAACAACCTCGCTCTCAAAACCTCACACCGCTCATCGATCTCCTCTTCAGACAGAACCCTCCTCTTCCCATCTTCACCACCATCACCACTCTCATCAACCTCCCCATCCTCCCCACCTTTCTTTTCCCCTCTCTCCTCCTCCTTCCCCGCCTTCTGATCCTCACCCATCTCCTCAATCTCCTCATTCTCCTCCTCCAACCTCTCCCTCTCCTCCATAACCCTCACCTCGATCTCCCTCCGCCGATCATGTTCCAGAATCTGCCGATCCGGCATCCGCTGCCTGAACGGTTTCCCCGCGTCCAGTGCGGCGCCTGCGCCTGCGACGGGCGGGTAAGGCGCCCCGTAGCCCGTGTTGCGGGGTTTCATGAACGCGCTGTTGCGCTGCACGTAGCCCGATGTGCCGCTGCCTCGGGGCGTGGAGAGGCCGACGTTGGAGGACATTTTGGTTGATTTGTTTTCTTTTTTTTTTCCCTTCTGGTCTGGTTGTGGGGTTGGTTTTGGTTATGTATGTCGAGGGACTTTCTTGTTGGGTTGTGTTTGGATGGGCCTGAGTGGGTGGATTGGAGGTTTTGCTGAGTTGCGCTTTTGTTTCGGTGGTGGGTTGATGGTAGGTATGGAAATTGGTAAATTGCTCGGTAGTAGATCTGAGGTGACAGTCTGAGAGGTGGGTAATAAGGTACTTTGCGCTGTTGATACCAACCAGAGTCGCAGTCGGGATCAACGTCCAGATAGTTTGCAAGCCGTGGCGAAGTTCCGCATCGGAGATATGGGTCACGTGGAGATAACGCTGATAACAACCAAACATCTCGACAATGTATATACTTCATGCCCGATGGACTAATCGTTACTACAGTGCTTTTGCGACAGTACAATCAAGACGATTCCTACTGGAAAAACCATGGGGAGTAATGTTCAATTTAGCCTACTCGCTGTATACCGACATAACAGACCTCGACATGCACCAGGCATGTGCTTGTGTCAGCCTATTTCCAGGTCTTCCCCTATGTCCAAGGTTTGTTTCCCCATTTTTGTAAACCCTTTCTGTCCAATCCCCTTTGTTTCACCCATTTAGACGCCGATCCCTCATATTCGAACAAGGAGCAAATAACAAAACCATTTACTGACAGTTATGGAGGCGTGTTCTCGTTTCATCACATCAGCTTCGGGAAGAAAAGACATGCACAGATTAAAGATATAAAGCATGAAGAATATGTCGAGAAGGGAGGCGCAAGGGGTGAAAGGGTGATGGAAATAGTGATAGTGTAAAGAAATAATGAAGGCAAGAAAGTAGAAAGGTCAGCACTAATCCCATCACGGCTCTGAGTCATGATTGTCGCCATGCCGTGGGGTGTCAGGGAGTAAAAGATGAGAAAGAAAAAGGAAAAGAGGAAACAAGTGGGGGAAAAAAAAAAACAAAGAAAAAAGAAAAGCACCAAATCCCATTAGTGATACCTCATATTTCCCATAATAGACCTGTATGTAGACGCCCCGAATTAGAAGTTAAACATGCCCCGGGCCCCGAGGGAACAGAAAAAAAAAATGTATCAATAGAAGCAACGATGTATATCATGTACCGACAGAGGCGGCGTCTGCAGACTCCGACTCGGCCAAGCGCGTGACGGTGGTTCGTGCGATGTTTTTGGATTCGGTAGAAGCATCCCCAGGGCACTGCGTGTCGGTGGGAGGCGGCGTGGGCGGGGCAGCTCCGACCACAGGAACCCGGCAGTTGTCAATGCCATTCACGGACCGCTTGGACGGCTGCGGAGAGGACTTGTGAGAGTTGGGGGGCGTTGTGGACGACGCCGTGTGAGCAAGGGGGCCCGCAGGAGCTTCCGCGTCATTAATCTGTTTCTCAATGGCCATGATTTGCCGCCCGTGAGACTTGTCCTTGAGATCTTTCAAGATTGGCTTGATCCGCTCCACCAGGGCCTCTCGATCCGCACCCTTGAGCATCGCGAGAACCTTCTCTGCCATGGGTATTAGCAATGGAGTACGCGGGAAAGAGAGAGAGATATCCAAGATGGAACTCACGAATGACATAATTCCCGAACTGGTCGCGCATGAGACCTTGCAGTGCGCTGTTGCCATCTGCATCCTGCGACGTCAATTGGTGGAAGATCTCCTGCCGGTGAGCTTCCGTTCCAAACTCGATACACTTCTCGACCACATTGCTGGCAAACTTGTGCTTCGAGTACGTGATCACATGGGTGATGACGACCGCGACCATCTGAGCCCGGTCGTCCTCATCCCCATTCTCAATCACATGCTGAATCACGTAGTTGCCGAATTGATCCGCGATGAGCTTCGATGTGCATGCATGGAGCTCCTCGAGGATGGATCGTCGGTCAGCCTCCTGGCAGTGCTCCAGCATCCGTTGGATGACCCGGCACCCGTACGGATGGGTGGCAAGTTTGTCAACCTGCCCCTTGAAGGCGTTGATGATGAATTGCACATGCTCGGATGGAACCCGTTCGATAGCCTTCTGGATGACATGGTTGCCGTTTTGGTCACGCACACAGCGCAACACGGATGGCTCCAGCTCCTTGACCATCGCTGCTTGCTGGTCGGTAAGGACGTGTTCCAAAGCCTGCCATTATTTGATTAGCGACGAGCGCCACAGGTGGTAGAGAACTGCTCACCTTCTGAACCACACGGCACCCATACATCTGCGTGGACAAAACCAGGATATGGTTCTTCATGCTGTAGGCCAACATCTTTTTCTGGGTCTGGTTGCCATGCTCGAACATTTTCTGGATGACGTAGTTTCCAAAGACGTCGGACATGAGCTGGATGCAGTTGTCCAGAATCTCCTTGAAGACTTGTTCCTTTTCATCGCTGTTTGCCGTCTCTAGCTTTTGTTGAATAAATCGAGACCCATGCTGGTCACCGCTGAACTCCACTATATGTCCGTATATATCCTGCGGTCCGTGTGTGAGCATGTGTCGCGCGCGTTCCAGCCTGAGGGACAAGGGGGAAAAAAAAAAAAAAAACTTACTTTCAACTCATATCGTTTACTACCCTTGCTGTTGGCGCGAAACTCTTCCAGAACGATACTTCGGTGCGGCGACGGTTGATCACGGGAACCTCTGGTAGACATAGCAGGTCCGGTAAACTGGGGCACGCCGTAGTATGGGGCCACGCCAGCCATTTGGGTCAGATGTGCCGCGGGAAACTGGACCATGTCGTAAGCCGGTCGACTGGAAGAAGGGAACCGTTGCTGCAAGGGGTTTCCCGAGGCCGGCAGAAAATCATGATCGGGCTGGTACGCTCGCAACCGTCGCTCCAAGTTGGCGGCTTGGTGCTCTGACAAGCGGCTTCCGGAAGAGTTTCGAAAGTGCGGCATGTTGGAGGGATTACCGTCCAGACCATTGTAAAACGGGCTATCCATCCGATATTCGGACGGGGAGACGTTGTCCCCAATCCGCGGCCTGATCGCTGGGTAACCCAATTGCACGTCCGCCGCGGGGTCCCCTCGGTAGCCCGACATCGTCTGGTAGGCGACATCGTCGGCCCCCGGTTGATAGTTGTATCGGGCGAACTGCTCATCCAGGGACGGACTAGACAGATAGGTCGATCGATTTGTTACGGAATGTGACGGCAACATGCTGTTGTCACTTATTTGCAACCGGTTAAAATCCACGGATCCGTTCCCAATCCGACCATCGAACCCTTGGCTATCTGAATGGAACGACGGGAATGACGAGTGCGTGGGCCGGTGCGACGTGAAAGATGCAGAATTGTGCGCTGCATGGGTATAGGTGTTGCGGGCGAGAGGTGGAGGAACTTTATCAGGCAGAGCCTGCGGCAACGAAGACATGGCCGCGGATCCCCCGATTTCCTCGGACCTTGCGTTGTCCAGCGGGCTTGCGAAGCCTGGCTTGATCGAGAACCCAGGCCCCCTCGCAGCCCCGCCGAAACCAGTCACACTGGTGGCACTGGCGTGCCGCCGACTTTCTCCATTCCTCAAACCATTGAAGGCACCAAAGCTGTTGCCATCGTTGGAGGGCGAGATGGCATCCGGCGTACTATGCAGGTAGGTGTTGTGAGGCGTCGCACCAATGGAGGACCCAATGGCAGACGACCTGGGGATGGAGAAGTACGAGGGATCAGTCGTCTCGGAGAGGGCCGCCACACTTCGCTCGTTCCCGCGGGTCTGCACTGGCGAGGTGGTCATGCTGGCATTGTGAGCCCGTGACAGGGAGCCCGAGGACGAGTTGATCGTATCCCAGGGAAGGTTATGACGACCGCGGCTCCCCCACCCGTCCGACTCTGACGTGGATAACAGCGAGCTCGAGCCGGCTTTCCCCTCTAAAACGGCCTCGTTCAGGTTCTGGTCTGTCAAGCATCGTTAGTACGGGCGTCATGAGAGCTGCAGGGAATTCCCAGGCCCTACCTCCTAGATTGCCGTTCCATATATTCGCGGAGCTCCAGCCGGAATTGCCACTGCCAAAGCCGTTCGCCATACTTGGATGCCTCCCTCGCGATCTATCCCCATTCAGAGATGATGGGTTCATGCTGGATGGAGCCATGTTCGACGATCCTTTCGGCCGTGCCTATAGCATCACCGCTTCCGTTAGCCTAGCAATCCAACCGGGTCAGGGTATGGAGACGCACCTTATGCACCGAATCTGAACTTCCTGTCATTCCAGTGCAGTATATGTCGTAAATATAAAGATAAAAAGTATCAAACGCGTCGGGGTATCACGTCGGCGGGTCGTGGAAAGTCAACGGTTGGTAGTAGGCGTCAAAGCCACGAAGCTTGTTCCTTTTCTGTGTGGGTATCCCTCGTTGCGATTTCGGGGGAAGGTATCGCCTGAATATGCGTGCACCGAGAGCCACAGGCTCCTCGTTTAGGTACACGATAGATAATGAACTGCACGAGGATCAAAAATTCTCATTAGCTCGTGGAAACCTCAACCAAGGGATATTTGAATTTGATTTCGATTTTTTTTTAAAAAAAAAATTTTCCTTCTTCCCGCCCTTCCTAGCAGGACAGACAAGTCAACTTACTAGTGGCAAGAACTCCAGCGGACCGCACGAGAGGGACCGACGTGAGGGGGAAAATAATATATGAAACTGATATAACAGCCTCTTTTTTTTTCTTTCGTCCGTTGCCCTTTCAATTCCGAAGTGCGAGAGATTTGAAAAGAAAAAGCAAAAGAATATACAACGTATACAGACGATCACAGGGGTGAGGACGAAAGGGAGGAAGGTTGGAAATGGCCGGCGGGCAAGGAAGAAAATGACGAGTGGTCGAGCGAGGCAGGTGCGAACTCGACGCAAGGTGACAACAATCGAGAAGGGCTCCCCTTTCGTTTGTCGGGTGTAATGCTCAGCTACCAGCTGACCGGAGGATAATAAGTATAAACTGTCGCGACGTGACTAGACTCCGTGCATGCTCCAGGAAGCTCGAATTTCGCAGATCGGCCTCATGTGCCCCGTGGAGACGTGACGGTGGAGCGGGCGAACCCAGAAGGTTTAATTCGAATCAGACACAGCGATGGAGAAAGGGAGTTCGGATGGGGTATTTTTTTTGTGCGTGCTGCAGCAAGGGGGGGTTCGTTCGTGGTGGAGGAGGGGTGAGAGGGCTGGGTGAAATTGCAGCTGGTATGGGGAAGAATGTGTTGGATGCGCAAATCGAGCAGCGATCAGTCCGTGATTAGTGGAGTCTTGACCGGTGGGAATGTCGAATCGATAGAGACAAAGGGCGGCATTAATGTCGACCAGCTGTGACACCAGCCAAAGCAAGCATGACACCACCAAATCAATGGACAAATCTAATCAAAATCCACCTTTGACCTGATGGACGACAGACGGAGGGAGAGGGGCGACAAGAGCGAAAAGGAAAAATATAGGGAACAGAAAAAAGAAAACGGGAGAGGACCAGGAAATGCGACCTGGTTATCAAGACGGGAAGATAGACAGAGGACCAGGTAGAGATGAGGATAAAGAAGAAGATCAAACCGGTAGAGAGAAGAGAAACCAGAGGAAGAAAGAAAGAGAAGAAAACGAATGCCTGAATGAAAAGCGAACGTTTCACAAGCACTTCTCAGGCAGGAAAAAAAAAAAAAAAGAGAAGAAGAAAATGAAGGACGGTGTTGAGAAAGAAAGATAAGAACAGCTGAAAGGATAGAGAGAAAAGGAAGAGAAATGAAGAGGGAAGGAGGATGAGGGTTGTATTTGAATTCAACGATGGAAACGACCAAATCAAATCAAACCCAAGAAAGAGAAGAAGATGAAGTCTTTCGATCGCAAGTCCAGCGTCAATGATCGATAAGCCCGGAAGGTTGAACTGGCTGGAAACTATCGCCCGTAATTTTCATTACAGCCCGGTGACCAAACCACAATACCTTTTCGTGAGCCAAGGCGATCTGTCGATCTGGCCAGGTACTTGCTGAGTGTATGGAACCCTCATATTGTGTTCAGGTACCGCTCAGCCGCAGCGGTATCAACCCATACCGTTCGGTGATACTCAGCCATCTCGTCATCTGGCCATCCTCCACGGGTCCATTTAACCTCCTCTTACGAGCTGTCACTTTCCTTCCTCTTCATTCCTGCCCACCCCCTCCCTTTCCCCTTGCAAAGCTCGTTTAACTTCGACTCCTGATGTAATCTATTGTAATCTCTTCTCTGCTAACTTTGACTAGGAAATACTCGGTGGATTTCCGCCCTGTGGGATGTCGTGGAACGGACCTGGCGCAAGAGATTTATCAACAAACCTTGGGTCAGGCTGACCGCCAGAAGCCATGGTAATGGCCTGCCGTGGATTGATCTCGATTGCATGTTGGCTGGAGGCAGTCGATTTCTGACGTTACGGCATACACAGTTCGAATTGACCACATGTCCGTCACCTTGAATTCAGCTCATGACGTCTATCTTGAATCCGTAATACTTGAAGATATGAGGTGATATACTGTCAGACTGCCTCCAAAGCTCCTCCAGTCAGAAGCCGTCATCAACCAGAGCAGGAGATTTAAACTGCGCTCCAGTCCGACCGATCGGGTCCACTAAATTAGCTTGGGGATCCTTATTAGCCGTAGCACTCCCCAGGTGACTAGGTGCGGAATTCCCGTCCATGCTCTCTTAACAACCAATTCTTACTGACCGGGTAGCTCATGGTCGACAAGGTTTGGAATCCGTAGTTGGTGGATTCAATGTTTTTTACTGAACACGTCATTCCGTTCAATCCACGAGCAGAAGAGGTTGAGCTGCGATACTGCTCCGTGTACCTCGAGGCATCTTCCCCGGAGCCAAGACCTGCCAAGTCCAGAATAATAAAAGCAAAGGAAAAGAAAACCCCTCGTGCATTGGATGGAACACTGTCATCAATCTACCACCGAATCGGATCGTGTGGATCATTCAATTTAGTGTTCTTATTGGCCTGTCTGCATGTACTTCCTACTATTGAGTTCTTACCATTTCCAGGTCGATCGGGATGACTCCTAGCCGATGCCAACTCATTGTTCTCATCCGTCCATGGAGCAATGGGCAATGGGGGGAGGGGGGGAAGGAAATTGCTGGGGGCAACGCGCCCCCGTCATTTTGGCATCATTAGGGCTTGCAGGCGCAGACGAACCATCCCTTCCTCCACGAACCTCATGAATGGCTGATCCATTGGTTCAATCCAAAGTGCTGGTCGATACTACCTATGGATCGTCATAATCCCCTTGCTTACGACCCATATCACTAGGTTTCATCCACCGTCGTGTTCAACCAAGGGATGGTTGCGAGGGCCTTCACTGGAGGTCAGTCAACTGCATTGATTCGATTTCTTTTTCCATCCACAGGCCACTGCTGACTTCTAATCAAAGCCTGCCCCAGTGGTAGACTAGGCGCCACAACTTTCGTCTCGCCATTTCATGGATCCCTATGCTGTCGACTGGACAGGAACATTTCGCAAAGCTAGGAAAACTTCTCCAGTCACAGTCAAGGGATGGCCCACGATACTGCGTCTTGCCATGGTTGTCTCTGATTAGCGACTCGCGCACAATAGTCCCACTTCCGATAAGACCCCTCTCTCCCCTGCGTGGGACTTCCCACCCCCGGATTGTAGATCCAAATGCACGGGAGAATGTCGGGGATGCTGGAGCAAGGGGTGGCACTCGTGCCCTTTTTTCCTCCATTCTCATTTCATCTCTTTCCCCTTTTTCCTTTCTTTCTTTCTTTCTTTCTCAACTGTTTCCCGCTGTTCACCGACAGAGCCGCTTGAATAGCCCTACCACCCTGGATGGAGTGCCGGGGAACTGCAAACTGTAACCTCGACCTCGCACACACTGGGTCCGGACCTTTGAAATTTTTCTGATCGAATTTGATGGAACTGGCTACTTAGTTCTCGTGTCGGCGCATTCTATCAATTGTTGGGCCTATCAACCATGGACACCGTGACACGAACCCCATGGAGTGAAGGGATGAGCGGGTTCTTCGGGTGTCAAGGACCATGGGTACCCGGCAGCCCTGAAACTCTAGAGCTGTCAGCCTTGATGCGGTGCCTAGAACAGTCGGTTACATCGTGCCGAGGGGGGTCATCGTGGCAAGGTAATGCCGTTTTTACCTTCAAAGAGAACGATTTACGTGGGTCTGCTGGTACCTGCGGCAGAAACCCGATATCCCTGACACACCTGAAGCTTAAGTATTGATGACAGTCCGGGTCAAACCGTGACATGAAGACCGAGGTTTATCCGCCCTCGTTACTTGGATGGAGCACTAGACGAGACAGCTCGTCGCAACCAAGTCAGGTATCTCACTATCTAGCATCTGCCTGTAGCCATGGTTCCTTCCTTTACTCAACAAAGTCTACGAGTATAAAACGCAAGCGGGGAAGCCTAGAAGTGGAACTGTCTAGAACCTATTCGGTCGATGAGGACTATAATGTCTTTCTCCGAGGGGGACCAGGACTTTGAAACGTCAGCCAGTAATGTTGTGAGGCGTCAGTATTGTGTCCAACGTTCCATTTTCCACTATCAAGCGGACAATAGTTCCATCTACCTCGAGCACCAGATGCGGGTGAGCTCTTTGTATTACCCCGTGTCTCCCACCTTGGCCAATCGACGAGTACTATGACCTTGTTCCCCGTGACTGGACGAAGCACCCAAGGGGGAGGCCTGATCCAAGTGTCGAAACAAGTGACTCAGCCCAAGGTATCGAATCCCCGTGTTCCAGATGGAATTCTCCAGAGTCCATCCCTCTGTCGCAGCCCGAATCAACAAACAAACCCGGGCAACTAAGACAATAACAAAACCCTTGATTCGACCCGACGGTACCCATGGGAAGGAAGGGTGGAGTCAACCGGATGATCTCCACAGTTTTTGTTTGCATGTCAAACTGTCGGACATGTTACTGCAGACAGATCTAGCAGACTAATAATCTTAGTCCGATTCTTGGGTCATCATTCGTCCTTTCGAAATCTCTCTCTCCCTCTCTTCCTGCTTCTCAACCTCGTTAGGGAAATAGGTATGCACATGCTAAATGAGCACAATCCATCTCTCAGGGGTCCGAGGGCCAAAAAAAGAACTGACTAGGGAGCCAAGTGGGTCCAGTCGGGGTCCCCACCGGCCAATTCGGATGAAGCTTGGTTCATCGACAGGGACAACCAGACGATCATAGGCTGCAGAGGCAGAATGGGGGAGATTACATCTCAAGTTAGCATTCCTTTAGCCCCATTTAGCAGCCTTTAGCATCGTCTTAGTCCAGGTTAGCGAACAGTTAGGATTCGGAGAGACAAACCAGTATCGGAAGATGGATGATGGGGCAAAAAAAAAGCCCGTTTCCCGTCTCAGCCTAGTCAGGTGTCTAGGCTCTCAGGCTCCCTCTCTTCCCCCTCTTCTTAGTTCTTACTTTCTCTTCTCGCTTCTCTTCTATCTCGCTCGCTCCCTTTTTTCTTGTTTTCTTTTCTTCCCTTCCTTATTCTTTCTTTCCTTTTCACCTCACATACCCCATTCCAACCTCCCCCCCACCCTCTCATTCTTACTCCCTTCCCTCCCATAGCAGGTGTCAGCTTCACTCTTTCAGCTGTTCGCCTTGCTGTCCGTTCTTTCTCTCAGATCGTAAACAACCTGATCTGTCGATCGGTTTCCTGCCCTTCCAGTTCCCTCCTTGGACCCACGTCACGATAACGACCCAACCAGCCTTCCAGTCGAACTGCCCTTGGGCATATTCTCTCGTTCTCATCTGAAACGTCGAGTAGATTGATACTCCGACGTAAATTACGCCGAGGATTCCCTACCTCTTTCTTGGGAACCTCTCCATTCATTCCACGGATCCGATACCTTCTTGCACCTACTTCTCGGTCCCTGTCGATATACACGACCGTTTAAAGATCCTATCGTTCCAACATCCCTCGAGAACCCACACGAAGGAAAGAAATTCAGATCCCGCCCATCACACAACATGCCCGTTCTTCCCAGGGTCGTCCCACGCGATGATGGGGGTGATGGACTCTCCCCCGCAATGGTCGATCTGCTGATCTGCCTTCTGGTCCTCATTTTACTTGGCCTCGCCCTGGTTGGTGGCCTAATTGTCTTGCGCCGAAAGCGCCAGAATCGGAAACAGCTCGAGCTTCCCGTCCACAACGGCCAGGTCCCGAACCCGCGTCGCCTCACGATATCCGCGTCGCCCAACGCCAAGACGGAGTCCGTCCTCGTGTACGATGAGAAACGCAGTCTGATGGAGAACTCGTCCAGCCCGCCCCCCAGTCCCGTTCCCGAGATCCGCATCACGTTCCCGGAGGAAGAAGACGAGATGGGGAAGCGCAAGTCTGGGCGAGTGGTCGTCGTACGAATTACTGATGCGGGTGGTGTGGGATTGGAGCCCTGCAGCGAACAACTGCCCCCGTATCAATCCAGCGATGCGGAGCGATTCCAGTCGTTAGACATCGACCGCATGGGTGGACTCAAGGAGAAAGGTGACACGAGCAGATGGTCTTGAAACAATCAAAACAATCTCGCAATTAACGCTTGACCGCCAACCCTCCTTTTAATCCCGACGATACCCCCACCCAGCTCTGTCTTATTCCGTTCAACAACGACCTTCCAAACAAAAACTTGACGATTCTCTGGCCAAGATTTTGCGCACTTCTTATTGCTTATATTGCTCGGCTCCGAATGCTCTTCACTTGCACATACGCCGATATATCCACTCTGTCGACTACCCGCCCATCGAATTTCGGGTTTATTGTTACTTCTGTAATGGATGGTCTACCCGAAACCTGCCCAGGGCACATCGCACCTAACTTGTGTACAGCAAGGGTTTTGGTTCCATCTTGACCTTTTTTTTTTTTCATTCTACATATTCTTGTTCTCAACCTGTTCTTTGAACCATACGCCTTCCTTCTCAGCTCGAGCTTTCTTTCTGTCCTGGAAGGCGTTCATTTTCTTCATTCGTTTTTTTTTGTGCTTGGCCACTTGTGTTTCCCCTTGTCGCCCTGCCACGTCACTAGGGCCGACAAGATATCACGCACGCTGTTCTGTTGAAAGCTTGATTCATTCTTGCCTTATACTTGTTGTTCACTTCTATCATTCTATAGCCCTGACTTTTCCAGTCTTGGTCTGCCCTTTGGGGGTCTTACAGTTGGATAATGTATGTACCTAGTCAGAGTATCCTTGGAGGCTGTCTCCTGGATACGAGCTCCTACGCATGAGTTTCCTACTCTTCACTTCTTTTTTTTTGAATATTCTCGTAGAAACTCATTCCTCGGCCATCTTTAGCTCGACCACGGAATAGATAGATGGTAGATGCCCCTCTACGCCGTAGTGAACAACACACGCCCCACCTCCCACTTGTCGAGGATCGACTGGCCCAACAAATCGTCAACTCCATCTACGAACTAGGTTTTATTTTTCTATTTATTTATTCAAAAAAAAATTTGGATCATTCCCGTATACACCATCTACTATCATGCAGAAATCCAGAAATCCATCCCTAAATCCACCTATCCAACAAGTTGGGTGAACTTGCCACCCTAAAAAGTAAGAGTAAAAGCGACCCTAGATATTAATATACAAACAAGCTAACTAGTCAATTAGCACCAGTAGTCCAGTACCCACCCTTGAATTTTACCACGTCATGTCAATCAAGTTAATCAACTAATGGATATTAGATTAATTTATATTAATGGTTTATTCTTAGATGGTTTAATATGTCTACTAACTAACTAATTCTCTATCTATCAGATAATTGAAGCTGAAAAGAAGAGCAATATAGACAGACTTTGCACTGAACGGTGTAGTTAGATAATCATACAATATTGTAACTATATATATACATTGCATGACTGATTGACTCAATACCTAGTAAATGTAGTAGGTAGATAGTAGTAAAGATCTTCTCATTGATCCAGAGTTCAATGTTTATATGGTTGAATCGTTTGCTTTTATCTCATTCCCTATAAATTGGACCGAATTAAGTGACAGCGGATATATAGCATCATCGTCCAGCTTTCTAAGGTTTCCTTGGAATTCTGGCCGGAGAGGGTACTAGATATATATGTACCATCCATCTGGGTCCATAATGGCAACTAACTATATACTACGACATCTGCACAACATGCATCTAGTAAAATCTTTAATTCTGTCTAATAAGACGCTTTTGTTTATTCCTCCCTTCCCTCTCTTGGCAGGAACGAAAAGATATATCGAACGAAATGTTAAGTAGAAATGAATGAATGTCTGCTTTCTTAAAGAATCAACAACAGAAGATATAACGATAAAGAAATAAAACTTTTTTGTCTTCTCTGAACAAGCGAAGCGAGCTGGGGGTATTGTCACACATGTTGAAAGAACAAGGAAAAGGAAAAGGGAATAAAAAATGATCCAGAACAAAATACAATGTACATCATCTCATCACGTAAAAATCATCATAAGAAACTTCAGGTAATGTGCCGAGGGCTCTCTGCTTTTCTTTTTTCTTTTATTATTATTATTATTTTTTTGCTTTGTCTCTTTTTTCCCTTGGTCATTTTCCGGTCCTGGTCTTTTGTTGGCGATTTTGCTTCTTAACGGCTCCATCGGGCAAAGTCAAGGTTCTGAAGGATATTGGCGTCTGCGGAGGCATTCCAGTCGGTGGCAAAGTCCGATCGAGCCGGGGTATTGCGCGTCGGGACTTCTTCAGAGAAGATGTTTGCCTTCGTGTTCCGGCGCTGCGTTGGATAGGCGCCATCTACTGCGTCAGGATTCTGCGACTGCGCTCCGAGGGCCCGCTCCCGCAATCTTTTGATCTCGCGCAGGCGGTTGCGCCAGGACGACACGTGCTCACCACCCTGGCTGTTCCATACAAGGGAGAAGACGGAAGCATTCAGGGCAAGGATGCGCACGAATGCCGCCAGGTTCTTCCCGACGATGATTTTTGGCTGCGCTGCGGGCGATATCTCGGGGAAGCCAGCCTTGCTGATCACTTGTACATGATATGACAGGTTTTCGAACGCGGTGGCTTCTGGCGTCGACGGAGCCGCAGATGTCTCTGCGATGCGGCACACAGGACTGATGACAATATTGACAAAATTGAATTGGGATGGGATCGTGTCAAAGTTAAATGGCGTATTGGAATGGTTGAAGACGATGTTGACAAAGTCATTCCCCAAGTGGCGCTTTTTGTTGATGCAGGACGGATCGTGGTCGAAGTCAGTCGGCATCATTGTGGCTACATGGTACACAATCTCCGTGACTCTATCACGCCATGCATATGCGAACTCCCCATCCATGTCAGCGTGCAGCCCCTGCGTGTTAAACTGGGCGCCTTTCAGTGGAACCATGGTGCCGAGTCCCGATAAGAAGTACTCATAGTCTGGACTGCCGTTGGTGTTGGAGAGGATCTCAGCTTCTCCAGTTTGACCGTTCCCCACGTACAAGACACCGATTTTGTGTCCGTCCACAATGTCATTTCGATCGAATGAGCCAAGAGCTCGCCGGGTAATGTCGTCCTCAGGCAGTGGAATTGGCTGCATCGAGGTGGGTGTAGGGAAAGCCGAGATTGTCATTTGAAGTAAGATGTGGCTCGGCAAAACGGCGGAGCGAGGCGTGTCAGAGTGCAAATGGGCCTCGGCGTTGGAAGGAACTTGGTGTGCCAGGACAGGCGCAGTACGTTGCTGATACATGGCATATGTGGTCCCCGATGCTTGCCTCTTCGTAATTTGACTCAGCCCAGATATACCTGCTGTCTCCACGGTTATGATACTCATGCCCACGGCCCATGATTTCTTCATCGCCGGACCATCCGCTGGCGACGGAGGAAAGGTCTCATATGGGATAGTTTCACCTAGATCCGAAAAGGTCACCCTTTGCATCAAATCGAGGAAAACCTGGCTTTGTTCCTCGACCATCTCTTTTCCGTGTTCATCCTTGAAGATCAGTCGGCTTGTGATCCAGTTGACGTGTTTCGCTCGATCCTGTAGCTTCAAGGACAAAAACCAAAAGACCATGACATGGTGAGTCAGGGTGTACATATATCTGGACATTCCATCTTGAAGGGATGGGTCAGACGTCTCGAGCACTGCCGTTTCCCTTACACCGCTCCCGACCCTCGTGGAGGTCTGGGTACCCCGGTTAGAAGACTCGGATGATCGGGAACGATGCTCTCTGGAGGTTTGTAGAGATCGGATGCAGATCCCAAACACAGTCCGTATCTCCTCCTCACGCAGATTGACATAGAGATCGGGTAGCCGCGCAAGCAGAGCTAAGAATTCAAGGATGTGGACGGCAAGATTGGACATCGTGATCACCTTGGACATCTTGTCAAGGATCCCGTTGAGTGACTTTGTCACAGACATCGGTGTCTCATAGCAGCAGACGGAAAGCGCATGGATACACTTCCGTGAACTACCCCCCCAAGACCCGACAATACCCATCATAAATGCGCGCACGAGCTCATCCTCCTCGCTTTTGGCAAAGGAGCTGTGGAAGCTAATCAAAACGCCAAGAGACTCAAACACAAGCCCAGCGACATCGGTTTTCTTGGCCCCGGTCGATGCCGGGGGTTCTCGGAAAGAGTCATTTTTAACCTGGTCACAGAGGACGCTGCGCAAGAGTTTGATTTGAGGGACTGCGTTGGTGAAGAAGTCCTTATTGCGAAGCTGTGGTGGGAGATGAGTCAGGACATAGCTGTATATATCCCAATTCGTTTCACGTTGTATCAAGGAGATGACAGTCTCCAACCACATGTTCACTTTCAGTATGACTTTCTGCGCCGGATCAGATTCAAACTCTTGCGATTCGCTGGCAGCGGCATGGACATAAACACAAGGGCTGGACCCGTCCGGTGGTTCCTCGGGAAGCACTTGAGGAGAAGAATATGTCCATATCGGGGGTGTCGGCTTCGAGGTTCGGAGGGCGATGCCTGCATTGCGCCCTGCATATTTCGACGAAAGAGCGCTTGACGATTCTTTGTTTGAAATTCGACTCTGACCTGACGGACGCAAGTATGGGTCCTCTAGGTTTTGGTCTCCAGCAGTGTTCTCGGGCGAAACTTGTGCTTTGGCGGTGCTGTCAATATTGCGTCCGGGGACATCCACCAAGAATTCGCTCTCGGGAATGGGCGCGACTATAACAGACCCTGCAGAGTCACACCGTAATCTGAACAACAACTTGAGCACAGATAAACGTGCGTCGACTGGTCTCTCTGAAGATTCTGCGATATTCAACAACGATTCGAAGACTAGCAACGCTTTGGTGGCGGACAAATTTAATGACCGAAGAAAAACTCTCACAAGACCGACAGAGCAGACATTGGCAAAAGATGGACCAAGCACATTGGAGGATGAGTGACTGGAAGAGTGGCGCTGAGGGGAGGAAGCCGTTGGCGATTCGTCTTCATTAAGCGCCTCTTTGCTTATATCCTTCATCATTCGCGACGTAAGTGTACCCATCAGCGACTTGAACTGGGCATCGCCTTTGATCAGGACAGAAGCATCAACGGCAAAAGAAACCAAAGATTCCAGGAAAAGAATATCATCCTCCTCGTTAAAACACTGGAACATCAGATGAAGAAGACCCTGTTCTTGAAATTGGGTAAAAGACTGCTCAGTGGTGAACGCTTCTTTGAGGGCGTCCAAGGCTGAAATTCGGAGGTCGGCCGGTTTTGAACGGGAACGAACAAAACAGTGTATGACTTTTTGGCAGTACGATATCCAATCAGGGCATTCAGGATAGCAAAGTTTCCCAGATCGCACGGTGTTGAGCACAATTTCGGCCTGCGAAACCTCGATGTTTTGACATACATCCACGAGGAAACGGGTAGCGTCGAGCTTTTGCGTTTCGTTGAGACGGCCCCATACTGCTTCTAGAGCAGATGCGATTTGTGTGATGTTGGCCAATATATTCGATCTCGCATCGTCTGGAGCGCTGCTTCTGGGGTGAGGCAGGGATGGGCTGGTAATCGACGGAGAGGTCAACTCAAGGTCGTCAACAACTCTGACCGAACACAAAGTCAACACGTTAACGAAACCTGACCAACTCCTTTCTAGCGCGACCTCGAGAAAATCACCCTCCAGGATGTTCAGACATAGATCTAGGATGTCTGCTTCTAGTCGACTGTCGTTCTTCTTGACAACAACCTGGAGAGCGTCCATCAATTTCTCAAAGTCAAGCTGAGGTATCCCCTCCTGACCATGTGCGCGAATGAGATCCGTGAGAACAAGCACCGTCCCTCGCAGAACATTGAGATTCCGGCTCTGTTCACCAGTAGACTCCAGCAAGAACGAGTAGAGGTTGTCCACCATCTCCGCTTGTCTTTTCGACTTGGACAGATTCCGGACTGCTCTCGATGTAGGGCCCGACAAAGTCTTGACAGAGGCGTGGATACTGCATAGAACCTCGAGCAACTGGACAAAACTCCCATCTGGCACATCCGCATAAAGAATGATGGCGTCAAAGACAGCCAACGCGTTTTTGATGTCGGCAGCGACACTTGTCTTGACACAAATGGTGAAAATCTGATCGAGTAACATTTGGACTTCCTCACTGACGGGAGGCTTCCGCTGCAGCGTGATCAGATCAACCGCGAACTGGAGTAGATTGTCCAAGACATCATCGTCGTAGCTGAAACCATTTGATTTGCCCACCTTGGCCTTTCTCGCTTTTAATCGAGCGGTAGATATCAGTTCGTAAAGGGGTAGTAGACAGGATGAAATGATTGGGAGAGTGGAGACTGGCGCGAATTCCATTTTCCGCCCATGGTCTGACAAGGAAATCAATGACTGTACCCGTGCGGGCACAACATCAGGCTCTGACGGGCATGAGATCGACTCGAAAACGATGCGTCTTGCTGCTGGCGAGAGGTCTTGGCGGCTCGCAATAGATTCCAACAACGCCGATCCACCCTTCCGTGCTTCCGGAGAGCTCTTATCATGAATCAAATACGACCCAGCTTCCCACAAAGCCAGCGACTGCTCTGCCGAGAACCACTGCTGCGACTTTGACACATGTTCGGCTTCCTCAATCGCCTGGGTGAGATTCTGTCGCTGTTCCAAATTCCTCAGCGACGCTTCGAAGTCTGGCGAACCAGGGACGTCCGAAGTACTGGAGACAACGCTGCCACGATGCATCGATTCCAGTCCAAGCGTCAACCGGTTGATTCTGCGCCCATCCGTTGTTTGTAGCGTAGATTCACTGCTATCCTGAAACGAGACCGGAGACACTGATTTGGGGCGGGCGACACCTAGAGATTTAAAGACGTCTGCGAAACTCGATGTTGCGTGTTTGAGGTGGGGTGGTGATGGTGCATCGTCGGAAGACATGCGTCCTGAGGGACGGGCTATATGGGGTTTAGGTCGGCGGGATTATCTCTGTGATAGACCGAAGTGGATTAGCAAGATGGATAAGTGCAAGAACCTTCTGGGAATCAGGATGACGGCCCACCACCTTCCCAGAAGCTAGAACCATCAGACGGAAAACATTGCGCACCATTGGTAAAGGTCATTAGAAGAAGGAAGGTCCAGGCATGAGGCAACCGCAACGGGTAGGAAGCTTCACTTCGATGAAACGGCTGGGTGGAATAGCTATGTAATGGACAACCCAGACAGTATATAGCAGTCTAAAGAATCTAGAACAATCATCTGCCGCCTATGTCAGTCACTATCCTCCTAAGAGCATGAAGATGAAGTCCAACCTGGTACACGGAGAGTGGGTAGATGTCATCAAAGTGTGCCAAGACACATTTTCCCCTCAGAGGGATCGATGATGATGATCTGGCGGAGGCTCGGATGGGAGTTAATCCGGGTTCGTGTTTGGAGTCACCTGACCAGGCAGAATCACCCCGCGGACCTGCCTTCACCGCCCGGAAATTGCCCAGCGGCGGCCAAACAAACTGCCCATCCAGGAATCAAGCTTCTACGGCTTTTTACTGGGCTGTTGTATCAAAAAGTGCTATCAAGGGATTTCGTCGCGGAAGAGGACAGCGTTCTTCTCCTTTCACCCCATTACCACTAGGAGACTTGTTCGATCTACACAGTCTCTTCTTCTTTGGCTGCATCTCCCATCAATACCCCACTTCAAAATGGCGGGCAATCTTGGGGCTGTTGCCCAGCTCCTTGAGGCGAGCTTAGATCCTAGACAAAACAAACAGGGTGAGTAGTGCCTCTCATTTTGATTTCATGTGTTTTTTTTCTATCTTGGTAGGAATGCTAATGCTGACGATTACTAGCGGAAATCACTCTTCGACAGGAAGAAAAGAAGCCGGGCTTTTCCCTGGCCCTACTTCAAATCACCGCATCTGCGTCCTACCCCTACAACACCCGCCTCGCTAGTGCATTGGCTTTCAAGAACTTCATCAAGCGGAACTGGACCGATGAGGATGGGAATTACAAACTTCCATTGGATGAGGTTACGACCATCAAGCAGGAGCTGATCAGCCTGATGATCTCCGTGCCTGCGGGCATCCAAACACAGCTGGGAGAAGCTGTCAGTGTCATTGCTGACAGTGACTTTTGGGAGAGATGGGACACCTTGGTCGCTGTAAGCGCGCCTCGTTTATGCTGGGCTCTAGTGCTTGTTTAGCTGACGTACCCAGGATCTTGTTTCCAGACTTCAGCCGACAAACCCGGCAGCCAACATCGGCGTATTACAAGTGGCGCACTCCATCTTCAAGAGATGGAGGCCTCTTTTCCGATCCGATGAGCTGTATCTGGAAATCAACCATGTTCTGGAGAAGTTTGGAGATCCGTTCTTAACGCTTATGCAGGTAGGTTTTAACGGCGTCCATCACCTCTTGTCGTTTATCGTTTGCCTATTCGCAAAATTTCATTTTGAACTATTATTATCCTTGTCGTTGTTATTGTTTACATGCTGACCTTTTTAGGGACTGGACGTCTATCTCGAAGAGCACAAGTCAAACAAGGAAAACCTTGTCCAGGGCTTTACGCAGCTCAATTTGATGATCAAGTTGCTCTATGATCTGTCCTGCCACGATCTGCCGCCGATGTTCGAGGAGAATATCTCCGGAATAGCCACCTTTTTGCTCAAGTACCTTACCTACGACAACCAATTGCTACACACCGATGACGAGACCGAGGCCGGTCAACTGGAATTTGCGCGAGCTGGGATTTTTCAGGTTTTGACGCTCTATGTGCAGAAGTATATGGACGAGTTTAAGCCGCACATTGGGCAGTTCGTCGAGAGCTCCTGGAGTTTCTTGACCACGATCGGCCAAGAGACCAAGTACGACATCTTGGTCAGCAAAGCTTTGCAATTTCTGACATCAGTGGCGGGCATGCCCGAACACTCTGGCGTCTTCCAATCCGAAGAGACTCTCCACCAGATTGTGGAGAAGGTGATTTTGCCTAATGTCAGCCTCCGTGAATCAGACGAGGAGCTGTTCGAAGACGAACCGATCGAGTTCATTCGACGCGATCTCGAAGGATCGGATAGCGAGACCAGACGACGAGCCGCCACGGATTTCCTGCGGACCCTGGCCGAGAAATTCGAGGGCACGGTTACATCAGTTGTCCTCAAATACGTCCAGCATTATCTTGCCGAATATGCGAAAGACCCAGCATCCAACTGGAAAGCCAAAGACACAGCCACTTACCTCTATTCGGCCATCGCAGCGAAGGGCGTTGCTACCGCCGCCCACGGTGTGACTAACACTAACCCTCTGGTCAACATCACGGAATATTTGCAGACCAACCTTGCTGCAGATCTGGTCTCCGAGGACGGTGTGAACCCTATCCTCAAGGTGGATGCTATCAAATATCTCTATATTTTCCGAAGCATCATCACCAAGGAGCAATGGCAGGAAGTGCTTCCTTTGGTCGTGCGGCACCTTGGTTCCTCGAACTATGTTGTCTACAGCTACGCTGCTATCGCCGTCGAGAGAGCGCTGTATCTCAGCGACAACCAAGGGCAGCCGGTGATCGCGCCCGGCATCATTACTCCGCTTGCGAAGGATCTCCTCCAGCATATCTTCGCCTTGATCGAACAAAATCCTGCACCCGAGAAAGTGCAAGAGAACGAGTTCTTGATGAGGTGTGCCATGCGGGTCTTGATCGTCATTAAGGACGGCGTCGTTCCCCATACGGACCTCGTTCTGCAGCATTTGATCAACATCACCCAAGTGATCAGCACCAACCCCAGCAACCCAAGGTTCTACTACTTCCACTTTGAGGCTGTGGGAGCCTTTATCAGGTGCGTCAATGCCTTCCGGTTGACCCAATAAGTCATACACTTCGCTGACCTCTTTAGATTCGCTGCTCCCGCAAACCCCGAGAAGCTTGAACAAGCTTTCTATACCCCGTTCGCTGGTGTCCTCCAGGGCGATGTTCAAGGTAAGAGATTTGCAATCCACGCTCATTCCCACCAACAGACACTAATATAGCCTTAGAGTTCATGCCTTACATCTTCCAGCTTTTCGCTGCTCTGCTCGAGGCTAACCCCTCGGGGACCCTGCCTGACTATTATCAGAACCTGGTTGCCCCGATCCTGATGCCTGTGATGTGGGAATCCAAGGGCAATATCCCCGCGCTCGTGCGACTCCTGTCGTCGATCGTCCACCGTGGATCCCAGTTTATCGTTGAGAACCAGCAAATCGTCCTCATTCTGGGCATTTTCCAAAAGCTGCTTTCCACCAAGGCCAATGAAGGATACGGCTTTGACCTCTTGGAGTCTGTCGTGGCGAACTTCCCACCGTAAGTGGACATTTGTATAATCAGATTGTGTGTGGTTTTCGCGTGCTGACTCTTTCAGGGCTGTTCTGGAACCTTATTTCAAGGACATTATGCAAGTGATCCTGACTCGCCTGCAAAATTCCAAGACGGAAAACCTCAGCATCCGATTTGTTCGGTTCTTCCATTTCCTGTCGGCACACGATCAGAAAGGATACAGCGCCGACTTCGTCATCAAGGTTGTCGACCAAGTGCAGGAGGGGTACGTACATCAAACCCAGGTTTCTTCGATCTCTAGGCAGCAAACGTGCTAACCGGATCCAGCTTGTTCACTCCCATTTACCTGAACATCATCCTCCCCGAGTCCCAGAAGCTCGCCCGGCCCCTGGACCGTAAGACGGCCGTGCTGTCCTTCACCAAGACGCTGGCGAACTCGGAAGCTTTCGCCACCCGGTACAAGAAGGGATGGGCATTCACCTGCGAAGCGCTCCTGAAGATTCTCGAGCTTCCCCCGCTCCCAGCCAGCAAGGACGATCTCATCGCTGAGCACGACGTCGAGGACATGGCCTTTGGCGTCGGTTTCACCCCCTTGAACACCGTGCGCGCGCAGCCCCGCGACCCCTGGCCGGAGACGGGCGCGGACCTCAAGGCCTGGGTTGGAAACTACCTGAAGGAGGCCGACAAGAAGTCGAACGGACGGGTTGCGGGCTTCGCCCAGGAGCGCCTCAGCGATGAGGCCAAGGCAGTGCTCAGCAGCTATATGTCGTAAGCGGGATAGTCACCGGGATAGTTTGTGTCGGAAAGGCGGTCTTTTGCATTTGGTCGGCATACTAAAAGGACCGGGGATAAGTAGCACATTTACGTTTTGATGAATATTACAGTTACAATCATTATTTTTGTGTACATCGAACGTAGCCCTAGGATCTCTCCTGGACCTTTCCCCTTCCACCCCAGTCAACCATCATAATAGGTATCATTCCTTCCATACCTTAAGACTAGGTAGGAATCACACTTTCCCCTCCGCACCCACCACACCTCCCTCATTTCCATCCCCACCTCCATCCCCATCTCTACCCCCATCAGCCCCCTGCTCACCCCCCTCCAAATCGCGATACTTCCGCCGACTCTTCTTGACCTTACTCGCCTTCTTCTTGCGGGCGCGATCGGCTTTGATAGAGGTGCGACTCTGGTCGCCTTTCTGGAGGTGCTCGACGCGTTCGGCGAGGAGTTGGCGGGCGATCTTCTCGTTTTGGGACTGGGAGCGCGTGGCTTGGCTTTTTACTACTATGCCAGTGGGTTTGTGGCTTATTTGGACGGCGGAGTTGGTTTTGTTCTGGGGAAGGACATAATCTGGTTAGCTTTTCTTGTGCTTTGTAATTGGGGTTTGGTGGTGGGTTTGAGGAGAGAATATGAATAATGATAGCCTCGATGACAACAATAATTGAAATTGTGCTTGAGAGCTGAGACATACGATTTTCTGACCTCCGGGCCCGCTGCCCTTGAGGTAGGAGACTGTCACGTCGGCATCGGGGATCTTGAGCCGCGGGGGTAAGGGTTTATTGGCGAGAGGGGCAGATAGAGAGAAGGATCTGCTAATTGGCCGGGAGAATAGAAAGGATAGGGGACGTCGCAGCATGGTTCATGATGAGGTGGAGGTGTTGGCTATTTTTGGAGGGTCGTTCAGGTGGTTGGATATACCCAGGTAGTAGGCTGGATGTGGTTCTTGTCCGCCCGTTAACTCCGCTTCTATGAATGATTGATTCAGTCACATCAGGTTGAAACAATGTCCATTCTTTGTTCAGCCCCCATGTTCTAACATGGTTGTCTCAAGTTGGACTGGGACGTTGAAGTCGACAGTGTACCCACGACTGTACACGCACGCTGCTGTCAAGATACGATTGATCGGGAATCCATCCGCGATCGGATGCGAACGCGAATACCAGCAATCCTGCAATCAGAGCTTGGCGCCGAATTCAAAGTCTAGTCCGGTGGATCTGCCAGGAATGAATTCATCCAATGAAGGTTGGAAAAGTGGGTAAGCTGGATAAGTTATGCCTCCCACCAGGGAGAGTCCCAGCAAATTTGAAACGCGCAAACCGAGGCGATCGCGCTAGAATCAAGCCAAAAAGGTAAACCCCCCAAACCAATACCGTTCTGATCCGTGGATCAGAATAGCCATTATTTTTGGTACTCTGTTTATAAATGGTGGGTTGTTGAAGACTTGGTTTTACCGCTCCGGCAACTTCTCCCCGCAAGCCAGACGGGACTCTTTTTCTTGTGGTTGTGCACTTGTCGATCTGACCTGCTCTTTCTTTCTTCCTTTCTATTGTCAACTTCTCCCTCCCTTTTCAATTTCAAGGTGGACAATAATCCCCGATTGAGCTTTTCGTGGTCCAACAATTGCCCGTCCCATTGAGTCGCTCGACCAAGAAAGTTTGGCCGCTTCAGGGGTCCTAAATTTGCCTTCGCCTTCGCCTTCATCTCCAATTCCACCACCTCCTTTCTCCATCGTTGTCGGATTTCTTTTCAGTCGTACTCGAAACACCCATCATGACTCTCCTCTGGATGATTACGTCGTTCGTGCGCTGGCTTCGCTTGAAACATTATCAATATGAAGTCACATTCGCTGTCTACATGCTTACCCCGACCGAGAAAGTCATCTTTAGTATGTCTCCTCCATAGAGACGGAATCAAAAATCATATCTTGATATATCTATATATTGCAGAAACTAATCATCATGACCACCAGACACCCTCCTCCTCTCCCTCGTCTCGATGATCTTCGCGTCCCTCTATGCCTACCTCCCTGACCACCTCCGAGTCATCTACGGTCATCTCTACTACTACTGGGCCGGCGAGCGTCCTTTCATTTCCGGCAGTCTTCCGTCGATCAGCTCCGTCTTCCGCGACAGTGGCACCCAGAGCCTGGAGGTCATGTACGAGACGGCCAAGAACGCCGCGGCCACGGTGACCAACACGATCGCCGAATTATGAATCTCCCGTCCATGATGGGCGGGTCCATCTGTGGAATCGCACGTCTGGCTTTCGTTGTTCCTCGCTGTGATGATACCTTCGGGGCCTTCTTTTCGTTGTTATATTTATCATTAACGTAATTATCTTTACCATTTTTAATCTTCGCCACCCGTCTGGTTCTCCACACCCGGACCCCATCTCGACTGGTCACGGTCGCATGCGCGACATGGGTATTTCCTTCTCAACAGGGTGTTTCTGTTCTAGGATCCGTTGGTACATAAGAGCGCTGTGAACTGTTTTCTGCGTGGAGTTGAGTGGGCTGTTGTGAGCTAGTTGGCGCATCCTGGGAGTTTTGTTTCTGGCTTTGGTCTGTCGTGTCTCGTTCCCTGCATTGAGCATTCATAGTCGTTACCCTGATAGAATACCCTCACGTTGCATTGAAATTCGAAACGAAGGATTGACTTTTGAAGTTTTTGATTGATAGGATATCGGTTTTAGTGCAGATCAATGTAACCGGTGGTAGATTGTAACTAGGCAGGGATTGAGAAAGGCAAACGGCGATTTGCCAGATATAGCCGCATTGCGTTGGTCAAGCAAAGATATAATACGCCATTACGAGTCAAATAATCCAGGTTCCAATTGAGAAGAGAAAGATGTTATACACATGTTAATCATACAGGAACATGACACAAAACTCCAACATGTAAAACTCCACCGACGCTGAACAATTCTGAATCCGGCAGAACATAAGCACCTTGCTCTTTTATCCTTTCTTTTTTTGTTTCTTCTTTCTTTTCTTTTGATGGCGTCGACACTTCCAGATGAACCACCAACAATGATACCCTCGAAGCTATCAACCCCAGAACAGACCCTGAGACCAGATACCGTTCGTTGTTTACTGCGAGCTCTGCGCATCCGACGCCTGAGCTTGAGCCTGAGCCTGAGCCTGGAACTGAGCATGGGCTTGCGCCTCCAACGCCTCCCGCTGCTGTCGCTTCTCGCGCCGGAGTGCGTCCGCGGTGCGCATACGCGCCAACTCCCGATCAATCTCTTCCTTCTCGAGCGGGATCTTGTGCGATTGTTCGGCGCTGGGCCAGAAGCCGGTGATGTTGAAGCGGTCGTCGAGGTTCGTGCCGAAGTAGTACATCCAGCCGATGGGGAAAATGATATATACGCCGAACTGTGGGATTGGCTGTCAGTTATCGAAGCCTACCTGAATGTTTTAGTGGAAAGGGAAGCCCTACCTTGAACACTTCGAGGTTTCCACCCTGGAGTCTGCGGAGGATGGAAGACATGGTGATGGAAGACGGAGGGCCACAAAAGTTCAGTTGACTTTTTCGCGCTGCAGGTTCACAGGGTGAGTGCGCTGAGAGGCGATGACCACGGCAGGATAGAGCACTGAAATCCGTTCCGAGAAGAAAGTGAACGGGTCACTATACCAAATGAGCAAATGCCGACCTGGGTTATCACGGAACTTCCGACAAGCAGACGGCGATACGATCGGCGCGATCAGGCAAACAAGGCAAAATCAGGCCACGTGCGGATCAGGTGATGTCTTGACCGGTTTGGTGCCTCAGGCAATAACTGCCCCGTCGGCCGGTATACTGCTGGTACCGGTGGCCGATCGATCCAACACGGTGGTTAGTTCTCATTGCGCTTCGCCCTTCGCCCTTCCACGCCAGCACCGGGTCTTTCCCCACACTTTTCGCACGATGGCCTCCGCTGGCCCAGACTCTCAGAGCCTGAAATCATGGCAAGATGCTTTCCAATACCCTATCCCTACCGTGCGCCGGGTCGAACAGGAGCTCCGCCGCGACATCGCCAGTAATAAGGAGAAGCTCCGCGCTCTGGTTGGGTATGGCTAATCCCTCGTTGTCCTTTCTTTATGGAGTTCACGGTTAATTCAAATCTAGGACACGGTATCGCGACCTCGTTGGGACGGCCGAGACGATTGTTTCGATGAACCACGACATACAGCAGGTCGACTCGACGCTGACGGATATTGGACGACGGTGTAATCCGCGATTGATGGAAAAGAAGCACGCACACTTCAACCAGATCAAGGGCGACGTCAGCGATAAAGGTATGGGTGGGAGGTGGAGAATTATACTCTCTGGTTGTAGGAACAGGACTGATTGCGCTTAGATGTTGGCCAACGGGCATTAGCGGCGCAGCTTTCCCTGCTTCACCGGTGCGCGACGTCGATCTCGAGACAACTGAGGAAACATGGGTCGATCTTGTTGGTCGCGAAGCTCTTTGTCGTCTCTCGCCTTTTGCACAAGACCCTCTCGCAGCAGGAATCGGTACCGCCCTTTTTGGAGAGCTTGCGCAACCAATTGGCCGTGCTTCGACGGACGCTTCTGAAAAGGACGAAGAAGCGCCTGGCTTCGGCCACCTCAACGATCGACGAGATTATTGAGTCGCTGGCGGCGTATTGCTTGGCTACGAGCTCCTCGTCGGATGATGCGATCCGTCACTTTCATGAAGTTCGCCTGGGTGTTATTGGAAGCCAGCTGGAATCGAATGACCCTTCGGGCGAGAACGTCTTGAATGCCTTGCGACTATACGTGCTTACCCTACAGAACTCTAAAATTTTACTGTCTCGCCGTCTGTCCGACGTGCTGGCTAAGCTGAAAGTGCGGCCGATCCTGACGGACCCCGAGATTCGTGGCCTTGACGACCTCGGTCTCGATGTTTTGGGCCGCTGGGTAGCTCCGGAAGTCGGCAACTTCACGCCGTGGATCAAACTGACTGAGGTTTCCAAGTCGGATGCCGAGAAGGTCATCAAGCAGTGGTCCAAGGAGGCGTTTGGGGTTTTTACCAACGGGTGTCAAAAGGCTTTGTCGCAATTCTCGGAATTTCCCGCTTTGCTCTCTCTTCGCGGAAAGACCTTGGAGTTGTGGCTTTGCTCTTGGAGCTCTACGCCTACCCACTCGTCTTTGCAGGTTCTCGAAGGGACCCGTTCGGTTTTTAATAAGCGGTTGACGGAGATCTTGTCCGATCAGGCAAAAGCGCTGGGGGATTTCGGGCAGAGTGTTGCGTCCACGATCTCAAATTGGGAAAACAAAGAGCACAACGCGGCGCAATCTCTTTGGGGTCAGGAGACGATCTCGCTTGACTACTCCAACGGTGGTGATGCTTTCAAACAAGCGGTTGCGGATACGCTACTTGGCCGGGATGAGGATGTATCAACCGCCCTCAAACCGTATCAGACGTGGCTATCGTCCATTGGGGCGTCCAAAGAAGCCACCGATGAGTTGCGAAATATCCGGTGGACGGATGTCTTTGAGGAGGGCGAGGGAGACGACCTCGATGTAGACATTACCGCCATGCTCAACGAAGACGATCCTCGGCTGTTATGGGAAGCGCTCCAGTGGTCTGTCCAGCAAGCCTTCGACACGCTATATACGTCCTTCGCCAGTACCTTCAAGGAGTTCGGTCCCGCCAGCCAAGGCCATAAGGCCGCGTTTATGTTGAAGGTCATCCGGCTGGTTCGGAGAGATATACCGCCCGAATTCAGTACCCGCAAGCCTGCCTTTGCACAAGATATTGTCCCCCAGTTGCAGGATATCCTTACCACCGAAGTTGCTACACATACGCGCCTGCCAGCGCTGGCACCCCGCTCCCGGTCCTCGGCACTCGTGGGTCGATCGCTCTGGGAGGGTGACCCTGAATGTCCCGTCCAACCGTCACCGTCGACCTTCAAGTTCCTGCGCAGACTCGTGGGCTCCATGGATGGATACGGTCCTGGTCTTTGGGATGCGTCCACCGTGCGGGTCCTCAAGGGGATCGCACAGACGAAGCTCTCCGAGCCTATCGAAGATGCTATCAAGGTTTTGGCGCCTGCTACTTCTGAGAGCAAATCCTCGGAAGATGCCCCCACGGATGACCAAACGCCGCATGAAACACCGCCCGATAAACCTGATGACAATGAAGCCGAAGCACAAAATACCCACGACCGGAAAGTGCAATTGTTCTTCGATACCGTTTACCTGGCGACTGCTCTGGCGGACCAGGACGCGGGGAACAACCAGCTGCTAAACCTTGCCGAGAAAATTCGCAGTGGCCTTGAAACCAGTCCTCAGGCTGTCCAGTCTATGCAACAAGGAGCTCAAGAGTACTGGAAGCGAACCCAATTGCTGTTTGGGCTTTTGGCTGTTGGGAGCGAGAAATGAACCAGACCAGATGATGTGGTCAACCACGACTCTGGTTCAAGACACGATAGATAGACTCTCTGGCAGATCTATCTTCTGGAGACACCCTGTATATATAATTCTATATAAGATATAAACAACCCTATGATTCTAGACCCCAATATGGCTATTTTTATGAATCCCGTCTGACGCTGGGAAAACGTCATTGGGTGAAACCGTCAAGTCCGCGGGGATCTTCTCACCGCCCACGTCACGTTTCCGGGCCTCCACTTGGCCGCGGGAAATTGAGGCAACACGATCTCTCTCCTGCATTGTCTCCTTTTCCACGATTCTCCTTCTTCTTCACAGTCATCTTCTATGCTTTCGCACTTTTCTCGTCCCTCGTTCTCTCAGGACTCTCGATCTCTCTCTCGCCATGTCTGCCCCACGGCTCCCATTCCTTTATCCCAACCTCATGCGCGCAGTCCGCGCATGTGATCAGTCCTCCCACCGCTCCATTCGGATCCCACACAAGACCAAACACGCTCCCTTAAACTCCTGTCGACGATACGCCCAGCAATCCTATCACCGACGCTACGGTCCTGCCGCGGAAGCGAACCTGCCTCCCCCGTCCCGCCCGAAAGGCGCTGCTCCAACCCCACCCGTGCCGAAGGACGGCGACCAGCAGGCCGCAGAAGCCGCGCCGCCGGAGCAACTGCCGGAACAGGATGCCCAAAGCGATAATGCACCAGATAAAGAGTCACTACCATCCCAATCAACACCCGATGAAGCCAAGGAACCCAAGGAACCCAAGGAACCCAAGGAAGCGGAGATAGTTGCAGAACCTGGTGAAGGACATAACGCGAACGAGCCGGACCCGAACGAGGAACCCGCGGCGGAGGAAGAACCCGATGTAGCGCCTCCCAACGAACCGGCAAAAGAACAACAACAACGGCCTAGACCGGACGTCCATCCCCATCATCTGGGGGCAAACCCTCTTGATGGAGTCCTGCACATGCCGTCGCCCTCGTCCCAGCTGACGACCTCCGGCTTCACGCCCTCCGAAGACGGGAAAGGACCCCAATTGACACCAGCTCCTTACGTCCACCACTTCGATACCTACTCTCTCGTCCGTGATCTCTCCACGGGCGGCTTTACCGATGACCAGTCTGTCACGGTCATGAAAGCGGTCCGAGGCATCCTGGGCGACAACTACGACTTGGCAAAGCAAACGCTGACCTCCAAGTCCGACGTCGAGAACGAGAGCTATCTGTTCAAGGCCGCTTGCTCGGAGCTTCAATCATCCCTCCAGACTTCGCGGAACTCGGAAATGCAGCGACAGCGCGCATCCCGGACGCAGCTGCAGCACGAGGCGGATATACTATCCCAGCGGCTGAACCAGGAGCTTATGGGGCTTAAAGACGACATCAAGGGCATGTTCAACGACCACAAGATGGTCACCCGGGAGAACCAGCGGAGCATCGACACGTCCGTGCAGGAACTCAACTACAAGATCACGGTGTCGCTGAATAGTGACGGCAAGAGTGAGATTGAAAGCCTTCGGTGGATCCTCACCCGGAGGGCAGCCATGGCGATTGCCATCAGTGCTTGTAAGTATCCTTGGTTAATCATTATCATATTTCTTTTGCTATTGGGTGTTTCACAGTCAACTAACACCACTTAGTCATGATCATCCTCTTCCTGAAATACTACTCCGTCCTCAAAACCCACGACGTCGCTGAGAAACAAAAGGAACCCCCCGTCAAGGAGACCCCCGAGAAGAAGGTTTCCAAAGACGCCGCAGCAGAGCAGCCTCCGATCTCGATGCTGGAAGCGCACGTCAGCGAGTCACTGGGTTGAGCCCTTCTCACCCTTCACTAACATGACATGCATGACATATCAATGGCGTTGTTTGATCTATCTCCGAGCATCTACCTACTCATTATACAATATCAAACCGATATCTAATATCTACTCTCATCTCCTGTTCATCTCCCATGTCTCTTTTTTTTTTCTTTTTGTTTCTTTTTATTTGATTCATTACGTGGTTGAGCCCGCCAAGACATTCACATTTTGATACCCAACGAACAACATTCAGACTTGTTGCGAGAATGGGATGGATGAATGGGTGGATGGATGGATGTATGTATACTAGATAGATGATAGAAAAATAGATAGACAAGAACAGGCTGCTTCTCCGTCCTCTTTAGGTGGACACACCCTGCTGATAGAGTCCATAAATTCGAAGGAGTAGTATTAGAATTTCCCGAGTTATTTTTCAAACAGAGAACTCATCATCAAACGGCTGTTCAACTATCATTTCTCTCCATAAACCTCCACCTACAGAGCGAGCGTCCGCTGCACCAGAACGAACATCCTTTTTATCATCTCCCAGATCTCGCGCGCGTACAGAGCAAAGAAGCCGGATTCTGAAGTTCAGGCCCTGGAGTAGTGACCGACAAGAGTCCAGCTCTATCGGTAGTTCCATCTCTAGCAAGTTCAGGAAGTGCATCGTGAACTCGTAGTACTTGATAAACAATCTCTCCACGCCGGCTGTGTGTATTATCCTCGCAATCAGGTAGTGCGTCTCGATGAGAACTGGGCTGGGAAGAGGATATCTGCCATCTTGGGCTGCCAGGATGATCATCCTGTCTTGTGCGAGACATTGTGTTTGTGGGCGCTCTTGCTCGCACCACAAGATTATTAATTTCACCGAGCAAATTCTCTATCAAAATTTCAAGTGCTAAATTCGCACTTCCAACCGAGGACCAAGAATAGTCGAATCAGGGCTGAGTCGATGTGCTCCGAAAGATGCTACAATTCTGCATCTGGGCGAAGACTCGAAATCTGCCCTTTTTACCCCTAGGTTGGATGTACCTCGCGTGAGAACCGATCTGTCTTCTCGTAATGATTCAGTGCGGCCGTCAACCCGGGAATTACCTTCTTCAGCAGAGGACGACTGAGCACCAGATCGCCGGCTTCTGTCGTTCTCAAAACCATCCTCTTCTGCCTGTTCCAGGTGAACAGCAGATATCACCGGATGCATGTGCCAGTTTTTGGGTAGGTCTAAATCGTATGCTAATGAATCCAGTCTCCCCCAAATTCGAAACGGCGCCTCTTGGTAGATGATTGCTTGGGGGAATGTGGATCTATCGTTTGCCTCGGGAACTTCTATGGCTTTGGAAAACATGGGGTCTTCCAGCATGCAAGTCAAAAAGATGCAAGACTGTGCTAGTTGGTAGTCTGACCGAGGCCCCACGGGTTGAGAGGATCTGAATAAAGAAAGTATGAAGTTAATCACACCTGCCATTGCAAGGAATGAGGCATGCGGGATGACGGGGACTGCTGCTGGAGCCATACTCATCTGAGGGGACGAAGAGGAAGAGTTGAAGAAGAAAGGAGAAGAGAGTATACAGATTTCAAAAGCTGTACTCAGCAATGAATATCCTTTAATTTTGTATCACTGCTGAGCGTGGGTTTCTAAGTAACCAGACACATCGCTGCATCAACATCTGAAACTATACATGCTTCCATATGAAGTGTCTCTACACTAGCCCTGTTTTTTTTTTAAAAAACAAACTGAACATCACTGTGATATGTATCAATTCATAAAGGTGATACTAATGCTCACTTTCTTAAATAAGTCAGTAATCTATAAGAGAATCTAGGGGCCAGAGCCCCTCAGAATAGAGATAATATTAGACCATAACGCCAGGTAGTCAGGGCTAGGGCTGTGAGAAAATTAAATATTGTTACTGCAGCTCTCTGTATATAGTTCCTATAGCCTATAAGCTCTACAGATGAGTGATTAGTTCTTCGAACATATGCCCCTACCATTCTTTATTATATAAACCAGACAGTGATAGAATCAACGTGAGATAATATTCAAAGACCTGTATCTATATTCTACATCATCCAGTGATATCAGTATTATCACAGCAAGCAAACCCATTCTAGTCTTGCCACACTTACTAGTCAAAAAGTTCATATCAGAAGATAGAACAAAAAAGATTGTAGAATAGATACATATCCATATACCCATTCAAAATATTTGATATCAAAACAGGTTGGGAATAAATGCTCTAATTCCCATCAACAATAAATGAACAAGAACTGATTCAAGTTTATATATATTTAACCTCTATGATCCACTAAATGTCCTACTTGTAGTTAGTGCTGACATACCCTTGTAAACACTTGTTAACTAACACAGCTACCAACCTACTGTTTAGTATCACTCAATATCCCAACCAGTTGATGAACTCTCAATCCCAGGCCCAGGGGAGCAATCAATAACCTCCCATCCGACTCACCATAAAGATTGAAGCTCGTACCTGGCAGTCCATGTCGACGGCGATCACCAAGCGCAAGCGTGCAAGAAAGGCATGCCTCCCCTGCCACCAGCGCAAGCGGAAATGCGACGCCGAGTATCCCTGTAGCACCTGCACCACCTATGAATACACCTGCACGTACGCCGACAGCTCGGTGACGAAGAGTCCGCCCGTTGTGAGTCCACCCGTCGTGGCCGGCGCGTCCACGCCCACCACCACCGCCACCACCACGGCCGGCATCTTCGACGTACAGAAATGCAGATACGCCGGGGCATCGGCAGCCATGGCATTCCCGCACATTCTAGGCATGGCTTTCGGCTCGGACAGCCCTCCCAAGATGCACTCGTTTGCCTACAACTTCGGCATCCGCCCCGAGGAGGCGTCCAACGCCCATGGCTTGCTGGGCAAGCTCATCTCAGAGGACGACCTCGGCTTGTTCTCAAGCGTGTACTTCTCCGCATTAAGCCCCATCGGCGACCTCATAGACCCGAGGATCTACGCCCAGCGATGTCGCGATTACTACCATAGTGCCGGCAGCACCAGCACCGCGGTAGCCTTTGGCGCCGTGGCCGCTGGCGTCGCTGCTCTCGGATCGTTCCTCTCCCCGAACAGACACCCACGGGAGTCGGACCTGGTGCAATACGCCAAAGCCATTCTCGAGGATCCGGCCTCTATGCGCACGCTGGGCATCGACCATATCATCGCGTGGGGCATGCGCGTATTCTACCTGCGGGCCACGACCCGCCCCAACAACGCCTGGATCGCGTCGTGCACCGTCATGCACCTCTGCGAAGCGGTCGGGCTGCACGAGGAAGACAACATTCAGAACATGGCGTCCGTCGCGGGCGCCGCCGCCGTGGGACACGACGCGGACCGGCTGAGACGGATTTTCTGGATCGCGTGGGCCGGGCACAACATGCTGTCCTATGAGTACGATCGGTCGTCGGTCCAATTCGGCGCCGTGACCACCCAGGCAATCATCCCCACGCCAGGGTCCGTCGCCGACCAATTCGTGCAAATGGCGCAGATCATCCCGGCGCCTAACTCGCCCTTCCGGCTCGACTGTCAGCCCCCGACTCTGAGGGAGGAGCTGTTTGAGCGCATCAAGGCGCTGGACAAGCTCCACTTCACACATCCGTTCCTGGTAGTATCCAAGGCGGACGTCGCGTTTTGCTTCTACCGACGCATTTATCAGCTCAAGATGGGCTTCTCGGACGAGATCATCCAGCTCGTTATCGATAGCGGCAACGCCGCGGTGGAGGCGGCGGAGCAGCTCGCTAGCCAGGGTCTCCTGTTCTGGAACGCCATCGGCAGCGTCTTCCAGTATGCGTGTGTCCTGTTGGCCATGGACACGCCGGCTGCCTCCGTCCACATCCCGACGGCGTTCAAAGGCTTGGAAAATCTGGTTCAGGCGGCTGACACCGGGCTGACGCGGAAGGCGTTGTCGATGGCGCGACATCTACTCGGTCTTAGTATGGCTAAGAAGCGGAAGGAGCTTGCCCAGCTGGAAGCTGTCGAGGCGGGCTACCAGGCGCAGCCGGAGTTTGAGACCAACACTGCTGTGCCGGATTTGGGATGGGAGGACTGGGACCAGTTTCTCATTGAACCGTATCTATCGATGCTCGGCCCTGATATGTAGTAGCGGTAGGGGGCTCGTCATTGGGCATTTCGCGGCGAATTCGGCATGCAAGCCACCAACACGGTGTGGCGATCTGAACTGCTCTAAATGAAGCTCAACATTGTACATATGTAGCCTGAGTCAACCAACCGTCACATTGGATATGAAGCGCAAGGTATTTACAAACCTCAAGACAAAAATGTCGGATATCTCTTGTACCCGAGTGGTATACCACTGTTGCAAGACTGACAAGAAATTGCTCTTCCTGCGGCAAAAACCCCTTGGAGATTTTCATCCTCTCATCTTGATACTAAACAATCACTAAGTAACACTAAATAATCACTAAATATCACTAAAATATCACTAAATGATCACCAAAAGCGACTGGTGCGGTGCGGCTGCGACGGCAAATGCGGAACCGTCCATCGGCCGCTGTCAGATTGTACTGATCCCCGCGTGCGGCCGCTGCGGCCCCCGAGGCAGGGTATAACGGCTGCTGCGGCGATATGCTGACTGCACTTGTATTCTGTGATTCACGACGAATCAAGTTGAAATTTCTATACAGATGGAGTCGGATATACGATGGACATTGGGTCCGCAATTTCCGAGTCCGATCCTGGATATCGAGAAATCGGACGGAGTCTGAAGTATAAATAGTTGGCGTTTTCTGCTGTCCATGTTCAACTACAATCGCAACAATCGCAACAGTTGATACACTTGATACACTCCAAAAAACCAAAATGCCCAAGTACGCCAAAGACCAGCCCACCGGCTTCAAGAATGCCATTGAGAGAGTCGCCATTGTTGGTGTAAGCACCCCTCAACACCATCTATACCATTACAAAACACTAACATCCCCAGGCTGGAGGTACCGTCGGTTCAAACATCGTCACCTCCCTCCTCCAAACCGGCAAACACACCATCACAGCCCTCACCCGCAAAGACAGCACCAACACCCTCCCCGCCGGGGTCCTCGTCGCCCCAGTAGACTATGCCGACGAAGCCACCCTCATCGCCGCGCTCAAGGACCAGCAATTCCTGATCATCACGATGGCCCCCACCGCCCCCCGGGACACCCACAGCAAGCTCGTCCAAGCAGCCGCCAAGGCGGGCGTCCCCTACGTCATGCCCAACGGGTACGGCGGGGACATTGACAACGCCAGACTCGAAAACGAGACGATGCTGGGACCGATAGGCAAGGGCCAACGGGCTGAGATTGAGAGCCTCGGCATGAAGTGGATCACCGTGTGCTGCGGGTTCTGGTACGACTACAGCCTGGCGGGCGGGGAGGCGCGCTTCGGGTTCGACTTTGACAAGCGGGCCCTGACTATCTACGACGATGGCAATGCGAAGATCTCGACCTCGACGCTGGCGCAGGTGGGGCGCGCTGTGGCTAGCGTTCTGAGCCTCAAGGAGCTTCCTGATGATGAGAACGACAAGAGTCTGGCCGTGTCTGCGTTCCTTAACAGGGGAGTGTATATTAAGAGCTTCGTGGTCAGCCAGAACGACATGTTTGAGAGCGTCAAGCGCGTCACGGGCACCACCGACGCGGACTGGACGGTCACCCATGAGGCTAGCAAGAAGAGGTACGAGGATGGGCTCGCACTGGTGAGAACGGGGAATATGGCTGGTTTTGGCAAGATGTTGTATGCCAGGATGTTTTACCCTGGTGATTCGGGCGAGTTCTCGGCCAAGGCGCAGAATGGGCTGCTTGGGTTGCCGGAGGAGACCTTGGATGAGGGGACTAAGGCTGGGGTGGATCTGGTTGAGGTTTTGCAGAGCCGTGTTGAGCGGATGGCGGCTTAGATGGTGTCTATAAACTTGAATCGGTTATAGAGGGGGATTATGTGGGTGAGAAGTTATGAGCGTCAGGGATAATGGGCAAAGGTATTTTAGATTGTTATATATAGAAGCAATAATCAGTTCATTGTTGTGAACAGGGCATACCAACCCAAGCTTTTACTTAAACTTGTTGAAGGATATTTCTAGTGTTTCTAAGAAAAAGATATAAATTGATAATTTTTTATAGCTTATTTTTGGCAGGCTGAGATGGGTCAGCGGGAGATTTGTTGGCGGAACTGGCCGTATAAGGATGGTGGGGATGATAGCTTGCCTTCGGGTGTCTAACTTTATTGCAGATGTAAAAGAGGGTTTAAAATGAGGTATAGAAGAGCACGCGTATGTTGTATATCACCACTACTCAAGCATGCACGTCCTGTTAATCATGTGTAAAGTTCAAACATCTATCATTCATCGTCTATCCATCCACCATCAACCCATCTATCAATCAGCCAATCAATTAATCAACAACAGCTCTACAATGACGCCGTAGTAGTCAGGTATATAAATCCCACTCGCACGTACATCAATTCTATAACAGATCATGAAAGAGAAACAAAAAAAGAAAAACACACACGAAAACGATAAGAATGAAAAAAAAAAAAAAGAAATATATATGAGATCATTAGAAATCAAACCTCAACGCAATACTAGGCATACTCTGCTGCCCAGCTCCACCACTCTGCATCGAATCCCTCGACCCCCTCCTACCACCCCCATCGGTATCGACCTCCGCACAGCGAAGAACTTCCTCCAGCAGCGTCTTCTGCTCCGGCGTCATGGACGCCACCAGCGCGCGGAACACGACCGGATTAGCCTTTGCCAGCTCGAGCAGATGGCCGGCTGTCTCCTTGTATACGGAAAAGCCGTCGCGCTTGGCGCGGGCTAAGAGCACGGAGAGGACTATTGAGAGTGCGGTGGGGACGTCGCGCGCGGTGGGAACGTAGGAGACTATCGTGCGGGATATGACCGCTTTGCAGTTCTCTGGGTCCATGGGGATTTCGCCGTGTTCGGAGGGACAGCCGATGAGGAAGCTGACCAGGCGGGGGAAGAGGAATCGCGAGATGGATTCCTCCGTCAGGGACCGTGTGGAGGTTAGGAGGATTGAGCGGAGGCAGCCGGCGGCGACGTTGGCGAGACCAACGTCTTGGAGGCAGTCGAGGAGCTCGGTGAGGACCCGTGGGATCACCGGGTCTTGCGGTGGGAGAACGTGGCTGCCGGTTGTGAGCAGGATGGTGATGGCGAGAAGGGTGTTCTTGGCGCAGGGCAGCGAGGAGTCTGATTCGCGCCGCTGGGCGATGGTGAGGGTTGTGAGGAACCGCGTGAGACAGCCGCGGAGTTGGCGGGATACCACCTTGAGGTTGTCTGTTTGGGCGGGGCTGGGTTCCTCGCTGGGTTGGCTGATCGCGTGGACGAAGTGTTTGAAGATGGGGAGTGCTTGGGGCACGACTTGCGCTTGGCATAGTCCTGTGGCGAGGATGGTGGTGAAGATGTGCAGGATGCATGCGTTGAGGTCGTTGCGGATGATGGATGGGAAAATCGAGGCGACCTGGACAAGGGACGAGAGGGAGAGGCGGATGAGCGATAGGGCGTCGTCTGTTCCCACGGTGAACCGGGCCAGCGGGGTGTTCTCCCGGAGATTGGGTAGCAAGCCTGCAAGGACCAGGATGATGCTTCTCGTCAGCTCGAAGAGCTGCTCGATGTCGTCGGTGAGATGGTCGCTTCTGTTCTCGCTGCCTTTGGCGGCGGGGTGATCCAACGACAGGTTGCGCGCGATCTCGACAATCACGTTCTGGATGGGGATCCCCTCCGTCAGCGCAAGGCGATCCAGCGAATCCATCGTCTCCCCAAAGATGGCGTCCTGATAAATCGCGTTGCCAGAGATTACTGGTCGCAGGATTCTCTCCAGAGCCCGGAGGATTTCCAATCGCTGCGATGCCGTGGTAGACTGGTCAACAAGAGCTTCAAACGCCAGCCCGAACAGCACGAAAAAGAAGGCAACCGGTTCATCGCGGTAGTTGATATCGTGGCCCTTTCCTTCTTTCTTGTCCTCCGGCGCTTTCTCTTCGTCCTTGTTCTCGATCTGCGACTTGCCATCCAAGGCGTCGAACACAAAGTCTATGTCTTTCTCCACTAGACCGGCAATTGCATCAACCAGGCTCAGCCAGGTATCTTGGTAAAACTAAACCAATTCAGTCAGCCGATGATCCTATGCGCTATTTGGTTCTGTCGAACTCACCTTCAACAGTGTCTCCCGATTCAAAGCAGAATACACCTCATCCAAATCACTCCCCAGCGGGCCCGTGCCTAAGCTCCCAGAGATATCAGGCTCGAACCGAAGACGTGCAAATTCCCGAAGCGAAGAGAGCCACAACGGGGTCAGCTTGGCAATATACGGTTGCACCACTTGGTTCAGGTAGTCCTGTTCAATGCTAGCGATTTGCAGTCGTGCCCAGGCGGAATACAGAGCCATCTTGACCATGACTCTGGCGTTCGAGTTGAGTCCTTTCAGGTCTCCGATCTCCGTGGTGTCCGGGTTTTCTGCGCCGAGTCAGTATAGGTTTCCACGGGTCGTTGCATTGGACTTACTCGAAAAGTTCTCCAGACCCAGCACCAGCAGCTTCAGAATCCGGCCCATCCGATCCACGTTCGTCACGATACCTGTAGCGATGAACGTGGCAGACACGTTGATGGCCTCTGATGCTAGCTCTGGTGAAGAATCAGCAGCAAAGGCCGGCGTAAGGGCCGATCCGATCTGAGCTTGGTATTGCTCAAGCAAGGACGCCTCGGCAAAATCGGGATCAGGAGTCTTGCCAAACATCTAGGTAACAGTTAGATTTTGCAACAGCCAACAAACAGGATAATACATACTCGAAGAACCTGATCGATGATCCTCAAACCCCACACACGTAATTCAATAACGTTCGCCGTCGACGCCGAGAACGCCATTCGCACAATGTCACCCACCTTCTGCTGGAGGGCAAGCTCGGCAGGAATGGTCTGGTCTGGCAGAATGGCTTCCTGCGTGGTGGCCAAAAGCTCACTCAGACAGCTCATGGCGAAGTTCCGAGTCTGCCATTTCAGCAGTTCCTGGCCCGCGACGGTCTCGTTCGCATTTTCCGTCTGTCCTGGTCCCGCAATTGCAGATGCAAAGCCCGCGACTTCATCATCTGGTAGATCGTTGGCAGCGGGCCGGGCAGTGGAAAGAGGAACCTCGTCTGCTTTTGCGCGCGTCTTGGTCAATGCATTCTGACAGCGTTGAATCCACAACTCCGTCTCGGTGAGAGCGGTCTGCTGCATCCAGTCTTGGATCATGCTCCTGAGAATGGGGTTATCCGGCGTGTCGTCGAAGGCTAGCCAGAGGTCCTCTTCCAGGGCCGGCGTGGCGGTCTGGATGACGGATGTAGCGTCTCGCTTCATGAGGTTGCTCAAGGCGCGAATAGCCACATCTCTCATCAGTGGGTTGTCTGTAGAGAGCTCGTGCTGCAGCCGTCTCACGTATCCGGAAAAGTCCACATAGCTTGGTGCATACAGGGACAAATGGTCCAAGCACTTCGAGCTCTCGGTGACCAGAGCCGGATTGTCCTCCAGTTGGAACTGCCGCAGAAGGGAGAGGATCAGATTGCGCGTTTTGGCGATATCCTGGAGATCGGGGCCCAGGACATTGATCAGAGAATCAACACAACGACTGACAACCACCGGGGTGAGGAACGACATTTCAGTGTTGGAGGTGGCTAGCATCTGCGCCTCGACATTGTGGGTATCGGCGTTGTAAAGCTGGGCCAGCATGCCGAGAGAGCTCGACACAAACGGCGAAAAGGTCAGACCAGCCGAGTTGGCAACTCGTTCCAGGCCTCCAAGCGCCCAGAAATGCACCACCGGGTGAGGGTCGTTGCACAGCGACATCAGCACCCCGACGATCGTCTTGAGATGCAGACCTGCTGCCATTCCACCGACTTGGGAGTGAATGCAACCCAAAGCTGCAGCACATCCCGCACGCGCGTTGGGTTCGCGGTTTTCCACGATGGTATCAACGAGCCAGTTGATCTGCGCGTTGGTGAAGGCATTTCCGGAGCTGTCGCATAGCCTTCCGAGTGCCTCGACGCCCACCGTGCGCACGATCAGGTCAGGGTCAGTGACGAATTTCTAATACCGTCAGCTACTTTATCCCAGTCAATGGCGCATGTAAGCAGTCGTCACATACCTGCAAAAGCTCTTGCAATACTTTGTCCGTCGCCGGGTTTAACCGTCCCATCGTCGCGCCGTTGTCTTTGCCCGATGCTTTCAAAGCGTGAAGCAACGCCACAGCCACGTTGACAACCAGGGCAGCTTTGCGTCCAGGATTACGCTGGAGAGACTGCGATGTGAGGAACGTGGCTATTTGTTCGACACTGCTTTCCTGGACCTTCGGGGCATGTAATGGGATAGCCACAGAGAACAGCTCGACCGCGGCATTGACAACACCCGTCGCGTGCGGGTCAGCGGAAAGATGATCACCAGCCCGGGATGAGTACAAGAGGATGGAGTCATGCTCGCTGGCTTGGCAGATAGGGAAAGTCAACTGCAATGGGTCAGCTTCTAGAGGTTGAGGTGATGCGGAACGAAAAATACTCACAGCATCGTCAATAGCTTGGTCGGCCGAGTCAACCGCGGACCAGGACGGGCCATTGTCAGTTTCATCCTTGCCAGAAAGAGTCGCGCGGACGTATTTCCTAGCCAAGCCAGTCACACCAAAGCCGAAGTTGTCGCACAGATCCCACAGAGACTCGAACTGGGCAGTGGAGGCAGCGATCGAGCTCTCCAGTGGTCCAGACTGAGTGGCATCCGGGTCCGCAAACGACGAGATGGCCAGACCCAGGAGGCTTGTCTGAGAGATCACATCACCGTGGGTCTGAGGATGGACATGAAGGAGCTTGGTAAAGCACTGTAACACACGTCGCCGGACCATGGTTGCGGTATCCTGCAAATGAAACGAGGGGTGCAGACGCTGGGAGATTTCATGCGTGGCTCGCTGGCGAGGCAGGTCGTCAAGGAAGGTGACCGTGTTCTGCAACAGCGCAGCGATCCTTCGCGCGCCGTCGGCGGTGATCAACTTGCTGTTGAACTCCATGAACACCAGCAGCGATCCCAAGGCGGACTCTCGGACATGTGCCAGGAAGCTCATTTCCAGGTTCCCACGCCGCGCGGAGTTTTCCTTGCTTAGATGGATGGGCAGAGCGTTCTTCCACAGGAGCATGAGTTGGGACAGATGGATCTTGACAAAGCTGGGGCCCAGGGGCATCAAGCCACCGATTAGAATCCACGCTACCTGGATCTGCGTGCTCGCCGCGCGCAACTCTGAGTTGCTACTCGTCTTCAAAAGGTCCGTCGCTTGGGTGAACACCCGGGAGAAGACTTCGACCGAGCCATAGAGCGGCTGGAGCCGAGAGGTACTCAGCATGGCCGAGAGTCCATTTGCGTAGCCAACGCACCGCCGCGGTGCCTGTCGGGGGGTCGACAGCTGCCCCACCTCCCTGCTCAAACTGTTCAGACAGATCGTCACGCAGGAGATCAACTGGTTCGGACACGCCAGTACGAAGCTGCGGAGACAGTGGGCCGCGTGGATCTGAACAGTGTAGCTGGGGTGCGGTAGCACCTGGAGCAGAGCTTCCCGGCAGCTCTCCGCTAGCGACGCAAAAGCAGAGCCAAGGGAGCAGATCAACGAAGACAAGGCACTGAGAGTGCTGGTCAAGGTATATTTACTAGGCTCCCGGCGCTCCTGGATGACTTGAGGATAATCCTTGAGGATATTGTTGATCAACCATTTGGCCGCGTTGACCTGACTGCTTTCCCGAAGCGACTCACGACCCACGGTGTCCTCCAAGATACTCTTGACAAACTTGCGGGTCATCAGAAGCCGGAACCGATTGTAGGTGACGGTGGGGTGATTCAGGAGATCGAAAAGGAGGTGACTAGCAATATCACTATACCGCTCTTCGATCACCTTGTCGCCCAGGGCCCGAAGAACGTGCTTATAGCAGATCGAGATGCCCGCCCGGGAACGATTCGACGTCGTGCTCTTCAAATACTGCGTGGAGAGCTGACGAAGAAGGTCGGGCAGGAGGAAGTACAGCCGTGCCTCGGATTTCTTGGGCGCGGCAGCAACCGACGACTCTGACATCTCCTCCTGGTCTTCCTCCTCACCCGGCCGTGGCGCCGGCTTCTTCGACTGGCGCTTCGACTTCTTCGGCTTCGGAACGGTTACGACTCGAGCATCCGCCGCATGCAACTTGGCCAGCGCCCGGGCCAGGCAGACGGCGGCAGCGTGTCGGACCGGAGCGACCGGGCTGTCGATCACCTTCCAAATCACCAATTTCAACGTGTCGAAGTCGTGGCTGTTATCGAAGAAGGGAGTCGCGCTGACCAGCTGCTCGAGACAACGACATGCATGCACCTGGACAAACGTCGACTTATCCCCGGTGGCAGCATTCCGAGCCTGCTTCCAGACGTCTCGCGCGGTGCCCTCATCCACCGGCACACCCACCCCTCCGATCACCTTGCGCAGGACAGCGAAGATCGACCCGCGATATCCCACATGGTTGCTTGCCGATTTCAGCGACTTCAGCAAGCTCGACGTCACAATCCCCGACTGTGCGAACACGCTCTCCCCGGCCACAGCGAAGACCTCGCCCAGACAATATGCTGCGGCGAACTTGGTCTTCAATTCCTCGCTCTTCCCGGCATTCAGCACCCCCAGCAGCTCCGTCACCGTCTCGAAGAGTATCCCGCGATCCCCCTTGGTGAATATGGCCCCGAAACACCTTCCCAGGTTATTGCGGATCACCCGCGTGATCGTCGGCGACGAGAGGGTCAGGATCTTGAACAGTTCCTTCTTCAGGAATTTCTGCTGCGACGACACCTGTGCCTTGTCCAGCTCCGAGATATGCTGCACGAGGTCCGAGGTGAACGTCAGGAGGTAGAGGTCCTGCTGTTCGGAGGGGAGCGCATGGAGCTTCGCGACGTCCAGCTCCGCACGGGGGGGTGTCGTCGCATTGTCGGAGGGAGGAGTTGAGGGCGAGGGAGCGGGTTCAGACGAAGACATTGACAGGGAATTATTCGGCCCAAGTGCCGCCCATGAAATACAATTATTGAGTTCCTAGAGAAGCGAAATCGTAACGAGAGAAGAGAAAGAGCCTCATGAGTTGACAGTCGACAGTTGACAGTTTGACAATAGTTAATGATTCCCCTCCGCCCCTTAATAATAATATACGTAACAAGAAGAACCGCCGGAGATTAGATAACTAGGGGATTCCTGAGGAACCAAGGCCTCGAACCGGAGAATCCCTCGGTCCGTCCATTCTATTCATAGTAATTCTGGATGTATTATATCGCAACGTCCCAGCCATTAAGTCGCGTTGGCAATTGTGGTAGGGGAGGTACGCTAGAAGACTTACAATGGCACTGGCCTTGGGAAAACAGTGGTATCCCCGTCGGGGCTCGAGTTTACTCGCGTCCCCCACTCTGCGCCGCACCTTCACGAGTCACCCCTCGCGCTTGTCGGGCCATAACCGATGGTCCACCATCAGACATGACAAGGCAAAGAACGACAAGGCGAAGAGTAAGGAACGACAGGTCATCGCCAAGGAGATCAGTAGCGCCACACAACGTAGGTTGTCCCGCCGTCGAACATCACAACTCGCAAGTCAATCCTAGCATGCACCCCGGCTGACTCCACGCAAAGTATGGGGAGCAGATATAAAGTTCAACCCGCGTCTGACGCTCGCCCTCTCCAACGCCAAACGAGCCGGGATCCCAAAAGTCGTAATCGACGGGGCGATCGCGAGAGGTCAGGGGGTCAGCGTGTCGGGACAGGCGCTGGAGCAGGTCACGATCGAAGCGCTTCTGCCCCACTCGGTTGCGGCGGTGATCGAGTGCCAGACGGACCAGAAAGCGCGCCTCCTGCAGGATCTTCGATATGCGATTAAGGATAACGGCGGGACCATCACTCCGACGACATACCTGTTTGAGAAGAAGGGGCGGATCGTCTTCGAGAAGAAGGAGGGCGTGGATCCGGATGAGTACCTCGACCAAGCGATCGAGGCCGGGGCTATGGATATTGCGGCCGATGCGGACGGTCGGCTGGTTGTGTTCTCTGAGCCGACGGAGACGAAAAAGGTGGGAGACTCTCTGTCGAAGCTCATCGGACTCCCCATTGAAGAACTGGAGATCATCTGGGATCCTAACAAGGATACCATGGTGGAGGTGAAGGACGAAGCAAACGTCAAAGAACTTGAGGATCTCGTCGGTTTTCTTCGGGAGGAGTCTGCTGTTCGGGATGTCTATGTGAACGCGACGCAGCAGCTCTGACCGTGGTTCGAGCCTTGCCTTGTATATATAGCGCCGTGACGTGACCATGTTATGTACAATAGTGTAGACTAGCAGCGGGGATGCAATCCCGTGTATTTTTATCTGTCATATCCAGAGCCCCTGTACTCTCCGATTCGGCTACCTATCTCGGACACAACAGTTCTCGCATTGATCTACCTCACTCCTTACGCAACGCTTTCATCGTGCTCCGCATCAGATTGCCAACGCCCACACTTCCATCGGCCTCCAACCAGTCCAGCATCCGCACCCTATACTCCTGCCAACTAACCTTAGCACCACCATCCTTCTCCAGCGCATTCAGCGCCTTTTGAGTAACAGGCCTCGTCAACCGGGGCTGATCCTCCCGGTTAGTCTCGTCCTCGATCCCAGCAAAGCAAGCCGCAGACATGTTGGACAGCGCGGCATGGTGACTGAGCGAGAACAGCGACGGCATGCTATAGGAGAACGGAATGTCACGCTTCCTCTCCCGCGATGCCTCGTTCATCTCGCGGATGTATTGCGTGAGTGCGGTTACGGTTCCTGCCGGAATCAGGCAACCCAGGGCGTTCGGATCGTCGCTGTTCAATGCTCGGTTTCGCCATAGCAGGTTGCAGATGTCCATGATATAGCCGTTGAATTGGCCCACTAGCTGGGTTGGATACAGTGCGTCTGTGGAGTCGGGCACTTGGAGGACTTGGGATGTCATGGATGCCTCGAAGGACGCCTTGTAGCTGGCTAGCACGGAGCTCACGATGGATATCACCGAGCTTATTGGGGTAAAGACGAGGCTGTATACAGTTGGCGCTAGAGGAATGGTAATCCGGATATTGCCGTTAACCGACGCGTACGAAAATAATTCTGCGAGTGTGCAGTAGAATTCAACCACGGATAGCGTGATCGGCTTCGTGTCGGTGGCATCGCTGTCGCCGTCTTGGGGTGTGGATGGGCACTCGAGGATGGACAGGGCTAATAGCTCCGCGTGGGATAGGAGGTGATCCAAAGGTTTTTTCTCGCCCGGTACGAGCGGCTGTGTCCTCAAGTGAACTCCCCATTGACGGACCAAGGAGGAGTAAAAGTCAAGAAGGCCGCCCTTAGCCGGCAACGCTTGATGTAACAGGGAATTTTCCAGGGGCGATAAGAACTCCCGTCGTATGGAATCGTAATCAGCCACTGGGGTGTATTCAAGAAGCCGAAGTATTTGCTCCTTGTTATCAACTCCATTCCACACTGGGATATAGGATTTTAGGAACGAGGCAACCGTGTCTGGAATTTCCTAAACAAGGGTGAGCGCTTTGGCAAGTTGTGCGCAAGGAAGGGTGGAGGTACCTTTGTATACCGTACATAGTCCACGAGCAGACTCAGTACGTAGCCTAATGACTCCACTTGCTCATCATCAGAATCGCCGCCGGATTCCAAGTGATCACTGAAAAAGCTCCTTAGCCAGTCGTCTAACCGGCGCTTCGCAGGCTCTGGCTGCACCAGAAACAAGTATTTCTGGGCCAGGTTGTCTCCAATTGTAGATACGATCTGATTGGGGAGCTCGATCTTTTCAAGCCTCTCAACAAAATGATCAATCCCACGGATTTCTTCGAGAGACGTATGGTTATACGACACCCGAGACGTTTGGACGCTCGGGACAAGCACCTCCATCTTGCTTCGCTTGGTGGTTCCGCGGAGCACCACTTGAAAGCGCGAGGACTGGGTCTCTCGGAGCCTCTCTGCGTTCGAGTCCTGGAGAGCTCTCACATGGTTGGTCCATTCGGGGTCCGGGTGCTTGAAGAAAAGCGCTTTTCTTCCGGCTCCCCCAAGGTCTCCCACGAGGACATCCGGGCAGTAATTTTTGAAGACCTTCATTAGAGTGAGCAGCTCCTTATCTTCACCACCCGAGTTCACAACAAGCTCCATAAGGGCTTGAATCCGGAATGGCTTGACATGCTTGCGCCGCGTAATGAAAGAAAGAAGATGGCAGAGCGGCTTGCGCAGACTGATCATGTCCAAGTAGTTGAAGAGCACCGCGTAGAGCTTCGACAGATGGGCCCTGTCGTCAAAGAAGTCATAAACCAGGATCAGCCATCGCAAGAGCAGATTCTGCGTCGCGGGGGCCGGCTTGTTCTTGCTCGGGCCAAGGCAGCACACAACCTGAGTGACCAGTTTAGACGGGACTCCCTCCACTGGGTAAAGGTTTTTCAACAAAGTAGTAATCGTGCCTTGGTCCAGATTGTTAGGCTGTGTCAGGAGCTTGACTAGACGTTCCAGAGCCGCTTGCGGGATTCCGCTCTCATACGCATTTGACGCGATGATTTTGGCCAACTGGCCAGCGTCCGTGTATCGCTGCTTCGAAGGCACGAAGGCCACTGCAAACAATAAGAATATGATACAGCGACCAATGAATATCCCATCAGTTGGGTAAATGAGCCTTACCTGCTTCTAGATGCTCCAGCGCATCAAGCAGGCTGGTTGGCCTCGGTTCCGAGCCTGGGAGTAGTGAGTATTGGGTGAGTCGATTGGGATTTGGAAAAATACCTGGCAATTCTCTTTCTAAGTCTGATGACATTGACAATGACTAGATATTCAATATTCCTGATGTAGTCTGCACACGTTCTCTTCTCTCCGCGAACAATTACGCGCCTGTCCTGGGCTGTTGTTTCGCGTTCTGCGCAAGCTATGTATGTCGCATTAATTAGAACTGTAGAGAGCGTGCACAGCAGTAAGCTATGTTTACAGGGTGAATGTACAGATCAATAAGAATGAAAATAATCTGGCTGAAATAGGACCCTGTCCCGGTTGAGCGTGTTTGTTGATGTCTGTTGCGCAGTTTGGGCCTCGGGATGGTCGCGGGAAATGACTAACTGGGCTAATTCGGCTTCACCCTGATCGATCTGTGTAGACTGTAGACCTAAGTGTTCTTACCATACGACCATTTTGCTTGCATGTGAGCTAATTTTGTCCGCATCAGATATATAAATATTTATGATTTACGGAGATCTAACTGATATTTCGTTAGTCCTAGCTTTTCTGTCTTAATACATAGTATAAACTGGTGCCATCCTTGGAGTATAGTAGAGAGAGAGGCTAATATAGACAGGACAACTTTTCAACCTTGATGTACTACTAACTTGTTCTATTACTACACTATTAAGTTCAACTTTCAAGGTAGATCCCAAAATTAGACCCGACTAACTGCAACAACTCGGGAATAGACGATACACTTAGCGAAACACACTGCCATTAAAACAGACATCGAAATGGCAGGCAACAAAGAGAACGGAGTGAACGGAAACCCTACAGGGCAGGTAGTCTGAAGGTAGTTCACTTTCTCTTGCGAGTGGGAGCCTTGGAGCTCTCCTTGCCAGACGCTTTAACCGGGGTGGGGTCCGCGGTCGCAGGAGCTGGGGCAGAATCCGAAGCGGGTTCTTCGCTCTCGTCATCGCTTTCGCCTCCCTGGCCAAATTCATTGACACGGTTGTAGTCAACCTTGTACTTCCAGCCCTGGTAAAGCCAGACAAAGAAGATCACGTCATCCCGCAGAGTTGCGAGTCTGTGAAGCCACGGCATTTTGACGGTGAAGGCAAAGAGGTCGTCAATGAAGGTGTTGAGGAACTTGTATGTCAACGCCTTTCCGGGCATGTGGGCAACGGACTGGACGAGGAGTCAGTCAATCTTTGTTGATTACGGGAGGGGGCAGACAAACCTTCAAGCGGTAGTTGATGTACAAGCTGGGAACCATCATAAGGAAGCCATAGGCATAGACGCTGCCCACGAGGGTCTCAATTACGAACGAGTACCATGATTTGTGCGTGTTGTAGATCAAGCTGTACGCGGCGTAGGCGGCCAGAAGAGGCACTGCAAGAATGTACAGCCAGCGGAAGGCAATCTCATCATACTCCTGGGTCTTCTTCTCCGTTTCGGTGAGCTTATGCTTGTCTTCAAACACCACAATCCAAGGCAGGAAGGAGAAAAATGATCCAGGCGGCGGCGGGCGCAGACGGACGTCGACCGACTTGGTGATTTTCCACGCTTCGAGAAGGATCCCGAAGCCCTGACTGGCAAGGATCATCCAAGAAGTGTTTTCACTGTTGTCCATGAGATAAAGGAAGATCACAGCCTGCATAAAAACGTTGGCCAGGATGGTGCGCACAGAGGTGCCGACAACATCCTTCTTCTTGCGCCAATGGGACTGTTGGTAAGAGATATATCGTTAGTTCCATGCGATCCGACCACAGAATAGGGAAAGGTCTCAAAAAGGAGAAAAGACAAACGTACGATATCATTCTTGAAAGCCAGCGTCTCAAAGATCATGTGCAGAATAGTGACAACACCGGTCGTGCCCAGGAGGTAGATGTTCGTGTTCAGAAGAACCTCCTTGACCATCTCAAACTCGGTCCCATCACCGCCACCGGGCGTCGACTGGCCGTAAGCCGCCTGTCGAGAAGTCTGTTTGGCGCTGTCATCGACACTCGTCATCATGCTGAATTTCCAATTCTGCAGATTGTTCAGAGTAATCCGCAACGGCACGGTCTCCACGGTCGAGTTAAGCTCCGTCATCTGGCTCTTGAGTTGCCAAAAGGTGTTCAGGAAGACAATCGGATAGTACCAGGCATTCTGGCCAGAGAGGTCTCGGGCGCCGCTCGACTCCAGGCGCACATGCTGACGAACCGCAGGATGGATTTTACGGTATTTCTGAGTTCCAGAGTCCGGGATTATGGAGACAGTAAAGTTCGGGTGGTAGAAAGACGAGATCGAGACGTCAGGTGTATGGTCTTCTTCCTCGCCTTCTTCCTCATCCCCCGCCAGGAGGTTCTTGAGTTTCTTGGCCTTCTTCTTGGGCAGGTACTGGTTCAAGGGACGGAAGAAATGAGTCGCGCTATCGGTGCTGTAATCCTTCGCCGCGGGGTCCAACTGGTGCCCTGTGAGTCCGACAAAGAAGTGAGCCCAGAGCGTGCCATTCTGCTGCACTTCCTTGGGAATCTGGATGGTCGTGTCGATCTCCCTGGTGTCACTATAGTTGCCAACGGTGAAGTTCTTCTCCTGAAGAACCAAGGCAGTCGATGGAAGTTTGCTCAAGGTAGGAAGCACAACGGACGGCGACACATAGATATTGACATCCACCGCGCTGTCGGCGGGCCATATCGGGGTAACAATATCGGGGATCGGACTGTAGTCCGTGATCTCACTGCGAGCTGGACGGTCGGCAAAATCGGGAATGCCACCAGCCTTCCCACCAGAACCTTCACTTTGTCCCTTACCACCGAAAAGTTGACTGATGACGAATTGCACGAAAATGAAGATCGCTAGGCCCTGAAGGGCACCCTTGAAGCCGGACTAGATCATCAAAACAAAGCTGTCAGCAAGGCGGAACTTAGAGAATAGGAGACATACGCACGCTTTGCTCCGGCTCATTCCTGCGCTGTCTCTGCTCCGGCATCGTGCGCTGGAGTAGGAAGAGAAAGGAAAGAAAGTTGATGAGGGAGAAAAGAGGCCACGGAGGAGAAAATCCAGAGCGAGGAAGCGGCGCGGCGGAAGTGCAGCAGCCCCAGGCAGTCCAGTCCGCATTGATACTGGCGGGTCCTTATCGCCCCGTGACATCTTGCTTCCGCACTTTATCTACAGCTTCTCCAGATTATCATCACTGTCATCTATTGTTTGATATCTGCTTCTCCTTACCCTCATTGATTATTGCTCTGGATTTAGATTGAAGATTCTACTGCGCGATGGAATCCTGAATGTATGAGGGACCCTGATCCAATGTCGGACCATCATTCCTCTCCCAATTATTCCCGCCCACTGTTCCCCGCACACAATGAACCACGAGTCTGGGTGATCACGGCCGGGGACTCACCCACGGGGATCTCGGTCGCACGCCAGGTCCTGGCGCATGGGGACTATGTGTATCTCGGATTAGCGCACTTTAGCCTCGAGCGGGATGAGTGTCACCGGGAAGGGTTCGAAGCTTTTCTAGCGGAGATTGAGAGTCACCGGGATGAGGGATGGCCGGACCGGACCAAGACGGCTCCTTTGGATATAAGGTGCGATTGTGCTCTGATCTTAGGGGTTTAATTGGCATAGACTAACGTATACTGCGCAGGATGATGGGAGAGTGCCAGGCCGTGGTTGCGGACGCCGTTGCAACCTTCGGGAGAATAGATATCCTTCTTTGCTGCACAAGTCAAGGTATGCATGGTAGAACACCACTTTATCGCGATCTTCAGCTAAATACAATACAGCTCTCATCGGAACGGTAGAAGAACTTGCGGCTTCTCAACAAACACTGAATCTGGTCCGGGACCAGTTCGAGACCAACTACTTCGGTCCTCTCAATATAATCAAGGCCACACTGCCCCATATGCGCGGGCTAAGATCAGGACATATAATGATTCTGTCCGGAATCAGTAAGGATCGCATTCAAGCAACCCGTATCGTATCTAACGCGGGAACAGCTGCCCATATCGGCACTCCCGGCCTGGGGATGTACTGCGCCGCAGGCTGGGCGCTGGAAGGATTCTGCGACGTACGAATATCCATTATCTGTGGAACCCAACTACATAGAATCATCTACTAACAAACCCATCCACAGAGCCTAGCTTACGAAATCGCCCCCTTCAACCTCAAACTCACCATCTTCCAATGCAGCATCGAAATCGGCATCCTGACCAACCTAGTCACCAGCGTCCCGCCCATGTCACACATATACTCGCCCTCCGCTACCCAAGCGCCCCTGTTCCGCGGCATCCTCAACCGCCTCGTTCCCCGGCTCCCAAACAACCAATACGGCACCGACAATGCCCGCAATCCAGACCATACATCCAGCGAAGATGGCCAAGATGGCCCGTTCTCGACTGACAAAGTCCTCTCGATGTATCCGCCGCTTAGCCCCGCGCATATGGAAGTCTTGGTTGCTGAGACTGTCTATGCGATCACCGCTATCGGGGGGCATGAGAATCCACCCTCGCGTCATATTGTTGGGCAGGAGGGCGTGGCGAGTGTGAAGGAGAAGTTGAAGACTGTTAGTGAGGAGTTGGAGGATTTTATACAGTCTAGTTTTGCGGTGGACTATTCTGTTGATGGGGATGGGAGCAGGCCGTCTAAGGAGGATAGTGTAGGAATGCGAGTTGATAATGCTTGATTTATGCTTTCTTGTGAAACGTAGCGCTAATGATATTTAATGGATGATTTGACGTGACGTAACTGACAACATAAAGCAAAGCAACCCCTCAAAAATTGCACAGTAGGAAGAGGTGATGGCTAATGCTATTCTCATCCTCCTTACTTCGGCGTTTGCGCATTGCAGCCACGACGCAGTGTACCGACTCAAGTTGGCTAGTTAGATAAAAGGCGACCTGATCAATGGTCCCTCAGTGGACAGCCGGCTAACAGCAACTGCCGAAAGAGCGGTGCTCAAAAAACCCCGAATATCACTGCGTCTTCAGGAACCAAGCCTGTCTGACTTCCCAGAGACTTCCCATATCCTGATTATTTCGGTAAGAACGGAACTCTTTCCACGCATTCCCGTTTGGAACCTCCTTGATACGACCGTCCAATTCTATGATCTTCGCGCCCAGCGCAGTAAGCCCTTGAATATCGGTGACTATGATCTCGTCGGTTCCCTTCGGTGGGCCCTCCGGCCTGGTTTTAGATGAAGGTTGGGAAGAAGCTTTCTCATCGGTGGTTTCGGGCTCCTGCTGCTCCGTGGAGTTGGCGATACCGTGAGTATCTCCATCTGGTGGTGGGGTTGGAATAGATTCGTCGGCCATCGCTGGTGGATCACTGGGGGCGATATCTTCAGGTTTTGGGACGGCTTCGGTTTTCGGGGGGTTCTTTGGGGGCCGTCCGCGACCCCTCTTCGCAGGTTGGACTTCGGCGTCTGATTTGCGTTTTTGAGATGTTCCAGGATCTGGAGATTCGTCTGTAACTATCGGTACTTCTCCACCTGTCTCCATGGAGTCACTCTGTTGAGATGTAGGCTCGGGGGCTGATTGATTCGACGGGCCATCCGCCTCCTTTGAAACAAGCGGCGACGACTGAACCGAGGAGAGAAACGTGCGTTGGCCAGGAGGCATCAAAAACGACAAGCGTGAGCCGTCAATGGCAACAATCTATGAGAGTCAATACGACGCCCGAAGACAAACCTCAACGGAAAAAGTAACACAAACCTTCACTTCTTTCTCCACTAGGACCCTATTGCGACCCCTGGAAAAAGAGCGCGAGTAGCGCCAAACATCGCCTTCATGAATGACCCCATGCTCAATCAGTGTCGTCAATTTAACCTGCGAGCTCTGCCCCGCAGCAATAGTCCTGTCCATCCTCTGCTTCTGGCCCCAGAACTGCTCAAACTCCTCTTCCTTGAACTTGTCGAACTTCCCCGCTGCCCTCTCTGCCACAGCCGCCTCGGCCTGTCGGACCCAAACCGGGTCGTAGCGACCATCTTCCAGATCGGACTGGAATTGGCGGATGCCGTCGCGCCACTCGTTCGAGTATCGCAGGAACGATTCAGGTAGCGGTGGGATTTTTGCGTCGGGGTCGTCTGCGGACGGGTAGCGATTCGGGTGCGTATCTTCAGGAAGCAGATTCAAGATTTCTTCCTTCTCGGCTTCGTCGAGGCAGTTCCAGGCATCGGGTTTCGCGAGTAGTTTCTTTACTTGCATCAGCTTCTTGTCGTCCCGTCCCGCATTTATGCGGCTAGAACACAACTTGCACTGACGACTATGTCAATATTAACCAGCGGGGACTGAGCACTCGTCATCAAATGCTGCTCCGCCCATCTATCCTTCACGGCCCTTCGGGGGTTCCGCTTCGGTTTCTGCTTTGTCGACGGCATAGCGGAGCCCGAGTCGGCTGTCTTATTCGGTGCCGCTGCATTAGATCCAGATCGACCCTTCCTGAAAATCATTCATTGTTAGACTGTAGGTGGCTGATTGGAACTATAGCAGACTATAACAGGGTGTTGAGGAACAGCGACATTGATGCTGTTTTATCACCAGAACTTACAGAGAGGGAAAGAGCAAGAGAGAGGATGTTAATCATTACGTACCTGCTCCTCGTAGTGCCACTTCTGACCGCCTTGACCTTGCGGGCCATTGATCCCCCAGAGCTGCCAAGGAGGTAAACCGGCGTAATACTAGAATCAGGACAACAAAACAGACAGAACAGGTCACAGCTTGCTTATCGCTTGGAAAGCTGAAGATTATCTCCACTTGTGCTGTAACACTTCGACACGATGGTTCGATCCACTCAGATCGCCCGGCTTGATGGTATGTTGTAATGCGGAGGTGTTGTGCTGGGGATGGTTGACTGACGTTCCAGGCCTGATGTTGGCTGCGTCTGTCGATGACGAACAGGTGAGTGAGGGAGCTGTGAAGGCTAGCTAGCTTGTTACACCTGCATGGTGAATTCCCCACAGGCCAGTCACCGTTGACAAGGTGTTTTTGATTATGTAGGCCGAGACCGAACTGGCCGAGATCAAGTCGCAGGTCAAAATGGTCTTTCGTCGCCTGAGTCGCAATTCCGCGCCGCAGGTCAGTATTGAGTCTGGGCAGTATAATTTACAGTAAGTTGACAGGTCGCATGATGTGATCGCATTGTGGGAGAGAGAGAGTGTGTGGCTTATTGATAATTGTTTAGCTACTTGATCCAGGATGATATTTGCTTTCTTTGTATATGCGACCGGTCCTACCCTCGCAAACTGGCCTTTACCTATCTGGCGGATCTCGCGACGGAATTCACCACCACTTACTCCGCTGCGCAATACCATTCCCCGACCCTGCGACCGTATGCGTTTGTCGAGTTTGATACCTTTATTCAACGCACCAAGAAGCTATACCAGGATGGCCGTGCCACGCAGAACCTCGACAAGCTGAACGATGAGCTGCGGGATGTGACCAAGGTTATGACCAAGAATATCGAGGATCTCCTGTACCGTGGTGATAGCTTGGAGCGCATGGGCGAGCTATCAGGGCGCCTGCGCGAGGATAGCAAAAAGTATAGGAAAGCGGCGGTCCGCATCAACTGGGAGTTGTTGTTGAAGCAGGTGAGTTTCAATCGCCCACGGCTATCCTGCCTAGAATGCTGTTCTGACTTGTTGTAGTATGGGCCATTTGCGGGCGTTGGGTTCTTTATTATTCTTTTCCTCTGGTTGCGTTTCTTCTAGCCACGTCGCAGGTGGTCATGTCTTTCGTGGGTATCCGGTCATAGGCACACCCGTGTACATACATAATTTTTAAAGGGCGGCTGCAGGACACTGCCCTCTAGTCAATCACCCAAGCCGTTAGGATCGTTTAGATGAATGACGAGCAGGCTTGTCTGACAATGGAAGCTTTTCTTTGGCGAAGGCAGATGATGTTCCGTAGAGCTAGGTAAACCACGCATACACTGCGCCAAAGGGACAGGAAGAGGGGCACGCTATATCTCATCTTCCTCTTCGTCGAAATCGTCTTCCTCTCCCATGTCGTATAAGATGCGGCCCCCTTCGCCGGGGCCATCGCCCTGCTGGGCATCAAAGTATGGCAGGACCACACCTTCTCTGTCCTTTCGTTGCCGGTCGGTCAGACCTAGTTCAAAAGTGGACTGCGGTTCCTCCTCGCCTTCCTGGGCGCTTGGATCCTGTGGAGGTCGATACAGCGGATGATCGTCGAGCAAGGTGACAATCTCTTTGAGCTGGTTGGGCGGGTAGCTCGAAGCGGGGGGTAGGATGTACCATTCCAGAACGCCACGTCCACTTCTCCGGCGGTGTTCCATCTCCAGGACGATCCCTTGCGTGGACTCGTTGCCGATCGGCTTATCCAGTCGGCCCAAGAGGACACCATCTTGCTCCTCGGCGAGCCCGAAAACAGGCGCTGCCAGACTGCGATCGCGAGCGGCTTTTTGGGCCAATATATGGGAGAAAGAGTGTAGCGTGATTACGGTTGTCGCTAGGAAGCTCAAGGTGGACAGTGGCGAGGGTTGGTACGGTGACTGGGTCGGAGGGTTTGGGACATCGTTATGGAAGTTCACGACGAGTGATGTATCACCCTTGGGCGCAGAGGGGCTCGACGGTATCAAAAAGGAGCTTAGGAAAGTAGGGAGGTGGAAGTGCGCATTGGCTCGCTGGGCGCGGAGAAGAGGATTGATCGAGTCGATCAAGATGAGGCGCCCTACATAGTGTGGGTCAATAAAGAAAGGACTCGGACATTGGATGGCATATGGGGGGGGGTCTGCCTACGGGTAGGTGTCTTCTGCTGAGCCGCAGCAACTTCTTTCGCGATCTCCGAGGGGTTCTTTCTCCGGGCAAAGATGAATGAATCAACTCCATCTAATGGTTTGAGGGTCTCGAATGCGATGAGTGTAACATGGACTTTGGAGATCTGTCATGCGATCGAGGTTAGTCCGTATTTGTCGCCAATAACCCCACACTTCATGGATATTCAGCATGCGACAAACGAGAAGGAGATACTGACCTTTGCGCGTCTGATATACTCCTTGATCAATGGAGTCGCAGGCTGTTCCAAGGAATCTATGAGTAAGGTGAGGGGTGACGCGGTATCACGGTGGCCGAGAAGCTTGGAAATCAACAGCAAATTGTGGGTTTGCCGATGAGATAAGCTGGTTGGGGCCATCTCTCTATTCAGGGAACTACAGTAGTCCCAAGAGAATCTAATTCGGTATCCTATCAATAGTTGGACGGGGTGACGAGTGCGGGGCTGTCTGATGCATGAATTTGGAGGGGTCGAAGCACTGGACGTAAAAGAATTCCAGCGAACGATCGATCTTTTCCCTTTGCGGATCTTTCTTCGCGGCTCGGCGGATCGGCCCGTCCATGGTTTGGGCGTCTGCATCGGAATTCAACACCTTGGTTTATACCGAGATACGGAGGGTCAGGGTTGGGAAGGGTCCGATGTGAAGTTATTCAATCGGGACATTGTCTTGATTGACGAGTATGGCTATAGGGTAGTCAGCGAAACTAATCCATGGTCAATGTGCGGTTATAGGTAAGTTACCCTTTGGTTAAGTAGGGTATAAAATTCTTCAGTACCTTCTCCTGCCTCCTCTATGGTTAGTCGTGGGTAATTATGCTATTAGGACCCGTATGGACTATCAAGTTGCAATGAGGTGGAGATAGTCGCAGTACAAATTCTAGGCGGTTAACGGTGTGGAAACATCCTTTTGTTTTCTCCATTGTTTTGCAACGTAGCACAGAAAGGACACTGGAAGCACTAGTCCATTTTGTATTGTTTCAAGTTTACAAGATATATCAGAAGTATAGAGGGTCCAATGCGCGTGAAGTGTATGCGACTTTTGCGGGCGATGGTATCAGTACCAGATATTGATATTATCACATACCTAGTAGTCTTCATAGAACTCGGAAAAAGCGCCTAGAAAATGTATCATATATTATACACATTGAATGAATATATATAAAATGAAAATAAGAAAAAAGGAGAAAGTAGAAAAGAAAAGAGATGCTAAGAATAGCCTCCATCAACACTAACAGCGACTAGTCAACGGTTGAGTTCCCTGTTTGTTGCGGCACCAAGGCCAGAACCGCACAGTGGGTGGCTCTCGGCGCCCGTAATAACTTCCTCCGGACTCTCTTCCTCTGCTTCCACTGGCGCAACAACCTTTCAACTCCACGCAGATCATACCACAATATCTTGATACCCCCTGTTTATTTTCAGTCCTATAATGAATAATCGCCAAACCTAGTTGTCCACCCGCATACTCCCCCCTTTTGTTTTGGAATTCCGACACGACTCCGATCGACAGTCAAAATTTCACAATCCTCCCCCGTCGGTCGCGTCCTGAACACACCACCCCCAGAACGTTACGACTGTCTGAACATCACTATCAGACATGGCTGAACCTCCAGCGAAACGTGCTCGACGGGTCGATAGCTCGACAATGTGGGATATGAATGACCGGAAAACGCGCTCCCCAGAACCGGAACTCGGAGTGACCAGAAGTCCTCGGCGGGACCGGGATGATGTCCGTCGCGACGATCGGCGATATCGCTCGCGTTCCAGAGATCGCAGAGACAAACGGCGGGATCGTTCCAGGTCCAGAGACCGCCGCGGCCATGACCGCGACCGGGGGAATAGAGACAGGGACGGCAGGGGAATGAGGGACAGAGAGAGGAGCCCTAGTCGGGAAAGATACCATGAGAGGCGAGGTACGTGTGCTTTGTGTTTTTACGGGACTGTATCATACATTGAACTAACTGGTCGGTAGGGAACCCTCCGCCCAAAGCAGGGAGATACCGCGATCGTTCCCGATCGCCAATCCGCAACGGGAACAGAGATGCATCGAGGACACCGCCGCCGAGAGGCCCACGAGGGGACCGTCGAGGGGATCGCAGGGATAATCGGACACAGAAACAAGAGGTGTTAGACTCGAAGCCCGACATTCGATCGAGGGATTCGATGGATATGGATGTCGATGATACTGGGGAAGACGACATCGATGCGATGATGCGCCGCAGCATGGGTTTTACGAGATTCCGGACCACCAAGAACACCAAAGTTCCTGGGAATGATGTCTACGGAGTGCGGAAGGAGAAGAAGACGGAGTACAGACAGTACATGAACCGTGTCGGAGGTTTCAACCGGCCGCTCAGTCCGTCACGGCAGTAGAACAATTGACTTCTTCTCCTTCTTCTCTCCCTCCTTCCCGTCCTTCTTCTTGACAATTTCTTGCCATGTCACTTGCGTTTTATACTTCTGTGTGCACTTTTGCTGGCCTAGCACTGTGGCGATGTGTTTATTTTCTCTTCTTTTTCTTTTGTACTTTTGAATGCATGGTCGGAGTAGGATTTGGCGAACCGTTTCTGTGCTCCAACTTTCAACGGGTCTTGCAGATATGAGGCCACACTTGAGTTATCTGGGAATCTATCGTGAATTGCCTGTTGTTTATGTTATGTGATGTGGTATCTATGCTTAGGCAATCAATATACAGGCTTGGCACATGACTTTCAAATGACGTATGCTTCATAGCGCCCCTCGTCCATCTTCCAACACAACACCTGTTCCATCTTCCTATGCCAATAGCTTCTCTACGAACTTTAGGATCCCGGCTCGCGCTGTACCGCACAATGTCGACTAGTAACGAGCGCCGCGAAATCGTGATCATCGGTGTGTGCTCCCGTCGGACCCTCTACCCCGCTCACCAACCGTCCTAACATCTCTGCCCCAGGTGGCGGTATCATCGGCTGCTGCTCAGCGTATTACCTGACCAGACACCCGTCTTTCGACCCCTCTCGCCACTCCGTGACTCTCCTCGAAGCGAGCGAGATCGCAGGCGGGGCGAGCGGCAAGGCGGGCGGTCTGCTGGCACAATGGGCGTACCCCAGTAGCATTGTGCCATTGAGCTACAAATTGCACACCGAACTCGCGCAAGAACACAATGGACAAGATCGGTGGGGCTACAGGGAGGTGAACTGCGGCCAGCTAGTGGCACGGGGGCGGCCGCTCAGTCAACAGAACAAGAAGGGCGGGGAAGAGCACAAGTCCCTCGAAAAGCGAAGCGCGGCGGCATTGGGCAAACTGAAATCTGCCAAAGTCCCTGCTGACTTGGACTGGATTGAGCCTGAGCTGTTAAGAGGCTACGAGAGTATGAGTGGTCCCGGGGAGACCGCCCAGGTCCATCCTTATCTCTTTACGACGTCGATGGCGAAATTGGCTGAGGAGAAGGGTGCGAAGATCACGCTCGGGTCGGTTACAAATATCTCTTACGACGGAGATGCCGTCCAGTCGGTCACGTACTCAGACAAGCAGTCGGGCGAGTCGCAAACCATCCCGGCGACAGATGTTGTTATCTCAGCTGGGCCGTGGACTAGGTCCGTCATGCCGGAAGCTCCCATCACGGCGATGCGCGCGCACAGTGTCGTCATCCGACCTACGCGACCTGTCAGCGCGTACACGCTTTTCACTAACATTGAAATCCCCGCCAATTTCGACCCGTCGAAGCCCTCGCGTCCGACGGTCGCTGCGCCGGAGATCTACGCGCGCCCTGACGCTACGGTCTATGCCTGTGGTGACGGTGATCAGACCGTCCCGCTCCCGGCTACCTCAGCCGATGTCGAGGTAGACCTTGAGAGATGTCAGGATATCGTCAACGAGGTTGGGAGTGTGTCTGACGAGCTGCGCGATGGAGAGATTTGCGCGCGCCAGGCTTGCTACCTGCCCAATATCCGAGGAGGCCCGTTGATCGGTCACGCTGGAGCCAAGGGCTTGTACCTTGCTGCTGGACACACATGCTGGGGCATCCAGAATGCCCCTGGCACTGGAAAGGTGATCAGCGAGTTTGTATTTGATGGGGCCGCGAAGAGTGCAAAGATTGGCGCTCTTGATCCGCGGAAATTCATATAGAACCAAGGATACGTCGATAATACACAATCTACTTACTTTAGGATGCTTCCATGCATCCTACTTTGTTCCTTAATGATAGCTTGTAGATTCAAGACAAACGAAGCGCAAGTTGATCTATGACGCAAGCCAGTAGAGACAGTTATGTAAGTATGGTTCCTGACTGGAGCTTGGACCACGTAATTGCGGAGGTAAATACGCTCCTCCGCTCAAGCCAGATCAACCCCAACAATCTGCGGACCTACCGAGAGAAGCTTAATGACCACCCCTCAAACCGTGAGATTAGTGTCAATATCTCTGATGCGTTCTCGTTGAGAAAATGCATCGTCTCAATATATACGCCCTCTGCGCATTGGCGTTCCATTCCCTCGCCGTTTTCGCCAGCCAGGCCTCGGAACACGATACATCGGTCCTGGCGAAAGAAGCCGCTAGGGCGAACAACCAGTCGCTGCTATGGGGTCCCTACAAGCCGAATCTGTATTTTGGGGTGCGGCCTCGGATTGCGAATAGTTTGTTTGCCGGGTTGATGTGGGCAAACGTGGATGATTATGGCACGGCGCAACAGAGTGCGTATAGGAGATACCTACTGTCCTGGTTCTCATTTGGCATTGTTCTGTGCTAACCCAGCTTTCCTTTGTGAAGACTTTAGACACACCTGCGAACAGAACGAAGGCATGGCCGGATACGGCTGGGACGAGTACGACATCCGCAAAGGCGGCCGGCAGACGATCCACGATGCGGGCAACTCGGTGGATATGACGATTGACTTTGTCAAGGTCCCTGGCGGACAGCATGGAGGCAGCTGGGCTGCTCGTGTCAAGGGCGTGCCTCGCGACGATGCGCCCCCGGACCAGTCTACCTCTGTTATCTTCTATGCTGCGTTGGAGGGGCTGGGTGACCTGGGGGTGGAAACCGAGGTGGACCCTCGTGGCTTTGAGGATAATGTCAAGCTCGCGGGCTCGACGTTGGACCTTGGTGACTTTGCGATTGATGTTACTGCGGGACCTGCGAGCAATGAGCACCCTGAGCATACGCATCCGACTTGGGAGGATAAGCCGTTGGACCGGACTTTCGTGTCTAGTGCCACTATGCCGCCGGAGCATCTTTGGCAGACGAAGGGTGAGTTGCTATTGCTCTGCTCAATGAGATTTGGTGGAATAGATGCTGATATTTGTCGAAAAGTGATTATGTTTGCTCAGATGAAAAACGAGATCAACCAGTGCATCGAAAAATACGGAGCAGACGATCCTCCCCCGGCTCCTCAGGTCTTCACCATTCCTCACCACCCTGGAGACGGAAACATTCATCTTGTACAGAAGGTTTTCAAAGGCGCGTTCGAGGTAAGCTTCTTTGACTGACGTGCTGAATGACAGCTGACTGGCCAGTTTGATATCCTGTTCTCCTCCGGATCTGCCCCCAAACCGCTGACATGTAAGACTTCGTCCAATGGCTATGACGAAGAACGATTGTTCGTTTGTACTGACTGTTCTAGCCGAGTCTGTCACCGCTGAGATCGAAAGCGCCTCGCTCTCGTTCAGCGACCGTTTTGAAAAGGTCTTTTCGCCGCAGTCGCCATTCGATTCTGCGGAATACTCGCAGTTTTCCAAGTCCATGCTGTCCAACCTTGTTGGCGGCATTGGGTTCTTCCACGGGACCGATGTTGTTGACCGTTCCGCAGCACCGGAGTATGACGAGGAGAACGAAGGTTTCTGGGAGGAAACGGAGGAGGCCAGGGCTCGAGCTCGGCCTATCTTTGAGGGACCTAAGGATCTCTTCACGAGCGTTCCCTCTCGCCCGTTCTTTCCAAGAGGGTTCCTTTGGGATGAAGGGTTCCATTTGATTCCAGTGGTGGATTACGATACAAGCCTTGCGTATGATTTACTCTCCGTCCCCAGCATCAAACTCTTGTCTTCATTAGCTGACATGAACAAGGCTCGAGATCGTCAAGAGCTGGATCAACTTGATGGATGAAGATGGCTGGATTGCTCGCGAGCAGATCCTAGGCGCCGAAGCCCGCAGCAAAGTTCCCCCTGAGTTTACGGTCCAGTACCCTCACTACGCCAACCCCCCGACCCTGTTTATCATCCTCGAGGCTTTCATCGACAAGTTGGATGCCAAGAAAAACATCTCAACGGAAGAACTTGGCGGAGATGTTCTGGATAGTCTCCGCTCTGGTTATGTGCAAGAAAAGGAGCTGGGCGAGGCTTACATCCGTTCGATCTACCCACTTCTGAAGCGACACTACTTCTGGTATAGAAAGACACAGTACGGCGACGTCAAGTCCTACGACCGCGAAGCATTCTCCACCAGAGAAGCATACCGCTGGCGGGGCCGTTCAATCCAGCACATCCTGACATCCGGCATCGACGACTATCCTCGCGCTCAGCCACCGCACCCTGGCGAGCTGCACGTGGATCTCATCAGCTGGATGGGAATGATGACCCGCGCCCTGCGCCGTATCGCCGAGGCCGTTGGGGAAACGGAAGATGTCGAGGAGTTCAAGGTTTACGAAACGGCCATCGAGCGGAACATCGATGACCTCCACTGGGATGACGAAGCGCAGACGTACTGCGATGCTACCATCGATGAGTTCGAGGAAAGCGTGCACGTCTGCCACAAGGGGTACATTTCCCTTATGCCCTTCCTGACGGGCATGCTTGGTCCCGAGAGCCCCAGGCTCAAGGCCATCCTGGATCTGATCGCCGACCCGGAGGAGCTCTGGAGCGATTATGGGATCCGCAGTCTTAGCCAGAAGGATGAGTTTTATGGTACAGCGGAGAATTACTGGAGGAGCCCTATTTGGGTTAACATCAACTACCTTGTGCTGAAGAGTCTTTACGTGAGTTAAACTCCCTACACATGACTTGTCAATGACTAACCGTTCAATCTTTAGGATCTCGCACTTCAGGAGGGACCTCATCAGGAGCAAGCCCGCGAGATGTACTCCAGCCTCCGGAGAAACCTGGTGGAGAACGTGTTTGAGAATTGGAAAGAGACCGGGTTCGCGTGGGAGCAGTACAACCCCGACACAGGCAAAGGGCAGCGAACCCAGCACTTCACTGGTTGGACTAGCATGGTGGTGAAGATGATGTCGATGCCCGATCTTCCCGCCGGTGGGAACAAGGGCCATGACGAGCTGTAGGAATACGCAGATATAGCTTATGTAGGACAAAGTACTAGTAGTGAGTCAAAGAATGCGACAGTTTGTACACTATTGTTATCCAATCCCACCAACGCCCGACTCCAGCATGACCGAATGCACAAGTAACGTTGACTTAATGTCGTCGAGAGCGGCTTGAGCCCCTTTCCCTTTCCCTGCGAGGCCGGTCCTCTCTGCGTCGGACGTGTTCTTCACCATGTCGTCTGTCCCTGCTACCAGTCCGTGAATGAGATCGCCGTCGCCGGCGTTCGTGATCGCGGGAACGCGACCTGTGACGATGGCTCCGATGATGACGGTCCCGATCATCACGATGCCTGCGGTGTCTGCGCTCTCGCTCCCTATCTCTATCATCAGGATAGTCCCGCCTCCGGTCCCGTCCAGGACTCCGACTCCGACTCCGTTCACTCCTCCGCCGTCTTCTCTCCCTCGGCTCCTTATCAAACCCAACACCCTCAAGCCTATCCCCATCATCGAACCTCGCCCCAGACGTAGCCTTGCCCCCATACGAACCATACCCAATACCCTTCGCCCCATCCTCCTCATCACGGTCCTCCTCAGCAGCCGTATCCCGAACCGCTCGCGAAACATCCTTCTCGCCCAACGGTATCATATTGGCGTTCGACCCCCCCTCTCCCCCCTTCGACGGAACGGGAAGACCCAACGCGACCGCCATAGCCTCTTCCTCGGCGTCCTTAACACGTTGTCTCTCATCGCGCTCTTTCTGCGCCCGCTCCTCCTCGTTGTCGTCTCCCCGCGCATACCAGTTCAGATCTCGTCCGTGTTGCCACCGGCCGACGGGCGCCATCACCGAGTGGCCGAGGTAGTTCTCGCGGTGCGAGGAGTCTTTGACGTCTGACCATTTGAAGTCGCCGCGACCGCCACTGATAAAGGCATTTGGGTTAGTAGCTTGTTTTGTGAGATGGGAGAGGGGCAGGGAAGGGAGCTTACCGGCTGCCTTCTTTCCGAACACCTGCGACAAGGTCCATGTTGACAAGATATCCAAAATAAATCCCCAAGGTCGTGGTAGATAAGGAGGCCGTGGAGTTAAGACAGGTTATTTGGATTGGACGGAGGAGAGTTGCGGCGAGAGCTCCGCATGTGGCACGTGCGCCGTCCAAGGCGGCCAATGCCGTGAGAAGGTGGACGAACTGACTTCATCGTCCGCCATAACAGAAAACGCCGCACATTTGAAAAGATAACTTCCCGGATTGATTTACTCGCGGCTGCTGGAAAGCTACTACAGGCGGCTCAGTTCTCCGGTCTTTGTCTCCTCCGCGTTGAGGCTTGACAATGATGAGTACTATTATACTGTCAAATCTGCTGTTCAGTGATAGGGCCTTGTCGACTGGTGTGATGTCATTTGCGTCTTTATATATGCGCCCTTCGTGATCCTGCTATATTAGAATTGATTTATACGCTGTTTGGTGGCCGTGGCGGATTGATTCACGCCGCTGGATTGCCTGATACTTTGGGTTGCGGGCTTTGGGCTTGGCTTGCTCCAGAGCGCGCCCCTCCGCACCATACCAAAGTCTGGATTCCTGGGTGATAACTTTTGAGGATGGCCTCCAATAACAACCCCCAGCGAAGGCTGTCCGGGGGAATGGCTCGCTCAAGAGAAGGGCTACACATGAGACCGTTGAATGTAGAAAAGGGGCAGCAAAGAGTGTGTGGTGCTATTTCTTCCATTTGGACATGTGACAACTAACAGTGTCTTCTAGTTCTCGTATGATCTCCTATTTGCATGAGACAATCAACAGAGCTGAACGATGTCACAGAGCACACGATACATTTCCTCCTCAGACAGCAACATGGCGCAATAATTTGGTGAGTTGCGTGTCCATGGGTTTGAGGTGCGCGCTCCGGCTAATGATCTGAAGATTGCACTCTCGCAACGTCGTAATTTACTGTTTACTGCGTACAGCCAGCGGATCTATGTCTGGGAGCCGGCGGGGTCATCGCAGACTCTAGGCTCTAAACCTAGAATGATCATTGCCCCCGTTATGAAAGAACCCAATAGCGCTGGCTATATTTCGCCAGTAACTCCGCACGCAATCAACAGTATCCTCGTCGATGATCTGGGTCGTGAGGAGGTATTACTGCTGGCGACTGATTCTGGAAATGTCTGCGGGTATCGTGTCGAAGCTATATATTCGGCTCTGGCGCGAGCCACAGAGGGTAACGAAGAGTGCCCCCTGGACGGATCTCAGGTCGATCCGTTTTTCGTCGAGTACGTCGAAGCCAGTGCCTGGGGCCTGGCCATCCACAAGTTTGCTCGATTGATTGCTGTGACCGCGAACACGGGTCTGGTGACCGTGTTCGCTTTTGCCCTGGTCAACCCGGCTTCTGGACACAGCCATGATTCGACGGTTCATCCTGAGGAAGAGGATGACTTCACTGACTACGGCCAGACCTGGCTAGACATCAAAACCAGTGAGCATTTCAAGCAGTTGCGGAATCTCATGCCGGACAAACACCGGAAGCGAAACATCAGATTGACGTATACCGGCCATTTTTCGAACATCCCCTCTGTATCTTTTTTTAACTGCGACCTGGATCCCAACGGCACGTGGATGGTTAGTACGGATATTGACAACAAACTCCTTGTCTGGAAAGTATGGGAGAGTCTCGGTCCGTTCAACGTGTACCATTTCAACGATATCAGCTTCAAATCGTTCCCGGAAACCCTGGGCAATGAGTAAGATCTTCTTCGTCCCTCGCTGACTTTCGTTGTCACTAACCGACCCAGCATTGAACGTGGTTGGACCGTCTTGGCTCTGGATCCGCGGACTTTTCATTTACTCAAATCCACCGAAGAAGCGTGTGGAGGACTTCCTCAACGTCGTTTGAAAGACGGACAGTCGATGCTCGACCTCACGAAGCTGAGCTCCCGCATACCTAATGCCTCGCACATATACAACTACTTCCCTCCTGTTGCCAAGCCCGAACCGGAACAGCCGGTCTTACCTGACATACTTGGAGCAGATTGCTGCATCACCAGGGACAGCCGCTCAGCAGGGCCTATCCGGCACGGAAGAGGGAAGCATGACAGTCTGGATTCTGGCAGATCGCACCCTTATCATGCAGGCAGCACGACGCCTTCGGACCGAGCAGAAATAACCCGACCTCCAACCTCTGCCAGCGGCCTGCGTCCGTCTGACTCCGCGGACGCATTCAGTCATCGGGCCGTTGACGGGTCTATTCGCGAAGATACCGCGAGCCATGAGGATACTTCCGACGAGGACATGGTCACTGAGGTACCAGCAATTCAAGAAAACACCGATGCGATCTTCCAGGCACTGGACGAAAATGACGATGACACAAATGAGAACCCCCTCTTTCCCAGAAATGGACCATTGACAACGCCAGAATTCCTCCGGTTCGCACTCTCAGAAGCTCTCGGGGGCGATATCCACGGCGCGGAAGAGTACTTTGACGACTACTCGGCCATCGACGAGGACACCTACGACGACGACGATGACGACGACCGGGAAATGGACGAAGCGGACGACGATACCTCGGAGAGTGGCGACGCATCCACATCGGGTGCGGCCGCGTACCAGGTCTTTGATCGTATGTCCCGTAGGGCCTTCCCCGATGATCCTGGACTGTATGGGCAAGCGGAGACGGCGCTAATAGGTCTTCTTCCCCCGGCTCCAGCTCCCCTGACGTCGAACTTCCCCATCCTCCACTTCTCCCAGACGGACATCCGCCTCATCCCCCACCCCTTTGCCTCCCATGCCAGCGTCGTCTGCGGCGCGCCCCTCCGCCAGCCCTTCACACACCCCATCGTCTCCATCCGCGCCTGCGACCGCTTCAACATGGTCAAGTACATCCCCGAGCACGGCATCGTCGTCGCCGCGTCGCAGAAAGGCCGCGCCGCCGTCATCGCCCTCACCGAGTCCGAGTCCACAGGCCTCTCCTTCCGCGTCGACTGGATCGTCCCCTTTGAGAGCCAGGAAAAGTACGGCGACCGGCCCCTCATCCCCCTCCTCGGCATGACCGTCAGCCCCATCCAAGGCTTCGAGATGCCCCCAGACGTGCCTTACATCCCTCGCGGCGTGGACGCCAGCGATCTCTCCTTCCGCTACCGGTGTCCTCCCACCGACGACGCAGACACACCACCCTCCCACCCACCATCCCAAATCACCCAACCACACTTCTCCTCTACCCCTCAAGCATCCAAATCAACATCAACATCCACCCTCCACAGCAGAGACACCCACAATGACACCGCCCAAAAAAGAGAATACCCCCTCTCCCTCCCAGAATGCCACGCCCAAGCAACAAACGCCTACCAACCCGAAGAGCCCTGGCGCGGATGGAACCCCTCGCGTCGGTACCGGGTGCTTCTCATGTACGCAGACCACACGGTCATGAGCTACGAGTTCTGGTACAACTGGAACACGGCGGGCGGGGACGGGCACGCAAGCGCTGCAAACGAGGAAGAGGAAGATCAGTTTCTTGTTGTTTAGTAGCAGTAGCCTTTCTGCCTCTTCTTTCTATCTTCTGATGTGTTTTTTTTGGAGATGTACTGGATGGGGATGAGGAGGCTGGTCATTACCTACTGAGCAAAGCGCCTGCATATTGATTGATTGGGCTTTCGGGATGTTGTTTGGATTTGAGTTGAGTTTAGCGGGATCCTTTTTGAGTTGTTTGTTTATTTGTCTATTTATTTATATACTTCTTTTTGCATGCATACATATTCAGTATACCATCAAGTATGAAACCGATAAAGCTTGGTTCTTCAAGCAGTGATGCTTGTATGTACTATCAACCGCAGATATGGACTATTGGCGTGTATAGAAAATCATGTCATATATTGTAAATCCAAATATGTATTTGTATATCCCTTTATCACAGAACATTAAAGACAGGCCGCATGAAGAAATACACACGACCAGAACAAATCAAGCCCGCTGGATCCATGGTATACACGAACGGAGTAAAAGAAGTAAATAGAAAGAAAAGAAAAGAGGAAGAAGAAGAAAAAGAGAAAGACATCATAATCCATATCAAAGTGACAAAAGCAGGTCTGTACATAGCCAGCTGGCTAGACTGTAACGCTAAAATCCAAAGCAAAACAAAGCCTTCGTTGATACATATTGTAGGTAGTAGGTAGGCGTCGTCACGTCATCAATGCAAGGTTGAGTCGTACATACACAAGATTGTATGGGTGGTAAATCGTAAAAGTAATGAGATTAGGGTGAAGGAACGAGAAATGAAAACGACCCGGGAATATCCGGGGAGATAGAAGCAGTATACCTTCAAGGCAATGATTTTGGATTTCTTCATTATGACCAAACGGCGGTGTATGTGAAAACGATGTTGCGTAAACTTTTGTTTTTAAAAGTCATCGTCCAGTTCGTCACTATCCCATTCGTCTTCGCGGTCGTTTAGGACCAGATCTAGGAATCGTTGGAGACCCGCGCGTTGCCGGGCTTGAGCATCGTCGGCATCAGCGTCTGGTCGGCCCCGGACTTCGGCCATTGCCCGTGCCTGTGCTTGTCTCTCGGCGGCGGCTGCCCTCCCTGCAGCGTCGAGGCCATGGCCATTGCGACCCCGCTCACGGTTTCCGGGGCCGCCGCCTCCGGGGATGCGTGGAGGAGCGGGGGCTGGAGGCGGAGGTTGTCGACGAGGGATGTTGTCGGCCTCGTTCTGGAAATCCCACGCGGGGAGATCGTCGTCATCACTGTCGTCCTCAAGGAGCTCCGCGGGGATCTGGTGGAGGATCGCGGCGCCGTCAGGGTTGAGACCGTCGCCACCCTCCATGTCCCAGAGTCTGTTGTAGCAGCTGCTGTTGAGCTCGTTGAAGTGGCGGTAGGGGTTGTCCTCTAACAGCCAGCTCGAGCAGAGATAGCAGAAGTGGGTGTCGCATCTGAAGCATTTCATGTGGTTGCAGCCCATGCGTTTCTGACAGGGGGCATTGCATGTTGGGCAAGCGGAGGTGTACCGCCTCAGGTACTCCTCTGTCGCCTTCTCTTCCACCGACAGCTCGGCCTCGCGACGAGGAAAGCACCGAACCAATTCGCCATGCCATCCCTTTTTACATACGCAGCAAAAGGCATAGTTGCAGTCTTCGCAGATGGCGACCCGATCCGCCACGGGAGGTAGTTGGGCCTCATCGCCCAGGGGATCGAATACCGGTCCGCCTTCCTCTTCGTCGGACGCATCCAGGTCCTCTGACATAGGGTCCTCCGGTTTTGGGTGTTTCTTCGAACGCGCGGCCCCCTGGCACCACTGGCGGGGACAGTACACGGTGGACTTGTCCGCCTCCAACTTCTTCTTCCGCTTCAGAAAAACATAGCGCTGTACGATCTCCGGTGCGAGTGGTATCTGGAGGAGCTCGCCCGGTGTCAGAGTTTTCCCGTGCTTCTTCCGTCTGCTCGCCGCGCCTTTGACATTCTCCTTGTCGAGTTCCTTGGCGCAATCGGGGTCGAGGCACTTGACACAGTCCACATCTCCCTCAGTGATGCAGTTGTTGTAGAAGTCTTGCAGACACGGGACACAAAAGACGTGACCGCAGAGATGGCGATGACAAATGGTGCCCTTCTTTGGCTCCAAACAAACACCACACTCGAAGGTCTCTTGTTCAAACTTGTCTCGTTCGGTCCTGCTGTTGAAATCCAGCAATGCGACTCTCAGTTCGCGAGGAAGCCGCACTTCTCCGTCTGGGATATCGTCGATTCCAAACGCCGTCTCCGCCAGTTGCTGGAGATGATCGATATACGTGTAAACCACCAGACCCCTCCCACATTCTTCCCAAAGACGCTCGCAATCGTCTATGAGCCGCTGGACAATGTCAGACGGTAGCCAAGGAGGGTCGGTGCGAAGTTGGACGCGAGGCGAGGAATCGGAGGGATACTTTTCGGGAAGGTCGATCTCGAGACGGAGGGAAGGCAAATAAGAGATGACGTGGACATCCTTGTTGAAATCAACCGGCACAAGCTCGTCGAATGATGTGGGCGGGGTCAGAATCGTCGGGAGCTCGACGTCAGTGTTCTGATGGAAGCATACCCGCAGCGGGGTTGACGGTTTGACGGGTAAATCCAGAACAGCCCGGAACGGCGAGGCGGGGTCGATGATGATCTCGGGGTATATGGCGGAGATGGTAGACAGTTCAACGGAGCGGTCGTCCTCGAGGAGCATGTCGGAGTCTGCCATGATCGGGGGAGGAAGACAGAAAAGAAGAGCAAAAGAGGGGAAATTTGCTTGATCGATTGTGACCCGGACCGATGGATAAGCAAGTGGTGCAGGCAATCAGTGGAGCTTCAACGTCGGCATGCAATGGTCGCCACGTCAGTCATAACCGGAATCGTTTATATAGAGTGTTGTCTCTGATCTTGTCGCTCGTCACCGTCATTCCTCTGGCAGGAGGGGTCTTCCCGGGGAGGCCAAAGACCGAGAAGATCGGCCGGCAAGCATGGAAATTGACCGCTAATATGACTCCAAACCGATAGCACCAGTAGAAGCGAAAGTCAGGAACGAGAAGGTATAGAACCAAGTCATAAAAGATCGATAGAAGGGAGGCGAGAAGAGAAGGGGGCGAAAATAAATAGTGAGGGGAAAGGGCAAAAAAAAAGGGACGATGGAGGGGGATGGCGAGCACCGAAAGAATTAAGTGGGGGGCGATTTGGCGACCCGATGGTTCACGGATTGAATCCCGGTTCTCTGACCAGCAACCGATTGGAGCAATCAGCAGAGAGAAGGAAGATGATGCAGTTGTTCTTGTTCTTGCTGGGGAGGTGAGTTGGAAGTAGGAAGTAATTGGATTGGAAGGCGTGTGGGGTACAATAGTGCGTCATGGTTCTCTGATTTGTATGGAAGTATATAGGCTAATCTTTCTTCTTTCAGGGTATTGATATGGGGCTGGACATGGAGGAAAAGGGCGTCTTCAAGCAATCGGAGAATCGGAGAATCGGAGACAAGTGAGGTTCAGACAACGCAGAGATAGAAAAGAAGAAGAAGAAGAAGAAGAAGAGAAAAAGTTGGGAGAAAATCAGGCAGACAATTGTGAATCACGAGTAATGAGGATTTATGCATTGTGATTGCTGCCTGACTTTGCTGGGTTTGTCTCCTTTGGCTGCCTGGATTCCTGGAGAAGTTATCCCTGCACATAACGGGATGACACAGCTATCCTCCGTTATACATCCATCTATAGTAGTTCCTGAGCACGTGATCGGTCTCGCCCACGGATCGACGAACTTCTCCTCTTACTTCATCTCCATCTTTCCTATTCATCCCACCTCGAACCGGCCCAGATACTATATGGGTCTTCTTGATGATCGGTCATGAATGATTGAATTTTCTTTTTTTGTTTCTGCTTTCCTTTCGGTTGGGGATATCTTCTCCGATCTGGTACCTTTTTTCCCCTCATCGGCCGGATACCCTGTTTGTTTTGATGTGATGGTGGATTGCCGCAGTGTCTTGTTCTAGTTCCTCATAGCGTTTCTTTCTTTCCTCCCACTTCATAGATAGGTCCTCGAACTTACTGCAGAAATGGATGAGTCGTCGGTCTCGGCCGATACGAGCATGCAAGCTCAGCACTTTGTCAAGGCCGACGAAGTGGACCAAACCGGGACGGACATCAGCCCCGTCTCCGATGACCAGTTGATGGAGGAGGTTGCGGAGGGGATCCGAAAGGAGCAGGCGTCCCACAATGCGCCCTCGGATGTCTCTGGGGATCGACCTCCTCAGACGACGACAGCCGCGAGACGCCCCGAGTTGCGTCGGGATGTGGCCGCGCCCCCACCCCCACTGCAACCGCCGCCCCCGGCTCCCGTCCAACAGGCGTCGCAAAGGCCCCCGGACTCCCTCAGCCTGGCACAGTTGAGACAAATAGTCCAGGAGATGCCCAAGGCGGAGCAGCCGGCCTATGCATTTGATTATGCCGACGCCCAGCCATTCGCCGAGGAGATCGAAGAGTGGTTCCAATACAGTGAGTTCGACCGGATCATGCTCTTGGGCATGAAATCCTCGTTTGAACACCGATGGGGGCTGTTCTGTGAGAGACACCACCCCTCTGGTCCCCAATCGTCCTGGGTGGATGCCCCCCGGGACCTCCAGAAGTCATTCATCAGTCAGACCATTGATCGGCTGCGGAACCGAGACAGCGCGGCTCGGATCGAGGCCCTGGAGATCATCTGCTATGTGGTGACGGGGATCTGGGGGACCACGGCCGGGATGGTCGCGGAGGACTATCCCGAAAACGTGCCCCCTCAAGAAGCCGCCGAGGTGCCCAGAGCCAAGTCATTGCAGATCAGGTGGATGGAGAACAATGTCAATTTGATCAATGAATGCTCCGGGGTGGGCCCCATCTTCGAGTGTCTCTGTGCATTCTTTGAACGAGGTCGCGGCTCCTCGAACCCCGACTTGGACAACCTGGGCGCTGAAAGTAGTAACCCGGCCGTACTGGCCGCGTCCGAGCGGGAGGTGAATCTCGTCTTGACGGCATTCTACGTCATTGTGGAAGTGGGTCGGAGACAGGAGGCGCGCCATCTCCATCACCCTCCGTTAAGGCACGCCATCATGGAGCTGGAGCCCAATCTGCTCGTGTTCCTGGTTGAGATCATATCGCGCTTGCGCTGGGACGATTCCGCCAACGTACCGCTAACCCGGATCATCTTGCTCCTTTGGAAGTCTTTACTCCTGTTCTTCGGAGGCACAGACGCCCTGAAAAGGGCCAAGGAAGAACTGGAGCCTTCCTTTGAGGAGCGGGAGAATGGATCCTCACACCGGACCCCGTTTCTCACGGCCTCCCCGCTGGACTACCATGCGTTCCGACAGGAGGTCACATCGAAGTATCCCTCCTATAACCCACCGCCGCCGGTAGTTCCCGTGGAACTCGAGAACAACTCCATTCTTCCTCCTCTGCCCCAACACCCTAGCCGAATGACGGCTTCGAATGGCCTGTTTTCCGGGGTCGGGCCATCGGTTGCGGGTGGGAACGGCTCGATCCTGCACCAGTCAGTGCATATTGCAACGCCGGCACCATCGCCCCCTCCGTCGCCCATCGGCCCTGGCGGAAAGGCAGGGAAGAAGCAGAACTACCAGACGAACCAGAACTTCCCGTTCATGTACCCCCCTCTGGACGATGCTAGCAACGATCTCGGCGGGAAGGGCACGACGGAGGTCCAGGATGTCCTAGTCGGGAAGAAATGGGAGGGCAGCGATGTGCCGGCGTCGATCATCGAGGCGGGACAACTCTTTTCTTCGCACGTGAAAATGACCCGAGCGATGCGGCAGCTCTGGGAGGAGCGAGAGCGCTTCATGCGATACGACCGGGGGTGGTCCCTTGACGAGAGCGAAGCTGGCCCGGCCGACCATTTGGCCGACGATCTGACCAAGGATCTGGACGATCTGAGCCTGCGAGAGAAACGCAGAATGAGTTCCGACTCGTCCGCCAGGGAGACCGACAACAATGATATTCAACAACGACTTGATGCCGTGAACGCGTTCTATGTGAGTCTTCTGTCCTCTAATGGGGATCCGAGCTTCCGTCACTAACTGGCTGACAGTCCGACGCTCTGATCCATCTACAATCGATCACCATTGTCTTCTTAAAAATCATCCTGACCAACGTCAGTGCAATGGTTAACCATGCCAACGTCCAGAACAGTCAGGTTATGGGGTATGTGCATGTGCCCAGATATTTGTCGTCAGATAAGATAGATCTAACGCCTGTGCAGCGACAGTTTTGGTGCAGCTAGTGGGTTTGGACCTGCCCCCACGAGTTTCCATAGCCATCTGGACATGGACGCCGCCATCGATGAGCTGGACAGCACACGTCTGCGAGAAATCACTGGAAAAGCGATCTCGGGGACGTTGCTGCTCATGGTCAAGTGGTTCAAGAGATCCCGTACGCCCTCCCCCATCTCCCATAGGTGTTGACTCAATACTCATTGCCGACTGCTCGCAGATATTCTCAAGTTCGAATACATGACACAGCTGCTTCTGGACTCCAACTATCTACCCCTCATCTTGAAGATGTTTGCGCACCAAGACATTGACCAGGCGGTCGCACAGAAGAACGACCGCGAGGAACTTGGGTAACTACTCTCTACTTCAACTGTCTAGAGCGTACTGACTGGGACCAGCTTCTTCCACTTCTGCCACGTTCATTCCGACCAACCCCCGGAGCCCGAAGAAGACTCGGACGAGGAGTCTAGCGGCGACGAGGCCGTCCCTCCGCCGATCTCCCGACACCGGATGGACTCCGTGCCCAGTAGCTCCCCCGTCCGCGGGTCATCGCCGGATTTAGCGCCGGATTTGACGGAGGGCCCTCATCGCCCGGAGGTGGACGAGCTCGGATACCCGACGGCGCCGCCCCCGAAGGAGCCGATCACGGTGTTCTCCTTCCGGAACTTTTTCTCGGCGATCAACTACCTCCACATCATGCAGAAGATCACCCGCAACAAGGCGCACCGCTGCCTCCTCATGGTGCAGTACAAGTCCAGCACGATCCTTCGCAAGGGACTCAAGATCCCGGATCCCCACCTGCGGTTCTACACCCTCAAGCTCTTCAAGTCCCAGGTGCCCTACTGCGGACGGAAATGGCGACAGAGCAACATGCGCGTGATCACGGCGATCTATCTCTACTGCCGGCCGGAGCTACGCGACGACTGGCTAGCGGGCTCGGACATCGACGCCGAGGTAGAGGAGGCGCTCCCGCTAGAGCAAGCGTTGCGCGGCCTCACGCACTGGTGGCACCTACGACGGTACAAGGACGTCATGGGCGGCGAGGAGGGCGCATCGATCATGGAGGAGGAACGCGACTTCTTCGTGCGCGAACTCGAGGCCATGGGGTGGGGATTTGCGGGGGATGAAGTGCTCAACAGCGTCAGCGACGAGGCGGAGATCATGGCAGGGGCTATGCCGAATGGCACCGAGTGGGAGGGAGGGGGGGGTCCAATGCAGATGGAAGGATACTAGCCATCTTGCAGCGTCACTACTAGATCAATATACCCTATACATAGAGAGACTGTAATCCGTCCTATTAGATATCGATGATTAGAGACGAACCGTGGAAAGAAAAGCGGATGGCCGGTCCTTATCGATAAGAGGTGCCCACGTGACCGGTCACTGCGGAAACTTTTTTTTTTTTCCCTCTAGTTTTTTGTTTCGACTCCGCAGCTCAGCCAACATTTCGTCCTCTCTCTTCCCCCACATCCATTTCGATCTCGAGCACGTCCGGTGTTCTTTATATTCACGATGTCGTCAGACGAGATTGTCTGGCAGGTGATCAACCAGCAATTCTGCTCGTATAAATTGAAGTAAGTGATGAAACCGACCAGTCCAGCCATCAGCCATATCGGAGCCTTGACTCTTTTTCAATCTTCTCTATACAAAGAAGATTTTCATAATCCATCTTTAAGGCGGCAAATACAAGAATAAAACTAATTCAAGCAGGACCACCAAAGGCCAAAACTTCTGCCGAAACGAATACAATGTGAGCGGACTGTGCAACCGCCAGTCGTGCCCGCTGGCGAACTCGCGGTACGCGACGGTGCGGACGGACCCGGAGACCGGGGCGATGTACCTGTACATGAAGACGGTTGAGCGGGCGCACATGCCCAGCAAATGGTGGGAGCGGGTGCGCCTGTCGTCGAACTACGCGAAGGCGCTGGAGCAGGTCGACGACCGCCTGATCTACTGGCCGAAGTTCCTGGTGCACAAGTGCAAGCAGCGTCTGACGCGGCTGACGCAGGTGGCGATCCGGATGAAGAAGCTGGCTAAGGAGGAGGAGCGGCTGGGGGAGAAGATCGTGCCGAAGCTGGCGCCGAAGATCCGTCGGCGGGAGGAGACGCGCGAGCGCAAGGCGGAGTCTGCGGCGAAGGTGGAGCGCGCGATTGAGCGCGAGCTGATTGAGCGCTTGCGCAGCGGAGCTTATGGTGATCGGCCGTTGAATGTGGAGGAGGGGATCTGGAAGCGTGTGCTACGGGGCTTGGAGCGCTCCGGTGAGGGTGAGCGCGATGAGGATCTGGATGAGGGTGAGGAGTTGGATGAGCTGGAAGAGGAGGAGGAGGGTGTGGGCGAGGTCGAGTACGTGAGCGACCTCGAAGGGGAGGAAGAGGACTTGGAGGATATTGAGGACTGGCTGGGTGGGGACTCGGCCGACTCGAGTGACTACAGCGAAGACGACGAGGACAGTGATGAGGATAGCGACGAGGACAAGGACATCTCTGCCAGCGATGACGAGAGCAAGAAGCCCAAGCCGGGCTTCAAGCGGAAGCGCCCTGCTCCTCAGGCCAAGCCGCGCAAGAAGGGACCCCGGGTCGAGATCGAGTACGAGACGGAGGGTGCTGGCAAGGAGCAGATGCTGGCCTAATTGGTTGTTTAATTGGAGGTTATTCGAAGAGAAGAGAAAAAAAGGACAGAAAAGGGGAGATTTTATCAAGCGGCGTTCTGGACTGTCATGTTGTTTTATATTGTGTTTGCCTTGACCTTGACTTGTTGGATGCCATACCCATCCTTGCAATTACTGTTCTAGCATATTTCTCTGTTGTAGAGAATCATTTACTTTATCGATTTTTCCGCGGTTCTTTCTTTGATTATGGCTTGAGTTGATGATATACACGAGACGGTCACGTGCACCCGGGTGGGCATGAACGTCGTCATCTCTTCCTCTTCGGGTTAACTTGAAACAACTTCCACTCACCAGAGGACACCTCGTCTTTCTTCTATTGAATCTATTCCAACACCCTTAAACACGTCCCAACGCCCTGGTCCTGAGCTGGTCATCCCGACCCGGGTGTATTGAAGCCACAATGTTCTCCTCCATCACCTCCTCCTCCGCCATCTCCAATCTCGGCACGAGGCTCAACTCCCTCCGCCGCACCATCACCCTCGGCAACGAAGCCGACGACCCAGACAGCGAAGACTGCTCACACGTCTCCAACGTCCTCCGCGCATACTACACCGAAAAGGGCCGCCCCTTCCCCCCCTGGCTGCCCCCGGACCCAAAAGCCCCGCTCCCATCCCCCGCCCGCATCGTGGCAACAACCCAGATCCAACCCGGCGCCGCCGCGCCCCCGGGCTCCGCCTACGGCCGCAACAGCGGCGGCGGCCTCGGCGACCTCTGGGGCGACTCGGGCCCCTCCTCCTCCCCGCCATCTTCCCAAACAGCCTCCCTCCGACGCGGCCGCAGCACCCCCAACCCCGCCGGTGCCCCGCTCTCCGGCATGACCAGCCCCATAGCCAGCCCGCCTACCCAGTCGCCTGCCCCGCCAACCCTGCACCCGGCGGGCGCCCGCCCGCTGCCCAGCCAGCGCGCCGCGTCTTCGCAATCTGCTGGTGCGGCCCCGCCGCTGGAGCGCGCTGCGTCGGCGCAGGATCGCCTCCGTGCTCGTCTACATGGGGGCGGCAGGTCGCCTAGTCCTGGGACGAGTCCTGGCGTTAGCCCTGGTATGAGCCCTGCTCTGAGCCCGACTAGCAGTCGCACTGGGTCGCCTTATTATGGGGGTGAGCCTGCTGGGAGGAAGCCCGTTGGGGGACGCATGCGATAGAAATAGGGGTGGGGGGATACTGCTGGTTAGTATTCGTGTGGGGATGACAGACGGACGGACGGACTGTGCGGACTGCAGATTGCAGAGGTTGTGGTATTAATATTAATTTTATCGTCAATGGACATATTTACTGGCGCTGCTAGTTTGATTCCTGTGTATATGAATATGCTGTTAGTAAATAAATCAGTATTCTTTGTGTCGTTGGATGGGGTCGTAATATATATATATATATATACTGCGTGTGGTAGCCACTCTACAACTTCATAACAGAAGATAGATCATCTCTCTTGTGCTTTGTTCTTCATGCTTGTATTACATATATATATTCTTGTGCTTCAGCAGTTCTCACCTTGATATACCCCAGAACACGCAAGACCTTTACCCCAAACATATATAGTATAAGTGATACAAACCCAGCAAACCGATCTACGACGAAGATTGAAGCTATGAATATCGATCAATAAGAAAGTTATAAAGTAAAAAATTGAGCAAGTCTATATGATACGGCATGACACGACATACATGATATAATATGATGACAAAAAGCAGACCCCAGCAAGGAGCCAGTCAATGCAGATGGTAATAACGACATAGTTAGGGAAGAGGAGCAAAGAAGAAAAGGGAAAAGAAGTTAGAGAAGAAGAAGGAAAGAAGAAATATCGCTCGTCCTGCGAACCTTTACGATCGCAAGAATCCAACCCAATTGTCTTGACAAGATAGTAGCAACAGGACCGGGCATCCCGGAGAAAAGAAACAGAAGGAGAGGGAAAAAAAGAGTCAACCCCTCACTTTCCGATAGCTAGGCGGTTTCCACGATTGCTTGATGAGTTTCGCTGCCCAGATCGGAACTAACGAGACGGCGCTGACGGCGCACACGCGCCACACCCAGTCGAGGGTGATGACGAATTTCAGGTCAAAGTAGTCGCCTAGGAAGGGTACGCTGGCGGCGTAGAGGAGGGCCGTGCCGAGGAGGGAGATGATCATGACGGGGTGCCAGGTTGTGATGGCGATGGCGACCATCAGGAGTTCGTTGAGTACGAGAGCCGTGAAAGATACGCTGATTAGTTGTGGACCCTTGGTCGTGTCGAGGAGAATCTGCGATAGGCCCTGGATGACGGCGCCTTGGTATACTGACACTAGTACCCAGGCGAAGAAGGACCGGTAGCTGAGGCTGCGGCCTGTTTTGAGCTCCTTGTATAGTTCTGGGTAGAGGTTGGCGAGTTTCTCGTCGACGTCGCGGTCGAAGACGAGGGAGAAGACTGGTGCGTTGGTGTACACTGTGGCGTACCCGACCATGAGCCAGTTGATGAAGAGGCCCTTGGGGTCGAAGTGGCTGGCGATGCTGTACATTGTTTGGCAGGCGCTGATGATGAGCCCGCGGTGCATGATGAATTGCGCTAGTTTGGCTGATCGCTTGTACGAGTTGCGGCCGTGCCATACGAGTAGCTTGGTGATGTGGTGGAATTGCGTGATACTGAAGTCGGCGGCCAGTGATGCCTGGCGCCCCTCTTTGCCGACGATGCCGAGTCCGATGTCCGCTGCTTGGATCATCGACACGTCGTTGCCTCCGTCGCCGATGCAGCACACTCGCTTCTTTGTGTACTGTCGGATCAGGTCGGCCACTTCGGCCTTTTGAGTTGGAGAGCATCGACAGGCGACAACGGCCGGGAGGAGGACTGCGATCGAGATGAACGACGATCGAAACTGGCTCAGCATGAGCGCCAGAGACTCGCCATCGATCAACAGGCAGCAGTCTGTCTTGTTGCGCAAAAAGTCTAGCGCCTCCTGCGCGTTCGACTTGTCCTTGACCCTCGCCACCGTGTGGATATACTGTCCTCGGGCCACTAGTTTCGCGGAGATGGCCACGCACCGCGCCGTCTCGACCTTGTCACCGGTCAACATCCAAATCTTGACTCCGGCGTTGCGGAGAAGCTCCAAAGATGGCTTGACATCTCGCTGCAGACGGTCTTCGACACCAGTCACCCCAAGAAGCTCCAGATCCTGCTCGAGATAGTCGCCGATCACCTTGGCCATCCCAGTGTCTCGCCCTTGGAGCGCAAGGGACGCCTGCTTGTACTTCGCGGTGAATTCTTGGAATTGCGCCAGAGACAGCCGCTTCCGTCCGACTACCAAAGTTCGTAACCCCTCGCGGGCCATGTTGGAGGTCTCTTCATCGAGCCAGTCGTTGGCGGCGACGATTGATGTCATGACCGTGTCCGCACCCTTCTGATAAAACCAAATTTCGCTTTCATCCGCGGGGGAATCCAAGGCACCCTTTTCCCGATCAAACTGCACGATGACCCCCATGCGTTTGCTCTCCGAGGTGAATGGGAATATGTCCAGGATGCGGGCGCGGACGACGATGTGGCCGGTGTGCGTGGACTCGAGAGCGATCGTCTGTCGGTCACGGTAGGCCAGCTTGAGTCCAACGTCTTCCGTGTAACGCACGATTGCAATCTCATCGGGCGACGAAGCTTGGTAGTTGGTTACCTTGACCCCGTCTTCTTCGTCTGTGGTGGGGGTCACATTGTGGCAGAGGGCCATCGCCAGGACGATGTCGCGGACGCGCGAGCCAATTTCTCTGCGGGTACGGGGAGCAGCCCCCTGTCCTGCCTGAGGGACAAATGGCGCGGAGGGAGTTGTCAGTGCAGTTCCACCAAAGCTTTGTCGCACGTAGGATATCACTTCTTCCATGGCGTCGTTGGCGTACGAAACGGTTCCCACGTGGATCTTCTTCAGCTCCATTTCTGTATGCTAGTTAGTCGGGTGCTCTCGTGGATGATATCCGGAGAACCTACCATTTTGCGTCAAAGTGCCAGTCTTGTCTGACAAGAGGTATTCGATCCTCCCCAGATCTTCCGGGATAGTGCTCGTTCTCACAACCGTGTCGGGGATTTCTTGGTCGCGTTCAATGAATCGACCATAAACAGATTTCGCCATATCGAGGTTGACCCGCAAGCTCATGGGGATGATGGTTGAGAAAAGAATCAGGTAGATCATGATCGCGACGTACCACGGCTTGTCGCTGGTTGGCTGGAAGCCCTGCAGGCCGACCAGAATGATCGACAATGTCAGGGTGAATGCGCACAGGATCTTGGTGAGACTGTTAATTTCATATTCCAACAACCCCACCTTCGAGCGCGAAGGGGACGTCGAGAGGGCGGCGCGCGTCTGCGACCCTGTGTAGATGATGACCGCGTAGGTGACCGTGTTGGACGCGAGAACGGTGTTGGCCCACGCGGTGTTGTCGATACTCAAGGGAGCAGAGTTGGGTTGGGAGGGTGGATTTTCAGCTTCATCTCCCTGATCGTCTGTCTTGTCGACGTGGGGATCGTAAAACCCCGACGCAGGCTCCAGCTCAATGTTCCCGACAAACTCGTTCACCCGCTTGTCGGGCCCACTCGCTGTGACCTTGAGTCGCGTGAAGTCACTGAAGCCCAAACTCTGAGACAACACTGAAGGCAGGCGCAATTTCCAGTCGGTTTCACCGTCCAGTTGATCAGTACGGATAAAGGTATCGGCCGCCGAAGAGGTATCCTCAGCCAGGGAACTCGAACTCGGTTCTCCGTCCGCGGGATTCTGGTCCGCGTCGATGAGAGCTGCCGGAGGCTCCGTGGTTGAGTCCCGGTGAACCGTACCCGAATCATTTGAGACACTTTTAAGAATGACAACATCGGCGGGGAGGCGTTGGTTTTTGCGAACTTTCAAAACATCCCCCACCTTCAAGTCTCGCGATTTCTTGGTCACCTCGAACACGCTTTCGGCCTCAGAGCGGGGCTCCTCCGCAGTTGGCCGGGACCTTCTCCCCGTCGGTCGATCGAACGCCAGGACCGAAAACTCCTCCGCGTTCGCTTCTGCATCCCTCCGACGGCGCCCGATATCATCCATGGCCTCCTTTCCCAGGGAGATGGAAACCACAAACGCCAGCGGGGCGATATAGGATGACATGTAACCGATCCGCAGGACCGGAATCGTCTGGGACAAGGCGACACAGAGAAAGTAGATGTTGAAAAAGAACGAGAATTCGTTGTACAGTGTCCGAGGCAGAAAACTCCACGGGGTGTATTTCGCATTCGAGACGGCGTTGGGAGGGTATCGCAACCGTTGTATCCGTCCAACCAGCACATCGCGCGGAGGCTTTACCTGATCGACCTCCCGCCTGGAGCGGTTCGACGCACCGAACAATCGCGTGATGGCATCCAACCCCGGGAAACGTCGTCGCGCGCCCCTTGGTTCCTCATCAGGAAAAAGGTGCGCGGAGCTATGCCTGCGTTCGTCCAAGAGCGGCGCATCATCCTCGCTCGCGCGTGGTGATCTCCTCCGCCTGTCGCCATCCGGATTCTCTAGCAACGCATCCATATCATCCTCGCCCCCGTGCGTCCCCGAACGGGTCCTTCCCCACACCCGACTCCCAACACCCTTGCGCAAGTTCTTCAATGCAATACCCTGGCCATAGCCGCCTCGTTGATGGGAATCGTCCCGCGATGCCCTCGGGGAGCTCTGAATGATGGCAGTGGTGGGATCCAGCTCCTCCAAGTCGAGATCATCGTCGGAGCCAGAGATACTCGGACTGCCCGGGGGTGGTAGGTAGTCGTCGGACGGCATCCTGAAGGACACGGCCGATCAAAGCGAAATTACGCGAATCAAACACGGAGAGCAACGCAGAGCTTCCTACACCAACAACCAAGGGGTCATTTCACGGCAAGGTGGTTCCAGAGATCATTGTTTGGGTCGCTCGGAGATATCGTCGGTAGTCGTGCTGTTTCAACAGGGATAACACGGTCCTCTCGATGGCTGGAATCGCAGGTCAGACCGGAAGGATATTCGATGTGTCGGATTTAAGCACGAGTCAGAACCACTGCGCTCTTGGGTTCGGGTTCTGTGGATGCGCAACTATGAAGGTCTCGAACAAGGAGGATGAATAAAGTGACAGCAGGAGAAAGGCCGATCACATGATGGCCTCTGCCACAGTGGCTGAAACAAGCACGATGTCATCGATCGCCGTACGCTGTATTTACCACGAAGGAACAATACCATGCTCTCAAGATGGAATCTATGCGGCTACCCTGGTCTTCCCCTCAGTGATTCCTAATTCAGATAGATCCTGCATCGGATCATGGATCATCATCAATGGAAATAGATTGGGAATAAAGTGCATATCTGTCCTGTAAGGTGGGATGGAGTTGTGTCATCTTGTCAGCAAGGGTTTTGTGCAGGCTTATGCCATCCATCCCATGACCAACTACGTCAATTTCTTACATAATCCACCGAGACAACAGCTTCATAACGGATTTAACGTACAGGTGGCCGTTTATCTCACTGGTGTTCCTCGTATTGACAGTATTGACCATACCGCATCGGGGCCATAATCCAACTCCCTCAATAATCAGGTGTCCAGTAGTCTATCTGTTCGGTCGCAAACTCTCCCAAGTCCCTTACGCTCGACTCTCTACTCTCCCCACCTGCGATGATGTTTCCTCTTTCCCTTTAATCTCGTCTTTCTCTTGCTTGTTGCTCGTTTCTTTTTCTTTTTCTTTCCTGTATTTCCTAGGACCGTGGATTCTGATTTACTTTAATTACTTGATTTCCTCGTTTCATGTCTCCCTAGCTCTCTCTCGTCTGAGCCTTTGCCGTTTGTCTTGCTGATCCTGAGGGTGAGCTGATGTCCAGACCAACGTGTCCTATTTATGTTTGATGGACTGCATGAGTGGCTGACCTCTGGCGGAGCTTAGATACCCAGCAAGCATGGCCCATAACGATGAAGTCGCCGCGTGGAACCCAGCCTTGCGAGCGGAGGACCACGAGGGTCCGGCGGAGACTGCTTCGGCCGACGCGGTCGCGGACTCGATAGACTCGACACCGGAAGACACTCCTGTTGCCCCGGATGCCTCGATCAGGGATGAGGAGGCAGAGGCGCCTATCCAATCCGCTTCCGCTGATACTGGTACACCAGAAACGAGTCCAGCTGGTTTGGTAGACTCCGAGGTTCCGCAAAATGCTGGGGAGAGCCTATCCCAGGAGGAAACAGTCGATACTTCGTCGACTCAGGATCAAGTGGCGCCACCGGCAAATATTGAGCATGAGCTCGCCCACGAGGTGGAGGAGTCGCAACGCGAGGAGCTGAAGAAGGACGCGACCGGTGCCGACTACGACCGGCAGCCACTTGACGAAACACTCGAGAGCTCATCTACCCACGACCAAGTGGCGCCGCCAGCGACTACTGAACACACAGAGCTCCCTCGCGAGGCAGAGGGGTCGCAACACGAGGAGCCGAAGGATGACGCGACCAGTGCAGAGCACGAGCCGCAAGAGCAGGAGGTTCAGTGGCCGCCCAACCCTGAGGAACCCTTGGCGTCGACATCAGAGAACGCACAGGAATTGAAACTCGCCAACGATACCACCCCTTTTCACCCGCATGTGGACACAAATGTACCTACGGCACCCCACGAGCCTTCTACAGACGATGGCCATAATTTCTGGGGAAGTCCTACCAACGGTGACGCCCAGGACGGTTTCTTCGACCAACTCAGGACACAAACGAAGCCAATCTACATGCCACCCGAAGCGGAGTCACGATTTGAGGAGGGTGTCCCACTATTGGATGGTGAGGTGGCCAGCCCAGTGGACGTGACCCCAAGGAAAGCGTCCCTGGGGAAAGGGTCCTCAGAGAAGGCAACCCCGGAGGAGGCATCCCCGGAGGAGGCATCCCCGGAGAAGGCGTTCTCAGAGACCGCGTCCCCGGAGAGGACATCTCCGAAGGAGGCGGCCGGGGATCCGATCAGCAATATTTTCAATGAGGATGACGATGAGGACGACGCTTTCTTTAGCGAGGTTCAGAAGTCCCCACAACAACCAAAGATCTCGTTGTCGCATCATATCACGCGCAAAAGCACGTCTCAGGTGCTCGAGTCTCTTGATATCCCTTCAGTGCCCCCATCCGATGACGTGACATCTCCGACGACCCAAGAGTTCAACAGTATTCTGGCAGCTGCTGCATCGGAGAACCAGACACAGAACCAGACACAGAACCAGGCCCAGGTCCAAGGTCATGATCAGACCCAGAGTCAGGCCAAACGTACTCCTTCGGAAGAGGATCTGGCTGCGGCGTGGGAGGCAGAACTTGCCAAGGATGAGAAAGACAGCCCTGACGAGGATCTGGCCGCCCGGTGGGAAGCGGCCCTTGACGATGACGATGATTTGCTGTTGGAGGATGAAACCTCGACCGCACCCCAGGAGACAGACAGCCAGCATGTCAATAACGTCGTGCCGGACGCTGGCTTCGGTGGGTTAAGCAGTCCCCTTGGCACCCCGCAGGGCTCTGTGAGAGCTAAGGCGCCGTCATCATACACGCCCCATCAGCCCTCGATTGCCGATCTTGTTCAAGGGGTTTCCCCAGCGGCTGTTCCTCAAGCAACCTCTGCCCCCCAGACCAGCTATTTTACCCAACTTCCCTCCCGGCCAAATATTGCGGCAAATAGAGGAGAGAGTTTTGCTGAGCGCCCTAAGGAGGGCTACAAGTCCCCGTACGATTTACCAGAGGATCTGACCCTACCTCGGAGGCCGCATGTCACTGCCAAAGCAGTGGTTACCCAGCCTGGGAACATGCCGCCGCCTCCCCCGCGCCAACCCAGCATCCCAGGGCCTCCGCCCAGGACCTCCGGCACGCCCACCCCTCCGTTGGCGGCGTCACCGTGGGTTCCAAGCCCGGGGTCCGAACTCCCGAGGCCGCCTCCTACAACGCAGTCTCGACCTGCGAGTTCAGGCCGGTACACGCCTGCCGTGAGTGCAGCACCACCGTCTTCTCACCCTCCTCCACCGCTGTCTCAGGCTCCACCGCCGGTCAACCCGTATGCCAGCTTTTCTCCCGCTTTGCAGCCGAATGGTACCGGTGCTGCCCCCCCTACCCAATCTCCGCTGCAATCGCCGGAGTCGCTTGATCCCTACGCCAGTACCTTGGCTTCCAATACGCTGGGCGCTCCTACCCCCCCAAGTACGGCATCGAGATACTCACCGAAACCACCCGGCTCGCACCTTGGAGCAAAACCTCCAGCATCCCCGAGATACTCTCCTGCGCCGCCACCATCTGCAGCTCCTCCTCCTCCCCGTAATCGTTATGCGTCTCAACCGAATGGGGTTCCTAGTCATGGGCCACCTCTGCCGTTTCAACCTCGCACGTCAAGCCCCCTGGCATACCACGAAAAGGTCTCGTATCAACCCCAAGGTCCGTCTGAGAACCATGCATTGCCAACGCCACCGGCCGTGGGGACACCCGCAAACGAGATGCATCCAGTTCCAAATGACTCCGGGACTGTCGGTGCCGCACCGCCTACCCACGTCGATCCTTCCCCGGGCACTTGGTCGCCAGGCGCCACTAAAGCTACCCCGGGCGTCCAGCAGCCAACTTCACCACCTAAAAACCGCTATGCTCCTTCAGCCTACGTCGATGAGTTCAGCAAGCGTGTCACCCCGATGGGTAGTCCGCCTCCGGTCTCGGTGCCTTCGGTTGCGGAGCTGCAGTTTGCTCCCCCTCGCAGATCACAAACGCAGTCTCCCGGCCAGCAAACGATGGGCCCACGATTGTCTGTGCCGTCGCTTGACCCCCAGCTAAGGCCTGCTTCTGCACATGGCACTAGCTCCCCGACCAAGGCCGTCAGCCCGTATGCCCCCTCGCAAGTGTCTGTGCACAACCGCACTGTTTCCCAAACGCTTGACTTTATCCCCCCAAGTGACGGACAGGAGCTGGATCCACTGCAACGCTGGAAGGGTGCGCCGATTGTCAAGTTTGCGTTTGGTGGCACTGTAACCTCATGCTTTCCTCAGCACATTCCCCGATACACAGCTGGCCAAACCGCGCCGAAGATTAAGCCAAGCCCAGGTGAAGTGAAATTAAGCCAGCTGAATGACTGGATCCCGGCCGCGGACAGCATTGTCCAGCATCCGGGGCCCCTGAGAAGCAAGTCGAAGAAGAAAGATTTACTGGCATGGCTTTCCAGCAAAATTGCGGCATTTGAAAACGAGGGCATCGCGGAAGCTGCCCGACTCCATCCGGACCCGCATAAGCGCCACGATGAAAAGGTCTTGTTGTGGAAGATCGTCCGACTTCTGGTTGAGCATGATGGAAATCTGGAAGGGTCCGCTGAAGCTAAAAGCGCCCTACGCACCATTATATTCCCGAACCTGCCGCAGAACACTGAGTCTGATCAAACATACGGTGCTGGTTTGCCGACGGTGAACCATTCCCCGAGCCCGAATGCTTCGTCACAGCCCGACGCTGCCGATCTTCGCTCGGTGGACAGCATCCGCAATAACCTTGTTGACGGTGACCGGGAGAAAGCTGTTTGGAACGCAGTAGACAACCGTCTGTGGGGCCATGCTATGATCATTGCGTCGACCCTCGATAAATCTGTCTGGAAGCAGGTGGTGCAAGAGTTCGTGAGACGTGAAGTCCGGTCCTCCACAAGTAACACGGAGTCGCTCGCAGCACTCTACGAGATCTTTGCCGGAAATGTCGACGAGAGCATTGACGAGCTTGTTCCTCCCTCCGCTAGGGCTGGTTTGCAGATGATCAGCAAGGTCGAGGGGCAGGGTCCCGCGAAGGGCGCACTTGATGGTCTTGAAAGCTGGAGGGATACATTGGGATTGGTGTTGAGTAACCGCAGCCCAGGCGATCACACGGCACTATTGGCGCTCGGTCGGTTGCTTCTGTCCTATGGCCGTGCGGAGGCAGCCCATATTTGTTTTATCTTCTCTCATGCCCCGGTGTTTGGTGGTGCCGATGATCCGCAGGCAGGGGTGGTTCTCCTGGGAGTTGACCACCAGCATCTGCCGTCCAATGGCTTGAATGATGATGATGCGATCTTGCTCACCGAAGCCTACGAATTTGCCGTTTCAATATTGGCCGGTTCACAGACGTCCACTTTCCCGCATCTGTTGGCATTCAAGCTTATCCACGGCTGGTCCCTAGCGGACCGCGGCCGCACATCGGAGGCTCAACAATACTGTGATGCCATTGAAGCAGCCTTGAAAGCTTCCACCAAACCATCTGGCTATCATAATCAGCAGTTGTTTTTCGGCGTGGAAGAGCTCAGCGCCCGCCTTCGACAAACAACTACTGATGCCGGTTCTTCTTGGATCTCCAGGCCGAGCATGGAAAAAGTGTCGGGCTCCATGTGGTCCAAATTCAACAAGTTCGTCTCGGGCGAAGACAGCGATGCTGTGTCGACCGGCTCCGGGAAAATGGGAGAGCAGGATGTCGGACCTTTTGCCAACCTCTCCGGGACCCCAACTGTGAGCCGTTCCCCGTCAGTGACGGATCTATATGGCTCATACCCTGTACCTCCCCCTCAATCGGTCCCTGGTAGTGGCCCTTCACGGTATCAACCTGCCAACCCATATGCCCCGAATCCTTCGCCCGAACACTTCCGTGGTGGAAGGTCATCACTCGACTCTCAGAGATCGTCTTCCTTCCAATACCCATCCGGGCAACGACGGGGATCCCAGGATCCAGCAACGCCGATCGACAGTAGCTTTTACCAGGGTGGATCGGCACACAATTCGCCGTCCGCTATGGGTTATCAGTCAACGCCACCTCAAACGTCTTATATGCCTCTTGCACCGGTCGATGAGGATACGGCAGCTCAATCATACCCGGGAGTGTCCATTGCGCCGGTGCAGGGATCTCATGGCACCGCATCATCTTACCAACCCACTGGCTACGAGCCCGTTGGTCAGCCCTTGAGCCAGATCCCGCCACCGCCAACCCAGACGGATGGCGGCTACATGCCCCCTTTCAGTGGCGGTGGTGGCTATGAACCCCCGTCGATCGACGCCAGTCCCCAGCCGGTGCCCGAAATCACGGAAGAGTCGGTGGATGAGCCGCAGAAAAATAAACCTTCCATCATGGATGACGATGACGATGACATTGCAGCTCGTGCAGCGGCAGTCCAGAAGGCCGAAAAAGAGCGCAAGGACCGGGAAGCGGACGAAGCCTTCAAAAAGGCCGCCGAGGAAGATGGTGAGTTCCCTAAAACAGCTATCCAGCAAATTTTACACTTACTGACCTTTATCGTCTACAGCCAAAAAGCCTGGTCCCGCGAAAAAGGGCTGGTTCGGCGGGTGGTTCGGCGGCGGCAAGAAAGAGTCGGACAATGCCCACCCCACTGGAGGTCCCATCCGTGCCAAACTTGGCGAGGAGAACTCCTTCTACTACGACACCGAGCTGAAGAAATGGGTCAACAAGAAGGATCCCAACAGCGCCACCGTGGCTCGTGCTACGCCGCCGCCCCCCAAGGCCATGCCTAGCAGGACCGCCAGCGGTAGCAGTGCAGCACCCTCTCAGGGAGGCGCCTCTCCGATGTTGCCACCGCAGGGTCGGCCTTCCTCGTCTGCGGGTGCTCCGCCGTCGCTCTCTAGCAGTCCTGGACCTTCAACGCTCGCGCCGCCACCTATGCTCGGCACCACTCCCCGATCGGTTTCGACCGGCGCCCCTCTGTCCACACCCCCGGATGCAACTGCTGGACCGCCCCGGCCCACATCGTCGCTGAGCCACGCCAGCTCCATTGACGATCTCCTCGGAGCGCCTACGGCGCGTAGAGGCGCCGGCCCGAGGGGCAAGAAGAAGGGTCGGTATGTGGATGTGATGGCGAAATAAAAGTACAAAAAAAAGAGTATTTCTACCCATTGTTGAGGGATTCTCCGTCGCCCAACCGAGCCATCTTTGGATCCTTCCACTCTTCTCTGCCTATAACTCTTGGAGACGACCGTGATCGCGTTTTGGTTCGAATCTTTCTACTACTATAGAACAGGACCTTGATAGGGCTTGCACCATTTGTGTCTTGCATACTGTGTGCCCTTTGCGAGGGTGCATGGCTGTCTTCTGAGGCGTTCATGCATGCTCTTTACTTTTTCTTTTGCCTCTTATTTTTCATTCTGTACTTTTATACGCCCTTACATACCATGAGCGGTGCTTTTATTTCCCCTTTTCATTTTCAACTTCATCCTCCCCCACCATTCATGTGCTTCCCTCAGTGCGATTATGATCCCCTGTTCTTGTTTCAAATTTCGAAATGATCGACTATTTTGGTCTGATGATTGTTCTGTTTTGGCTTTTGTTTGGCTTCGAGCATGATTTTCTAATCGTGCTCTTTTCACTACTGTAATAATTCATACCTTATACTAGTACCTATTCATGATATAATGTCGATGTCTGCGTGCGATGTGTTTACAGATAGGCTGGGCCGTGCTAGGCGGCGTATGAGTTTATATAGTACTGGGTGAGTTGGCACTGTCAGTCTCGCTGTGATGCTTTCGCATATCGAGGGAATGTACTCACCGTTAGACATGAGTCCTCGCCGTTCCAGCTCCCTGGTAGATAGACGTAGAGGACGAGGGCTGTTTCGTGGATGAAGCCTAGATATCATCCGAATTAGTCTGAATAGATGAACGGGCAAAAGCCGAACGAGTATAGATTTGATGAGGAAACTCACAAGCGACCACCTTCGGACTCAATCTCCCCACACTCAGAACCCGCCCCCAGTCCTTCCCATCTATCCGTACCTTAGCCCACCCAGCCTCATCAGCGGGATCAAACCCGCGCATGCGCTCACTGGGCAGCTGCTCAATTTCGGCCGGCGACAACTGTCCCGGATCCAGCGGCGGGTTGACTAGATCCGTCCAAACGCTTGAGATGCTCAGCGCATCGGTCCCGATCCCCAGCCGCAGCGACCCGTGCATGTTAGCCGACAGCTCCAGCTTAGGCGAGGCGGCCGCGGAGGCCGCCACATTGCTGCTTCCAGCCGAGGCGCGGGCATCGGCCGCCAACTTGGTAAAACGCTCGGAAATGCTCTTCAGCTGGAACAGACTGGGCAGGATGATGTGTACGTCCGGGTCGCGACAGCGCGGCTCGTGCAGTCCCTCCACGGCTGTCTCATGCAGCACTTTCACGGGGACTTCCTGCGTGATGACGGTTTCTCGCTCGCGGGGACCAGACCCCCCGCTTTCGGGCGCGGGCTCTCCTGCACTCGCGGAGATTCCGATCGCGTTGGATCCCGCTGTCCAAGAGGAGGCATGCACTGTGAGCGCTAGGAGTGGAACGTTGCCCTTTTTGGTCAGGCGCAGCTGTGACGTGGTCGCTGTTACGGCAGAGCGTAGGGCGCGGTGCAGGGCGCCGACGGGAACTTCGAGGTTGATGATGCCGGAGTTGGATTCCAGGATGTAGGTGGATTCCTCGAAGATGGCTTCCTGTTACAGAATTGAGTTTCTGGGCAACGGTCTTCTCTACAGGTGGGGGATATACCACTGGGAGTTGGGCCCAGACTTGGGTCCCTTGGTCGGGGATGATCGTGAATCGGACGACGCCATCCTCTAGGCGCATCCAACAGACTTTTCCCAGTGAGGAGAGGGATGCTGTGAGCTCTGTTTGGGGAGGTTGGTCATTTAGTGAGGCTGGAATAGGAATAGGACGGACACGTACTGCTGAACGTGGGAACGTGGGTTAGCTGAGTGCGAAAACGCATGGTGATGTCGCGCCTGCTGTCATGTCATTGCCTGTTGAAAGTGGCCTAGGCTGCGATCATTCCATCGTGAGGTGGAGTCATCGATTGGATTGGATTGATTCGATGTTGGAGCAGAGAACAAAAACGTCCGGCTTGTAATGTGATGGTATGGCGGGTTTGGTCCCGTGATTGGCTGGCATGGAGCTTGTGTGGAGAATTCGATGCTTTCCATTCCAGTCATCTTGATCTACTTCTATCTGGTACTCACTCTACTTACTCTCAATTGATTCCCGATTTCTCTGCTGATATAGGGATATTAGTGTGCTGGGCAAGGGACCAGAGTTAAAAATAAGTTTGGACAAGGATCCTCCAAGGCTGTTGCCTACTCGAGTGTACGGAGAGTATTCTGTACAGTCTAGAACTCAGCACCATGTCAATGCTAGTGACTTCCTGGTCAAGGGCTAGCCCCCTGCCTCAGCACTGCCTCTGAATCGAATCAGGTCTGACGAGCTGCTGGATTTAGAACAGTACCGTCATTGGTAGTTTGTTTCCCTACTGGGCTACGAAACAGTCAACTTTCCATTCGATCCGAAGGTACTCAGTACTGGTCCGATCGACTTTCGGAAACCAAGATAACATTGATCCATTTTTCTGGAATTCGGCGCTCCGTGGACCTCCGGGTGGTTGCGAAGTTCAAACAGAAAAACCAGGTGGTTTCAGTGGCAAACGTCCGATCTGCAAGGGGGGGCCGACGGCTGTCGATCAACGCCTCTTCTCCTTAGCCCTCACGTCGTTGTTATCGTAGGGGGTCGCAGAACCAGAAGATGGTTGAGTGAGAAACATTCGACGCTGTCGATACTGCACCTTCCCGGGTCGGGGGTCAAGCAAGGTTATACCCACCTGGTTCATGGAGTAAACAAAGGCATCATCACAAGATGGCTGGAATCTGTTTGTGCGGAAGAAGACAGACAGTCTCGTGGGAACGGATCGATGAGCTTGGACCTGCGCACATTCAAGACGGATTCCCCCATGCACAGGCCACAGAAACCACAGGAGAATTGGTCACGGAGAAAGACCCCTCTGGCGGCACCAATGTCGTGCAGCAACATCCTGCAATGTCCCCCGACTTCCCCCCTGACAGGTGTGGGAAGATTGGGGATCAGTTGAGTGGAGATGGAGCGAGACAAAGACAGTGTGCGCGCCAAACGACCACCGAGGGGGGAGAAAAATAACCAAAGAAATCAATAAGATACACCAGTCGGACAGCCAGAGCCAATCATCGGGATCACAGTGATCGACCAGAATCAATCTGCTGCAAATATTATTGGGGAGAAATATCGATAGTCTCCTGGACTAATTAGAATATTAATTTACTTGCAGGAGCCCAAGTCCCCATCTGACGCAGAATGGATCCTAAACCTCCCCTTTTCAGGCGATTAGGGACTCCACCGACGCGTCGCGGTGTTAAATGAGGGTGAGTATCAATGGAGTATCCTCATTACGTATCGGTACTCCAGCTAATTAACCCCCGGGAGTCTATCGATCTAGTTGGTGGTGGTAGTGTTCAAAGTGGGTTGCGTTGGACGCTCTCTAAGGCCCCATCAGGAAAGGTCCCAACCCGCTTCAGTTCCACTTGCTGTAAGCAACGGTTCGTTCGCTTCATCTTCTTCTCTTCCTCTTCCTCTTCTCTCCTGGTCGACCTTCTTTCTTTCTTTTTCTTCTTCTTCATCATCGCATGTACAACATCTCAATCAACGACACTCCTTTCTACCGCTGGACCTAGCCGATTTCGCCCGCAGGTCCCTCCTCCACGTCCCGTTTCTAAATTTATCCTCTCGCAGGGGCCAAACGTCTCCCTCGTTGTCCCTCATTCAGCGTGTTCAGCTTCTCCCAGCCAACGAGATTTCGATTTGAGTTCATCCGGTGTGATCTATCCAAACGGTCTCGCCTCCATTGTGTGGTCGGCTTTATTATCCTGCGTTCTTCCCACGTCGATCTCGCCAGACGCGGCTTTCATCGGATTCGCCACGCGATACCTCGGCCTTAAAACGGATCCATCGTACTGTGTCTCATCCTTCTTCTTGTGGGCGCCGGTGGAATCGCGTCTCAGCATGCTATCTTTTCAGCGGTTCACCTTCGCGCTGATGCTTGATACTGCAACTCGACCTCCGTCTTCGAAAACGCGTTAAACCGAGCGCTCTGCCCTCAGCTGAGAATTTCTTCGACATCGCCGTCCTCGGGACTTTTGCCCTCCCACCCTTCTTGTCTCGATATGGCCATCGATCCCGTTGGCATTTGTCGGCCTCCCGTCCAGCTCTCGCCCACAGCGCTTCGGACACCACCCCCACGAGCCCATTCCCCGGACCGATCGTCCGTGCCGAACTACCAGATCCTTGATCCCCTCCTCCGTAGTCTCTCCCCCGAATCCACGCTCAATGCGCTGTCCTCAACCGATGCCGTCCCTCGGAATGAGAAGGCGGCCCACGATATCCTGTCGCGAAGCATCTCCCAGGTCTCTCCAGCCGAACGAGCGCTGGGAATCCGCGCGGCCGTAGCGGCGCAGCATCTTCACCTGTGGTACAGAGAAATCCAAGCGTGGTCCTGGCCGAAGCGAGCCGATGTGCACCTGGGGAAGGGTTTTGTCCCCCCGACCGATTCCGCGGAGGAGCATTATGGGGGTCTTCCGACGGCTGTGGTCGCCGAACACGAAAAGCGCATCGAGGAGATTCGGGACGGCTTGGACGGCTTGGATGTCGATGAGCTGAAAGAACACGTGCTAAATGCCCACATTCCAGCGCGGTCTCGGCCGTCGTCGGCAAACAGTACCGTGTCTGTGCCGCCTCCCCTTAGTTATGTACAACTAAGCGACTTTACCACCGTCATTACCGCCACCATCCTCCGCGTTCTGCCCCTCCTATCGCGCCTGAATAGCCTTCTCGCCACGTGGGATGTGCGACTACTAGTCCTTCGCCAGGTTCCGGGACTCTTGCGAGGTCTGCACCGGGCTCAGTCAGAACTGGAATCAGCCTCGGCGCTGTTAAAGTCATCGGACCCCCCGGGCGAAGAGGATGTCCTGTATTCGAGGGCAAACTACCACGCGAAGCGCGTGGCCTTGGAATCCGCCGTCCTGTCCGCCGGTTGTAGAATGGACCGCCTCCTGGATGCGCTCGAGGGCCGAGAAGACTCGTTACCCGAAAGTTGGATCGATGACCTGGAAGCCATCGAGGCGGATTTTGGGTCTTGGGTCATGGAGGCGGAAAAACGCGCCGTCGAAAATGAATGGCGCCGCATGCTAGCCAACACCAAGAAGGACGCGATGCAGCAGGAATTGAGCCAAGGCTCGCCAGCTAAATCGATAAGCAAGGGCGAAGATGCGGAGCGATCAGTCCGTGCTGCTTCCGAGCCTGTCTTGCAAACCGCACGCCCTTCCCATATGGAAACCATCGTGGAAGAGGTTCTTAGCCCCGTTGAATCTGTTCGATCCCGCCAATGTCATGACTATCTGAGTGTTGCGCCTGCCCCAACCACGGTCGCTCCTAGTGTCCTCGAGACGCCCCCTTCTCCGTCCGATCGTTGCGCGCCCCAGCCCTCTCTCGAAGACCCAATCACGAAGCCTCGAGAATCTCCCGCTACTTCTGAGCCTGTGGTGGATAATGACGCCATTGCCGATTCTACTTCTGTGACTTCCAGCTCAGATTCCATAAATCCCAGATCCGTATCCTCCCCGCAATCACATGAAGACCCTGCTATGAAGGAGGAGTTAGATCTCTCAAATGACGACACCGATGCTACTAATTCCCCTACAACAAATACTCCAGACTCAAGGCCCACTGGTCCCGAATCATTTCAAAACGAGCCTCGATCCCGAGAGACGCCATCAAAGCCTGTCGTTCACGAAAGGGATACCACTCCCTATAGTCCTCTCGTGTCTGATGCTGCCCCGGCCTCGGAATTATCTAGAAGTCAGCAGTCCCCGGTTGATCGGAACACGACCGTTGTCGCGGAGCTTGCACCTGTCCTGGCGAATGAAGACAATGCGACATCGGATGATTCTTCGTTGCGTAACGAACCGGCGCATGTGGAAGAAACTTCGCTGCCAGTCGAGACGTTTTCCGAAGACTCTGTCTGCAGCATGAATGATGATCAGTCATCGTCTTCGGATCCCAACGAAGCGGAACGTACATCGGATCTTTCTCAATCGCAGCCTGCTGTCCACAGGGAACCATCCTTGGACCAGGAGGACTATGTCAGAGACTCCGAACACCAGTCTCCGCTGGAAAGTACTTGTCTTCCAGCGGTGCAGGATCAGGTCCCTCCCACCATTCAGACAGACGCTCATAGCGCAACGCAACATCCCGACAGCATCGCGAATGCCCTGCCTTCTCCCACGGCGGTTAAACCGGAGACTACTCCAGAGTCAGCCGCGTCTGGAATGGCCCAGGCCAAGGACAGTCCTCGTTCGCTCGATGATGCCCCCAATCAGTTGCATGTCGCATCGACCGACGAGGCAACAGCGCTGCCATTTGTGACAGCCCGAACCACGCCCGGTGAGGCTCGTGCCATCAACTTGGGCGCTCAGCGCTCTCGTCTGTCTGTTACTCCCCCGCCTGAGCGTCACCAGAACTCGGTGTCCCTAGTTGATGACAAGAAACATGAGACCGCCGCAGGCGACGGGCATGAAAATGAGGCTCCAAACCGGCGACCCAAGAAGCCACTGGAAAGCCCAATCAAGCTATCCACAGCCCGGCCAGATCGTACGAGTCTTGGTCAAAATATCAAGCCTCGCGTGCGGCGGGAGTCCAACATCTCCGCTGGGACCTCCGATTATCCCTCGCTGGTGTCTAGCCCAGACATTCGGGAACCGCGGACTACGTCATCAAACGGAACCCCTCTTGCTTTACAGACACCCCCCCACATTCAGCCTAACTATCGCGCAACTAGCCCTACGCCGCCGAAGAGTGCTCACACGCTGCGGGAAGACCGCCTGGTCCGCCTCGACAGCCAAAAGAGGACCCCCCCGACGGCATTCAAACACAACAGAGCATTGAGTCTTCCCCTTGAGCGCTTCATCAACGAAAGCATGAATTTCGACTACGACCCCGAGAGTGGTGACGATGCGGACACTTCTCCAGCCGCTCAAAGAGCCACCAGAGCGTCTGCTGATCTGTCTTTCCAGACGGAGCGACGGCCAGTAGACTCACCCCACCACAGATCGTCGACACCGACAAATGGTCCTCGGCGTCCCGCCAGAGGTCGTCTGGAGCCTCCTCTTGAAGAGACTACGGTGCAAGGATCGGTTAACTCCCACAAAAAGCTCCTCAATCCCTGGGAGCACAATAAAAACGCCTTTGTTAAGAATTCTTCATCTGAGGCCACGCACCCAGAACCCGCCGTTGCCAAACACTCGACTACCAAAAAATTGCGGAAACAGCTGACAGCTCACCCAAGCCTTGAAAGCATTGGTTCATACAAAACTAAATCGCGGCCCGCTGAACAAGCCCCGGCGTCTTCGGCACGCAAGACAGGCTCCCGATCCTCCACTCCCACCAACCAGTTGAGGAAACCACGAGACCATCTGGATGAGAAGATCAGCTCTATCCTCACAACCATCCCCACACGTATTCGTCTGATGTCGTCCGAAGAGCATCCCAATGATGGCCGTTCCGCGAGCTCGTCCCTGCCCCTGAAGGCAAGAGAGCGCTTCCGTTCCGTGTCCCCTTCGGGCCCTCCATCGCGCAGCAGCACCCCTGCTCCCTCCCTCATGCTCACGCCAGCAATGCCACGCAGAAGACTGTCTCATGCGCCGGAAGAGGGCTCCGTGAAACTTTATCATCTCCACCAGAACGGAAAGTCTGCCCCAACCAAGCTTTTCGTGCGAGCTGTAGGCGAGAGCGGCGAACGTGTGATGGTGCGCGTTGGGGGTGGATGGGCCGATCTAGGTGAATACTTGCGAGAGTATGCGATCCACCATGGCCGTCGCCACGTCTCAGAGACCCCCCGCGTCGAGGTTGAAGGGATATCCTCTCGCGGTTCCACTCCAACTGGCTCCCCAGGGAATAGATACAGTCCTAGTGGCAATGGCCGCACCACCCCCTCTCGACCGCGATCCGTCATCAGCAACCGGCCCGCATCGTCGCTAGACGTCCGCAAAAAGCGGCGTCCGTCTAACGTCTCGGACGTCACCGATTTCAGGGCCGCCAGTGCCGGGGAAGCCCTGAACCTGTCCTTTTCTCCCATGTCGTCTGTCTCGCGCAGACGACTCTCCGTGTCTTCGAACGCTTCCTTCGGCGCTACATCCTCTGTAAGCGAAGCCCGCCATGGCTCTCCTGCGGTTCCCCTCGGGCTCGCGGGCCCGACACCCCGCTCCAGACAGGTCTCGATGACTCCTGAGAGTGAGGCGTGGGTAGAGGACGTCCTTGGACAAGCCCGACGAAGCTCGTCCCTGAAGCCTTCCAGATGCAATGCACCACCCCAGGAGTCAGAACCCGTCCCAGTCAAAGTCCCGAGTTTACCAAAGTCTCGAAGCATCAGTGACATTGGCAAAGCTGGATCAAGCCGACGAATCGCATTGCGAGGGCTAGGCAACCGGTGATTCCGACATCTTTACATTTCCCCTTTATCATCCACCAATACCTACCTCCGACCTCTCTTCCCTCAGTATCCTCCTCCATTCCTCATCTTTTTTTTTCCTCTCCGATTATTTCTGTGTCTACTAGCCATGGCGTTTGCTGGTCACAGGCTGTTCAGGTGAACCGTATTACTACTACATTGGGTTGCGAAACAGCGGGTTTTCTTTTTCTTGCATCTTTAGTCTTCTTCATTCTCGGCAGGAAAGGAGCATTTTGCATGGCAGCCTCCCTTTTTTTCCCTTCCTACAGTTGGACTTTGATCTTTCTGGATTCTTGTCGCATTTTTTTAACTTTTCTTGTTGCATTTTCTTATTGATCGAGTTACACACTGTCGCATCCTCTAGCATTATCGGAAGTTACTGCTTGTCCTGGGACTGGGATCATACTTTTTTTGCATTCATATCTGAGCAGCATCATTTTTTCTTTGGCTGGGGTCATTTTGGGTTGATTCTTCTTTTTTTTTTTTCTTTTCAAAACTGTTCAGATATTTAGATACCCTCCGGTTAGGCTTTGTGTTCATTGCACCTTTTGGTTTACTTATTATTTTGCTTTTTGTTTCTTTCTCGGTAGTTAGTAGGTGGACTAGGGATCTAGCATAAATTTGCGGGGCTAGCGATGCATAGCAATCAATGAATCCAGACATGAACATTCGAATGAGTTATTTTCTTTAGTTTATCTGTTGTAGTATGAACTGAATACATTTCATATCATCTTGTATCAGGTAGTCACTCGATTAGTTACTATGACTTAGCAATCTTAAGACAGCTTCGTCATCTGTCTTGTCTTGGTCATTGTGCCATTTGGTCATGGCTGAGAGGGGAAGAGAAAGAGGAAGAAAAAGGCATGGTCACATTAATATTGGGAAAGAGAAGAAGACACGAATAGGTGGTCAGTAAGTGTAAATATCATCAACCAATAACGCCGGTGTCCCAAATAGAGTCAAATCCTGCTTTACCGCCCAGTAATAAATATCCTAGACTTCATTCGTTTCAAAAGGGAGAGTATCGAGGCACGCTAAGATGGTTCCGAAGACGGAGTCTTCCAGAAAAAGTCCTTGCGAAGTAAGTCTCTGAGCTCCGGCGAGATGACCGCTGGCTTTGATCCGTCCTTCGGACCTGACCTGGAAGGCCCCGCGTTGACGCTGCTGCTGTGGCCGGTGGTGCGGGGCGGTCGCTGAGGTGACTTGCCTTTGTTGGATTCGGCGGGGGCGTCTTGGATGGGTTTCCGTTGGTGGGCGGTCGAAGGGGCAGGGAAGTTGTTTTTCTTGTCGATGGCTTGGACGGCGCGCTCGAAACGGTGGAAGATAGACTCCGCGCGGGTGAGGATCGGGACGAGTTCCATGGTGTTGGAGAGTTCGTTGACTTAGCATTGAATGTTAGTGAAATTTGATACCGCTGCTTGCTGATTGTATGCCACTTACTGTATTTCAGGACCTCGTCAAAGTGCTTCAGATGATCCATGATTACGTCGCGGTGCTTCTCGAGGATTGCCATGGCAATGAATAGGTGAAAGCTGCTGGAGAGGTAATCGGTCCATAGAGCCTCCCAGAGGCGCAATACGTCGCACCATTCAAACTCGCGCTTGTACCAGACCAGGAACATGCGGAAGAAAAAGAAGAAGTTGGTGCTGTCGGCAGACTGGAGGTGAAGATAGAGCTGGGGATCCATGAGTTGAACAAGGTGGTCTAGGGTCAGAAGTTGCGCCCGCATGCCGGACTGGTCGCGGAGGAAGTTGCGCTCCTGTTGGACGGCGTAAGTAAAGTGTTTGAACAAGGCAGTACATTCGAAGCCATACCATCCGGTCCATGAATCCGACAAATCCCCAGAATGCCACGGCATCGTCCTGCATTACCGCGTATATAGGTGCCAGCATATCACTCATGCCTTGTACGTAGCCAAGGTCAGGATTGTATTCATTATACGTCAGGAGCATATCTTTCATCTGTTCAAGGTGCACGTTGGTTCCGACATCTGCAAATGGAGAATCGGGATCGGGATGGGGAATGTCTTCCCCTGCGAAGAGGGGGATTGTACGATCGGTACGGTGGACATCCTTCTCTGTGAGATCCGGTTATTAGCATTCAGTACAGACTCCAGCGCTGACGATCTTACCGATGCGATTTCGTTGTTCCTTCCAATAGTCGTGCTGCTCCGGATCAGAAGAACCATCGATCATCCTCTCCCACCAGGCGCCCTTCAATCGAATGTACTCGTCGCGCTTGGAATTCATCAACGCTTGCCGCTCGTCGCGGCTACTGTCCCACGTGTACACCCCGAGAAGGAAGAGCCAGGCTTCTTTCCGGACCCCATCATTAGGTTCTAAACCGCCGTGGAAGATTCTCTCTTTGACCTCGTCCACTGTCACTTGCAGTCGGCCGGTATTCGGATCAAAAAACTGCACCCATTCCTCCATAGTAAGAACCTTGCGCCGGTCGTTGATCGACATCATCCCCGTCTCCATGTCTAGAATCTCGAAATCGCCCACCGAGCTGTTTTCCATCTCCAAGACATCTTTCGCGGTCCATATCCGCTGGTTCTTCTCCCGCTCACTCTGCTCTGAGAGGCTCATGGCCCACCGGGCAAGATAAATCCTAGCGCTGTCGAATTCATCCTGTAGCGTTTGGATCTCTGGGGTTTTCATCAGGCGACGGACCTGCGGTGGGATCATTTGATTATCGGCAATACCGTTGGCGGTTCGTCGTGTATATGTGGTAATCTTGCTTAGCTGTTCAAGCACCTTCCACCGGGTCTCCTTGAGAGCCTTGGTAAAAGGGTCCATCCCTGCGTCGTGTGGAGTGCTTCCACTCGGTTGGGTCGGGTTCGCAGGCTGGCCCCGACCTGTTGCAACCGATCCACCAGCCGTGAGAGGTTTCCCAAACGAAAGTCTGTCCTCGTCGGACGGGTTGATCAGGTAGACGCTATGGTCAACGGCAGAGCGCTGTACCTCCACATACTTCCGCAGCCAGCGCAAGACCTCATCGCCGCCCCAAAACACATTGCCGTCTTCCCCGAATGGGTCAAAGTTCTCTCGGGTCCTCCTCTTCTTTTGTAGAATAGTCGACTCGCATTCTGTGTCATGGAAGAAGAGCGCGGGAAAGCTATCGCCGGCCCGGGTATTGATCACGAGGCTACCGAACCACCACCCCAGACTTGGAGGACGCACGAGCAACGAGTAGACTTCGGATAATGGCACGGCGAAGGCATAGAGACCAATAGTGTCCCTGTAGTTCGTCGTCGTGGGAAGTGGAGGCACTAGGTATTTTTGTCGCGGCTCCGAGGAGTCATCTGACAGATCAACCTTGACATAGGTACTGTACGCATCGCCCAGGGAAGACTCGGGAACCCAGGCCAGGAGATAGGAGGAAGTATCAGAATTATTTGGCGGACTCGCAGATCGAGACTCCCCTAAAGGAGCCAAGGGTCTTTGTTGGATGAGGGCGATAAACCCGGGGATGTTATCTTTGGAGGACGGAGTGGGATGAACATAGACCTATACAATTCGAACGGATTGATCGGATTCATCAGTAAAGGCGCGCGGAAGACAGGATCGAGCTGCAGAGCGTACCTTGCTTTTTGAGAATAAGAGCTTCACTCCTCTGCGGGTCTGAAGATGGGAGATTGTGCTGTAGTCACCTTCATCCTGGTCACTGATGTCGTAAAATGACGCAGTGGGGGACGCCGGAGGGGTGTATTTGGGCCCAGTACCGGCCATACTGGAAGCGAGAGATAAGTGAGAAGGATGCTCGGTCTGTCGAGGGATCAGAAGTTGTTCATTCTATAAAAAATCTGTAGAGTACGCGAGGCGGTGTTGATCCAAATCGGAGGAGAGATGGAGAAGAATGAAGGGAAGGAAATGAGGCAAAACGACGTAATCCGGTCGATCATCTTATCCTCACCTGATTGCGGCATGTGATCTCCGCTCTTATCAGTCTGTCTGTTCAACCTCAACCTGGTCAACAATCTACCACTTGTTGTTTAAATGATAGGGATGGTACAATGAATGACTTAGTTTTGGTGTTGGATCAAGAAGTCTTCCGGAATATGGAGGTTCTATCGCGAGATCCATTCTTTGCCACCGGTCAACATAATGAGCCTCCAGGCAGCAGCAATCCATCCATTGATCCACCAGTTACCAGTCACAGCAGCCAGTACGCTTTTCCTATTCTTCTTACCCTGGAAGATCCAAGGTTTTGGTCCAGGGTTTTGATGTAGTAGGATCAACTGTGGACTATGTAAAATGGCTTGGTGGCGGACATCCAAGCCAACACCAATAGTCTGAAGACTAGAACAACCATCAAGCAGCTCAACTCAACATCGATTAATCTTCTGTGAGAGATTATCTGACTATTACTGACCTGCGTGGAAGGCAGTTGAACTTCTTCGTGTACGTTGAACTTGTGATACTTATTTTCATCCATTGACCAAAACCTAGAGAATGACGTCCCTGTTCAGCACTCAGCAAGGCATGTGCATACTTGATCAATAGAACATGCGAAACCTTTCAGATTATATCGATACTTCAGAGTGAGTACGCCTGCGCATTTGCATGGCTTGACACAGGTCTTGTCGGATATTATGTCAATGCCTTGACGAGAAAATCATGTCTTGCTATCGGGACTCATAACCAGTCTGATACTTGGAGCAACCTAGAGTATCACGAACAAGACCACAGTCATCACTCGCACTAGATTTACAGGGCTTAGTCTCCAATTCCCCAAGAAAGCTCCCGGACCATAATTCATGCTGTAATGTCGACAGAACTGCCTACATCGGTAGGTCTATCATGGCCCGTATCACACGCCTTGGATAGGTTCCAACTTCCAACCAGCGCAATATATCGGTTTGAAGGTGAAAGTAAACTTAAGCTGTTTCCTCTCAGGTTTGATCAATCCATCAGTCACATAAGGATGTTCGGGATCTTGTAACCGCTTCAGGAAATGATACGCCTGGCCAATGGGAGATCTGGATGACCGGGATGGCCTCAGACTGATCTACAGGAGATAGATACCGGGCCGTTGGACTATATATATTAGTCGACATTACAATGGACTCGATTGTTTACTGCCTGGTCATACAAGCAGACTTGTCAATGTGTTTCAGTCTGAATCTGCAGTTTGAGATAACTGACCACCATGTCTGAGCTCGCCCGCACCCTGCCAGCATCCTGGTACTGCAGCTCCCAGCTGTATCAACTCGAAAAGAGAGCGGTCTTCATGAAGGTCAGTCCATCTAATCCGAAGTTGTACGGTAGATGTTCCTTCTCATGCGTCTATAGTCATGGTATCTTCTGGGCCCAGTGACCAGGTTCTGCAAAGTTGGAGAGAAAATCGAGTATGAAGTGGCTCAGCAGCCCATCGAGGCCTTCCGAAGCTCTGGAGAGACACCTGTTCCAGGCGCAGAGGAAATCCAGGTGGTGTGCGCCAAAACGGTGGGTACAGTGAAATTCTGAATGCGCTGGTCTGACGAGGAACCGCAGGAGAAACCCCGTCGCTTCCACATCACAAACACCGGCCTGGTCTTCACAACGGTGTCAGATGATGCTCCCAGCTTCGATGAATTCTTTCCCGACCTGGAGCCGCTGCTGTCCAAAGTGGATTTTACCCGGCTGCCCTATAAGCGGAGCATCAGCTACGAGGGGCGTTTCAACTGGAAGACCATGGTAGACGGCTACCAAGAGTGTCTTCACTGCCAGTACACGCACCCGTCCTTCTCGGTCTACTACCCGCCGACGACGTACATGGTGCACAACCACAAGAACTTCTCGCAGCACATTGCCGATCCCAACAAGGCGGACGACGGGCTGTTCCTCTACTTCTTCCCCAACTGCACGCTGAATGTGTACGGCGGGGGCATGTCGTCGTTCCGCGTCTGTCCCACCGAGGACCCTAATGTGACCCGCATGGAGTTCGACTACTACCATAAGGAGTCGGGCGACAAGTTCGAAGACTACTATAAGTTTGTGCGCCAGGTGGCCTTGGAGGACTTCGAGCTGTGCGAAAAAGCCCAGCACAATCTTGGAATGGGAATCTACACCGAGGGCATACTCAATCCGGAGAAAGAAAATGGCGTGTCTCGTAAGTATATCTTTGATTTCTCGTTCATTTCTTTGCCATAACCTTTTCTTTGAGACTATGTTGGATTATATCAACTAACGGATGAAGACTATCAAAACCGTGTCTTTGAGATGGTTCGTCAGCAGTACACGGAGGATCAAGAACGCCCCGAGGCTGACCAGTTGACTGTGTCAGAGACGTATTCTGGACACGTCAAAGCCGCTGCGTGATGGACAGATAAGCCCGAAGGAATCATGGGGGTCACGATTACTTAGTCTTTAGTCATGGGAGTAGCACTGTAACTATCTTTTCAGGTCCTAGATATGATAAGAATGAAAGCAGTCATTTACCAGATTGATATTGGAACGATACATACTAGGTAGACAGCATCGATTGAGCCAAGTCCCCCAGTACAACACTTGAGCAAAACGAACACTGGAAAACCCCTCCCGATCTGGCAACACGATGAGGGGCAATTACCATTTGCTGTCTCCAACTCTCCCGGTGGGCCCATAACTGTCAATGCCATTCACGGCGGAGATGATGATCTGCGCCTTTGGTTGAGGTCTGATATCGCTCAGCATCGTCGAGTTGCTTAAAGCTCCCCTCATGCCCACGACGTATCTTCCACACTCACGACCATCGACGTTCACAGTAGCTCAAGACCAACAAGTCCCTCGGTCAATCGGTGCAACCCCTTGATATTCCATTCATCATGGATAGCTTGAATGTCACTCTGCTGGCTTTCCTGGCGGGATTTATATTCCTCTATCAGCGATGGTCACGGCCGATACTCTGGAGCACCAAGCAGCTCATTTCCAGAAAGCCTCCATCCACACGACCTACCACAAACACATCAGCATCGTCAACCCACGGGGTATTCAAAGAGCCCGACTTCCCATCCGACTGGCTCGTAGGCACCCAGACCTTCGAGCTAGAGAAACGGGCCATTTTCAGCAAAGTATACCCCCTCCATCACCAAAAAAGGAGAAGAAAAGAAAAGAAGCACACAACCTCTCAGCCCAAAGCTAACCCAAACGCACAGACCTGGATCTGCCTCGTCCACCGCAGCCGGTTCCACAAACCAGGCGACTACCAGTCGTTCTCCCTAGCAGGGTTTCCCCTCTTCCTCATCCTCAGCAAAGACGGCGAAGTGCGCGCATTCCACAACGTCTGCCGCCACCGCGCCTACACGATCACCAAGAAAGAGAGCGGGTCGACGCCCGTGCTGGGCTGTCACTACCACGGCTGGAGCTACAATACCTTCGGCGCGCTGATCAAGGCCCCGCACTTTGACGGCGTGCGGGGCTTTGATAAGGCGCAGAATGGTTTGTTCCAGATCAGCGCGTTTACGAGCGGCTCTGGGTTTGTGTTTGTTAATTTGGAGGTTGCGACGCCGGCGGGGGGGCCTGATGTGGGCCTGTTGGATGCTTTTGCGGGGAGGGGTGGGCTTGTGCCGCGGAATACCTCTCCTTGGGTGGCTGGGGAGTCTATTGAGGCGGGATTTAATTGGAAATTGGGAGGTGGGTCTTTGACTACTCTGCTTGTTGGGAGCTACGGGAGTAAGTATGTGCTGATACTCGGTGCTACGTAGTCAAGTTGCTGCACTTGGACACCCAACGGCTGGAAAAAAAGGTTGCGCCTACGCCGTGGCTGGCCAACTTGGTCACACGCTTCCAAAGACGACAGGACAATTGTGTGCTGTTCCCTACTGCGTCGGTTGCTACGATTCACGGCACGCGATGGTGGTATACGATTAATTTGCTGCCGCTGGCTCCGGAGAAGACGGTGGTCCGATGCGACCTGCACTGCTCCGAGCGCACGAGCAAGGCGCAGGTTGACAAGGCCATGGAAAAGCTAATGTTACTGCTGCAAGAGAACATTCGAGAAATTGAAGTAGAGTACCGGACGCTTACGGATGCCTCTCGGTATGGTTTTGAACCTTTCCGTCCAGTGAGAGATGCAGTCAGCTAATCCGGGTGTTGCTCTAGAGAGTCTTACATGATGTCTGTTTCTAGGGAGTCAGAAGGTGAGCTTTGACACAGTATAGTCGGTCGATAAATCGCGTCTGAACTAACGCTATGCATACTAGACCATCAGACGGCGATCCTCGAGCGTCTCCAGGAGCACGTTAAGCTAGAGAAGGCCCAAGGCAATCCAATCCACCCGGCCATGCGGAAACGGCGTGAGAATCCACAATTTGAGCAAGCTGAGCAGCGTGAGTGAGCTGAGTCCGTGTTAACTGACGAGATGCTGATATGACGTTGTTGTAGTCTGCCAGTCTCTGGACTGTGTGGCCAGTGCAGGGACGGACATATCCTCTAATGCCCTGGCTTGGTGACATCATTCGGCTTCGTATCTCAATACCTAGTACAGTATATATTTTTGTCTCAACTGGATCATGAAACAATGCCTTTATTTTTGTCAAGGACAGATATCCAGGACATAACCTATATATATCTTCAGAGTTCGTATACAATATATTGCAGACAAACAGACCGTGTTTCTCGTACATCCACCATCAAGGACCATCTAACCTCGTATCTTCACACCTCGACGAGCTTCTAGCCACACCTAATACTATAGAAAGTATCCATAAATAAACCTAATCCCCGTTCTTCATCTAAAAAAAAAAAGCCCCCACCACCATCCACCGTCTTCGTCAGCCGGCGAATAATCCTCAATCTAAACGGCCCAATCGGATCCCCACCTACAGTAGTACCTTCAAGAGGGCCGCAGCATTCTCGCGTGAGCACTAGACGAACATGTGCGTAAGTATCGCTTTTGCCGATCATCCGAGCTTTGTAAGGTTAGTTAATAAGTTGATGTCGGAAAATACAATCTAGAGGGTGTATCCGTAGATGGTCTGTCGTTGGCCTTTACCCGTTACTTTAATTCTCTTTTGTTGGAAGATACGAGAGATGGGGCTATAATCACTAGGTACTATAATCACGGCTACTACCTTACTTTTTAAAGTAGGTATGACATGATCACTATACCTATGCTACTACGCGAGATATTAGTGTATTAATCATTACTACATCGTGCGAATTGATTATTGATTACCTGATTCGGTTGGGCGATATGACTGACCCCTACCTGTTTCAAAGATGCTTTGTCCAGGTTTGTGCTGGATTATGGGCGTCTTTCATCCTTTCTTCCTGCTGTGGGTTTCTCGATGAGGTGAAGGAGGGGAAGGATTTTCACGCCCGGTAGAGTTGCCCGAGAGTGCTGCGCTGCGCGGTGCTGTCAAGTGGTGGAGGGAGGGAGGGAGGAGGTGAGGGAGGGAGTAATGACGAGTTTCCTTGACGATCCTGTCTGTGGTGGTCAGGTCAAGTGGTCAGAGGTGCATATTGAGTAGTATTATATGATTTTGTCCGGGTAGGCCACGAAGTCATTTGTAACATCTTGCCATGTTGGTCTCTCCTTTACCTGTGTGATTAGATTAATTCAGTTTTTTTTTTTTTTTTTTCTCTAACCGCGTTGATTGGCAGTGGCGACTAGACTGGGAGGATGGAATCCTGGCCGATCGTGAACATCACGATAGCCGGTTGGACCTAGGTTTTGGACCGGGCATTGTCGGTGTCGAAAACTTGCCCGGTCCGACGGGGCAACAGGAGTATTCAATTTCGGAATTACCTTCTGAGAACTGATAACTGATTTCGGTGGTTGGTGTTTTGCATTGTGCTCCACGATAGAATCAACCGGATAAAGTCGACAGTGATGCCATCCCGGACATGATGATGTTGGTTTTTGGGGCCATGTCCAAGCCAACTTGCCCCCACCCCCATTCCACGATTATGACACCCTCCATAGCATCAGCCGTGGGGCGGGTGGTGTTGATTCCGTCGTCTGCCTTACCATTTCGCTTGCTCTGATTTACTTCCTCTGTTAGCTCTTATGGCTGAGGTCAGACACAGCCCTATTTAGCTCCGAGCTATCATCATCCCCCCCGCCCTCGTTTATACTGCGATGATCGGTAGCATTTTGATCATGCCAAAGAGAATCTTGCTCGAGACGGTGCCAAGCGCTACTCCGGAGGGAGGTTAGTGTCGGGGCCAAAAAACAGCCCGAATCTTGGAGCGTAATTTTTTTTAATTCCCATTCTGCAGAAGTCGAGCAATGTCCGACTGGTCATGTTCCCCACACTGATTTGCATGAGGGTAACGTGGAAGTTGCTGGTCTGAGCTTACCGTGTCCACCCCGTGCATAGCTAATCAGTAACCACAGTGATGTGAACTGGAGTCATTTGGGGCATTGGAGAGATCGAAATACAGAAGAGTAAGACTCCTAACCAATGCCCAGAATATGTTTGTCAAGTAGATACCTCGCCACACGGGCAGTGAACCGGAGAGCATGGATCATTAGAGAGTCCAGGCGTTCTTGCACAGTATACAGTACAATCTGCATCAAACACAGCCCCCCCAACTGGGCGCCGTAAATTACCCTTCCCGTCTCGCCCCCAGACCCTAGGATCAGCTAGCGTGCGGTTTGGTGTGGTTAGCGCACCATTGTGCCCTTTTGGCCGACTCGGGAGGGATACGATGTCGATCCAAGCCGAATGGCGCAGCATGAGGACACATGGTGGGTCCTCCATAGCTGACTGCAGTGATTGTGTATGGCCGGGCCGGCGCATTCTCGAATTCCCAAAAAAAGAACTCCACTGCAGGGGGTGGGGAAGCGACAGCTGCTCATGGGCGTCCACCATGCATCAAACCGGGAAAACATCTCGGATCTATTAATAAATCCGGGGATTTGCGATGAATTGAATGGCATCGTGTATCAACCACGCTTGGGAATCATGAGCGCTGAACTCGACCGTCTCACCCGTCCGGAAATTTCCCATACTCTCCCGGATCCGAATCTACCATTCCATGCATGATCAATAGAAAGGATGGAGGATGAGGTGTGATTTGACGGGATACGGTCTAGTTTCATGCAGGATGACAGCAAGTGGTTTAGCACCCTGAGCACCCAGGCACTGAGGCCACCAGGCATGGCCCGCTTTTCCGCCCCCCCTGAAGAAGTTCAAAGACTTCAATAGTTCATGGTTGGGGGCCATACAGGAAAAGGAAAATGCCCACGACACTATCTTCTGACACCCTGGAATGTGGACAAACTCGTACGCTTGGACCAATCAGTCTGCCTTCCGGTGAATGCTCTCCGCGTCCGAGCATCATTGCCACTATACTAATTCCAGTACAGTTCTTAGTCCCAAGCCCTTGCATCGTTGGCTCGGGATGGATTCAATTCCCTCCCTGCGAACGAGGATCTCACTGCGCCCCACGACGTCTAGGTTAGGTCCGTTATGACTTTACCTACTTATCGACCAAGCCTTCCAGCTCTGATTATAGTCAGAGCAGGATGGTACGTGTCCCGAGTTCTTTCTTATACCCAAGTTACCCACCGGGCCTCTGGCCTCCCCGTTTGAATTCCTGAGCTTCTTCCTCTTCATCCTTCCTGTCCATGATTAATGGTGGTGCCGTTCCTTGACTGGGTCTAATCTGTTCTAGTCTCTCGGTCTCGTGGATCCTTTCTCCGTCGTGATTCATCGTCCGAACGCCCATCGTAGGGAAACAAAGACCACCCAAATCATCGCCCCGGTTCGAGGAACCTTCTCCCGTCAGCCTCCCGACCATTGGAGCCCTACATCAGCCAGAAGCCCTTCGTCAGGGACAGGTAGCAAGGCATACTGCGACGGTGGCATTGTCGTACAAAGCGAAGAACAATAAAAAAAAGAAAGAACACAGCTCCGACACCCCCTGGAAGTAGCGTGGAACCTATGCCTATCGCAGAACACCGATTTCTTACATCAATGACATGAAACAAGACGACGCTGGTACAAAGAGAACGGCATAGCCTGGGGTTGCATCCTCGATATCCTCCTGCGATTCCGTTTCTTTTGAACCAGGCCCAGAGTCTTGACCCGCCCACCATGAGTATCTCAAAAAGGAGCATCTCGGAAAGGAGTATCTCAAACATGAGCGTCCTGTCATTGCCCGGTTCGACTCAATCAGAACCGGTGATGCGTCGGAAGTCGTCTCTCGCCGTTCATAACATGTCCAAGGACGACTCCTGGCTCATTGATAACGAAATAGGCGAAGGTGGCCGCTCGATCTCCCCGGTGTTGCTGTCGGATAAGCAGCCTCTAGCAAGGTCGGGGACGCGATGGCGCCGCTTCTTCCCGGAGCTCACATTCCAGCCGCATGTCGGGATGAAGTCCCTCGCTCACGTCACGACGCAGGTCAGCTCGCAGGATATCGACCACAGTTACCACGAACCCATCAATTCGGCCGGCCTGACCTGTTCTTCCGTCCTCTCGGACGATGTCCCCGACAGCGCGTCGTCGTGCTACAGTCGCCGCTCGTCGGTCACCAGTGTGGAATCAGAGCCGACTCTGTCGCCCAGCAAGCCGCTGCCAAATTCGTATACGGTCTTTTCACCCACCTTGGCCGGCGTCTTCGATGACCCGCCCAACAGCCGTCGCCGCTCGACGAGACGGCGCTCCGACTCCTCGGCCTCCGACCCAGTGGCCGTGCGACGGTCCATCTCGCGTTCCCACGCCAGATTCAATTCGCCGGAGCTAGCCGCAAAGCCGCTCCCTCCCCTCCCCGAGTCATCCGAAATGCCTCCCTTGACCATCCGACCCAAACACCGACACCCGTCCTCGTGGCCCACCTCCAGTCGCCACGGTGATCCAGTCGCCGCCGCCCGCACGCAGTCGGAAGGAGATATCCCAACCGGTCACCGGCCCACATTCTCCCAGGCGGCCCGCGAACTGGAGGACACGCTGGCGGTGCTGACCGACCACGAACCGGATCGAAACCCCTACCCCCAGAAGTTTGTGTACGTCCTGGACGGACCCTTGCAAATTAGTCGGTTCAACACAGACTTGACGCCGAGCCGGCCGGCCCCAAAACCTCCCGTCAACCAGCCCCAGAACCAAGTCAAGGTCACGCGCAAATCCAGCTCGGCGGAAACTGTTTCGCCGGCCAAGAAACGCAACCCGTCCTCGCCTTCTTTCAGCGTCGCTGTGCGACGACTCAGCAAAAAGTATTATCGTTCGCATGTGCGCTCGACCAGCAGTCCGGGGCCTCAGACCCAATCCATCCAGGAAGAGGACGATCTGGCGCCAGCGGAGACGACGAACAAAGAGGCGGGCGGCGAGACGACAAAGGAAGCGGACAAGGGGCTGAACCACGAGGCCGCCACGATGTCCGGATCCGTCACCCCAACAGCCCCGTGGAGTCCGGACTCCTTGTCGCACGCGCGAGAATTGCGTCTCAAGCTCCCCCGCCTGGACACTCAGGCCCTCCCCGCAAATGGACGAACGGGGGAAAAGTCCGACCAGCCCGTGCTGGAACCCAAGGAGGAGGTCAACCAACATCCCCCACCGTCAGAGTTCGATGACAGAGAACGCCCTGTCGGGACAGACAGGCCCATCGAGTCGGTGCAGTCAATGTGTTCGGAAGAAAAGATCTTCGTCGCGTCCAGCAAACAGGTGCCCGGGGAGTCTGGGAGCGGGAGTGGCCGTGTGGAGATGGACTATGCCATGGGCCTCGAAATGGTGTACGAGCTGGATGCCGGCGGTCCCACCCACTCCGCCCTTAAGGGTTCAACAATCTCTCCGGCAGTCGTTGCATCCCGCCGGAGGCTCACAATGCCCGCCCGCATCCCTGACCAGGTGGCGCTTCAGTTTCTCGAGAACGTGCGCTCTCTCGATGACCTCTTTCACCTCGCGCTCGTATCCAAGCAATTTTACCGGGTGTTCAAGCAACGCGAGCTAGACCTGGTCAAAAATGCCCTATACACCATGTCCCCGGCCGCGTGGGAGCTCCGCGAAATGAGTCCTCCCTGGGCTAGTGAGTGGCATATCCTGGTCGACCCCGATGCCCCGGTGCCGGATTATACGCCATCCCTCTACCTGCAGCGGTACGGACAGGATATCTTTACCTTGGCCCAGCTCAAGTCCCTCCTTCTCGCACGGTGCGGCGGTTTCCTCCGGCCCGAGACGGTCCAGGGGCTGACGGGGGCGAGCGATGCGCGCGCCGCGGCCGTGGACGACGCCTTTTGGCGAATCTGGACTTTCTGCCGACTTTTCGGCTGTGGAAAGAACCGGGAGGCCGACACGGACGGCCAGCTGGACTGGCTCCGTGGCGGGCTGCAGGGGCGCACCCGGCACCAGTTCATGGCGTGCTCCGTGACCGAGCCGTTTGGCATGGACAGCGTGCTCTTCGAGCCCCCGGACGGATTCGGTCAAGGAAATCTGGGCGGCCTGTCGCGCGAGCAGCAGTATGATATGACCGAGATCTGGACCTGTCTGGGCGTGCTCCTGCAGCCCATCCATGGGAGATGCAAGGAAGCCCGCGATGCCGGGGTGTTTGTAGGGCATGGATTGCCGGACAACGATCCGGCCAAGGAGGAAGCTCTGTTGGGTGAGTAAACCGGCGCTCATTTTCCCTTTTCCTTAATCTCGTGCTGATACATTTTCTGTAGAGGAGTGGACTTACTACATCCTCACGCTGGGTCCCACGGCCGTCTTGAACCTGGGGTCCATCAGTCCCGTCGACAATCCCGTGGATACTTTTCAACAAGCGCAAGCGATGGGCCTGACCCGGTGGGAACAACCGGAATCTGGCATCAGCCGCTCCATGTTCCTCAAAGACGCCGTGCGGAAAGCCTACATGCCGGATAGCACTCACCCCACTCGACAGTCTTTGGCCGTCTCAAGCTCATCCAGCTCCAGCTCGTCCAGTAGGCCGAATTCCCGCGACAGCCGTTCTCTGAATGGCACCGAACCTGCCATCAACATGACTCCTCTGCCCAGTCACCGTCGGAGACAGAAGATCTACGCGAATCAGCTCCGTGACCGGCGCAATCGGCCACAGACCTCGCGTGACATCTCCTTCGGAGACGAGCGCCCTATATCCAGCTACTCGTTTATCATGACTCGCCTCGAGGGACTTCCCTACGACAAGCCGCCCCCAGTCCCATCCGCCTCCACCGCGTCGTACGTCGCCCACAACATCGCACCCCCCATGGCATCCTCGCCCCCGCCACCAAGCCTCTCTACTTCCTCGTCTGCCGAGTATCTTCCAACCCACGCTCCCCTGGCGACTCAGCCGCCGCCCCACCCAGCAGTAGCCGGCCCGTTGTACTCGTGGCAGCCACAAGTCCGCGACCCCGTCGATCAAGCCATCGAAGTGATGGTTCGGGATTATGGCTTCCAGGAACAAGACGCCAAGTGGGCGCTGAAAGTCACGGACGGCGGTGACGGCATCAACGCCAACGCGGCCATCGCGCTGCTCATGAAAGAGCAGAAGAACACGACCCGCGGCATCGGCCTCTCCATGCATTTCAAGAAGAGCAGTACCCGCTCTAAGAAAAGCAAGCTGGCTTCTTCAGTCATCTCCAGCCAGGAAGCGGCCAACGCGGGCTGGAGATGGGCTTGAGCGAGTCACGATTTCTCCCTTGAATTGATGTTTTACCATGTTTTCTCGTCGCCCTTCTCTGGGATTTTGTTGATATGTGATGACAAAAACTTGTTTTATACGCAGGAGCCTGTATTCTCTATACGTTTGCCTTTTTTCATATTTCTTCTATTTTTATCCGTTAGTTGAGCGTTCCCCTAGGATGCTCATCCAGGGTCGATCCAGTTTTGATACCCACTATGTACAATCCTTCAATTTTCATTTACTTGGAGTAAAATAAGCCTTCATTCACGTGTTGCAATGGACCTGTCTTGTCGACGAGTACTCTGTTTCCTTTTCCGTGCTTAGATCGGTACCTGTTCTGGGCGTTTGATGTGTCCTATTATCTTTTATGGTATGCATGATATGGAGTCTGTCGTTATTTCATAGTTGTAGGAGCATGTTGAACGGATGCTATGTATGTGAATCTTGACCTTGACCTTATTCTACGATTCTATTTTTGTCCTCAACAGAGCGATTTAACAGTAGAGATTACCCCGTATTAAGCTTCATATTATCCCCCCTCCCAAAAACCTTATAGCTTTCTACAAGATCGAATGGCGAGACCGTCAGAGGAGGCGCAATGGTTCTCTTCGTCTCACCCCACTCACTATTCCTTTGTCCTTCCACTCCTTCTCTCCCTTCACAAAACAACCATAAACTCAGTCTCCACCACTCTGCCACTATCAATAGCTAGCCTGGCAAATCGCAATTACCAGCCTAGTCAATCCCGCCAAGGACAAGGACACGGACGACGCGGAATTAAAAATTCTCCCACATTGAAGTATAGTCAGTCTCCTCGCGTTGACTGCTTGCTTTGCTTTCTGGCTCACGTCAGCGGTGTTCTTCCTTGCCTTGCAGGCTGGTCCGATAGCTCGGAACAAAGTTCCTGGGGAAATCTAGTGGTTGATTTGGGAGGCAGGGCGGTCGAAAGTGTATTTGAATTCGATGGGGGTGGTGGTTGACAATTGGGGTTGATTCATTGAGTGAGTGATCCGATCGATCTTGACGTTGTTCGACTTTTGACTTTGACGTCGCGAGGGAGGATCTAATTGATTCATCCAGTACGAAGTGAGCAATCAATCGAGATTTATTGGCGGATCATCGCTACGTGACAAATTGTTATTCAGGTGGTCTGTTGGACTAGGAGCTGTTGGTGGAGTTGGTGGAGAAATATTACAGGGTTGTCGACTGACTATATGTGGTGTCGGCCTTGGAACCGTTGCGCAGTCCGACACTTCTTTCCACTTCCCACCCATTCAAACCGTGATTCGGCCACTCAAGGTCCAATGTGTTCGTGCGAAGCTCCATGGATCT